TTGTTAAATATGTTCATATACCGTAATTTCTTATATAAGCATAGCAACTGTTTGTAAAAAAAAAACAAAGACATACGTCATACGTTCAGTTTTCAAGGGAGGTAACGTTTTTTAAATTATTATTTTTCAAATAATTGTATACTATTTTAAACAGAAACAGAAAATGACGAAGTATAGCATTTGTTTTAGTACAAAATTAAGTTGTTAATTTAGTTACGTATCCCAATTAAATAAATAAATAAATTTCAAAAGGCAATGTAATAAAAACTATGAGATGTACTATTCATGGAAGCTGTGTAGTTCTAATTCCATTTTACTTATACATTGCGTACTTTCCGATATTTCTCTGCGAACGGTATTTAAATGACAAACTAAAACATTTTTTTTCTAAAGTTAGCATTACTGTTTAAATTAAAGCACTCAACACCAAATCCATCGCTAAATAATTAAGTATTCAAATTCTCAAATGTTATTTAAAAACCTAAGCGAAGCTAGGCAGTATGCCTAGTATTTTACTAAAACCGACGGGCTTGTATTTAATGTTTTTAAACTCGATAGTTAGAGTCTTTGAAAATTGATACGAATACTATTTTTAAAACACAAAACTCCATGTAAACATGATTATTTCATCTTTTGTAAACTCTATACTTAAAGTCTACACATAAAACGTAAGGTTTCGTAGTTTTAAAACTCTAGTTTAAAGCTCAATATTTACACATAAAACATTTCGGCTGTTACTTTTAAACTAGCGCTTCGGGCTTTTACATGGGTGCATCTTTGGGTTTTCACACCCCCAAAATCGATTCAGCACTGGACATTTTTTTGTCGGGAAACGACCAATAGAACAGTGGGGACGAACAGACAAGCACACGTGCCCGTCTTCTCACGTGATAGGCTAGTTTATTGCAACAGGGCAGCAATGCGTGCCGACCAAACGAATTTTCTGGCCATTACCTCTTCAAATTTTCATCTGCGAAATAGCCATAATGTGACGAGAACTGTAAATTAGATTGTAGGGGTTTTAATGGGACGTGTTTGGCACACTCATCGTTGCAAGGAGGGGAAAAAAACGGCTTTATTTCAACTTTTTTTTTTTTTTTTGCATTTCTCAGCGAAATTTTTTTTTAGCTTTTTTTTTCTGTCGTGATGACATGGAATACATAGATCGATTTAGGCTTTGATCGATCGTCGTATAGACCAAAAATTACATAATGCAATAACTACATAGAACAATAGCCTCATATACCAATAGTTACATAAAACAATAACTACATAAAAAATAGCTACATCTACCAGTAGTTAAATAGATTAATATTTACATCTACCAATAGTTAAATAGATTAATATTTACATCTATCAAAAGTTAAATAGATCAATATCTACATATGCCAATCGCTGCCTATGTCAATTGATGCACACCTTAGCTATGTGTATTCATTAATTCAATAATCGTTAAGAGTACCTCATTCTGACCAATCAGATCATGTTGGATAGACCACGTGATTTAAACTGTAGGGGATGTGTATGCTAGCCTTAATGATATATATATATATATATATATATATATATATATATATATATATATATATATATATATATATATATATATATATATATATATATATATATATATATATATATATATATATATATATATATCAGCACTAACCAACCCTCACGGCCAATCATTTATGACTTTCAATAGAGGGGTCGGGGGGCTCAGCAATGTAGACTGGGTGGGGGTGGGGGTCGGTATTCCACAATTTCAATTTAACACCAGAATAACTATGTGATATAACACCAGAGTATCTATGTGCTATAACAACACGCAAATTAGTTTGTCGTCATAAAATATGTATACACTTTAACTGTAGTGGTCGTGTTTATAAAGGGACATCAGCTCATCGTGTAATTAAATCACAGCAGCATCATTTATAAGGTGGGTACCTATGCTGTTAGAGAGTGATGAAGGTTAGAGAAACTGGGGACATAAAACAGTGGTGAGAGTATGGGGGGGGGTCATAAAACAGAGTTGTGAGAATATATGGGTCATAAAACAGACTGGTGAGAACTGCTGGGGTAATGAAACAGACTGGTGAGAACTGCTGGGGTAATGAAAAAGACTGGTGAGAATAAAGGGGGGGGGGGGGTCATGAAACATTGTCTGAGAATATGGGAGGGGGGTCATAAAACAGAGTGGTGAGAATATGGGGATCATAAGACAGTAGTGAGAATATGGGGATCATGCAACAGACTGGTGAGAATGTGGGGGTGGGGCCAGAATGGTGAGAATATGGGGGTCATAAAACAGAGTGGTGAGAATATGGGGGGGGTCAAAAAACAGAGTGGTGAGAAAATGGGGGGGTCATAAAACAGAGTGGTAAGAATATGGGGGTCATGAAACAGAGTGGTGAGAATATGGGGGTCATAAAATAGACTGGTGAGAAGATGGGGGTCATAAAATAGAGTGGTGAGAAGATGGGGGTCATGAAACAGAGTGGTGAGAATATGGGGGTCATAAAACAGACTGGTGAGAATAAGGGGGGGGGGGGGTCATGAAACATTGTCTGAGAATATGGGGGGGTCATAAAACAGAGTGGTGAGAATATGGGGATCATGAATGGCTTAAGACTAATGATAATTCTGGGTACTACCATAAAAAACACTCTTCTTTATAGTCTGTATTTTTAGTTTGGAACATTTTTTGTCTAAATGTTCTAGTTTTTACTGTTAGTATTAAGTAACAGAGTACCGAAAAAGAATAATGCTTTATTAATTATAAGTATTACGATGTACACATACAAAATGCCTGTTTATATACGAATTAGTAAAAGTAAATTAAAGTAAGTTTTTAGACATGTATTAAATTTATGTAATCGATTACATCAGGAGTGCGGGTGCCCAGATGAACACTTGTGGACAGGGTAGGGGATTTTAAAATTATTTTATTGTGACGTGGTGACCTCTAAACATGATAGTCAATTTTTAAATAATATTTTGGGCAATAACACCATCAGCTAAAAGGTCGCACCGGTTCACTATCTCACTTTACCGCCGTCTCACTGTTCATGATTACATTATCTCACTATTTTACCCCACCCCATAACAAAACGTGAGAACCTCCCTACACAACACATTTACTGACATATGTTGCTTCTACTTGTGCTGGGTGGTGGGGGGGGGGGGACAGAAGTTTATGACCAGGCTTTGTTCATCCTATCATCTACGTACCACACAGCCTCCTGCTGACTTGATTACAACCACACACACACACGCACACATAACCCCCCCCCCCACCCCCCCCCCCACCCCATACACACCATGGCTCCACCCAGACATCATGAACGTGACCAACAGGGTTAAACAACATTTGATACACCCATCACAAGTCTGACACGATCTATCTGCTATTCAACACTAGACGACCATTTTTTTTCAAAATTAAACTACATATAACTTTAAACGAAACGAAATTACATTCATTACAAAATGTCATAAGCATTGTACCATTTGCAGTAATCCCTTAGCATTCTTATAATATGTTGTTGCTTTTTTTTGTTGCTGTTTTTTTGTTTTTTGTCGTAAATGCCTGTTTTTGTTTTGTTAACGCAATGTAGGGCCTAAGGAGTTTGATTGTATTTTTTTCTGGCTTTACTTTCGAACTCTAACCTTATGTTAAAACTAAATTCTGAATTTTTACATGAATAATTTTACATAAATTTAAGTTGGTTTTTTTTTTTCGTTTGAATTGTATTTTTTTTTTTTTGGAGTAAGACTAAGAACTAAGAATGTCTTGTTTCAAACAAATTATGCAAAGAGCTTAGAGCTAGAGGTCACGCCTAAGCTCTGTAGCCATTTACAGTGTACGGCTGTGAACAAAGTCTAGCAAATTTGAAACCTCAGGAGAACGTAAAAATCGATTGAATTTTTTTTCTATGGAAAAATAGGGGTGGGGTATGGTGAAAAAAAATGTGTCTTGGTTTCGGGGGTCGGGAACAGTGTTAGAAGCAGACGACTGAGATGTTCTAATTTCATTTAAAAGTCAGCTGTTGCATTTATTAGCTGAGTTTTAACTTTTGGCAGATTCGGATGTTTTTTCTTAAAACACGCGCAGTCAGCGACTAGCTCGCCTGGAGAAAAATAACGGGCAACTGTTTCATGTCAGAAAATGTGAATTATCGTTCTTGTGAATTCGAATTTGACTCTTCTTTTTCTAAAGTTTAAATAACTATAAATAATATAATCAAAAAATAAAAATGCTTTCTTAACTTTCTGAGCCAAAATTTTATGATCCAATACTACCTTCAGTTTTTCTTAATAGAACCAGTAGCGTAGCGAGGGGGGGGGGGGCGGGGGGGGGACATATGTCCCCTGGCGCCGAGCTTAGGGGGCGCCAAAATGGGTTGGAAAAATAAAATGAAAGGTTGAGGGGGGTGCAAATTGAAAGTTTGAGGGGGGGGTGCAAATCAAAATCTCGAGGGAATGGTGCAAATCGAAAAGTTTTTCCCCGGGCGCCGGGAAGGGTCGCTACGCCTCTGAATAGAACTATTTTACTTTTACAAGTAATAGGCTGCGTCATCTAATTATAATAACTAATGTATCAATGCGGTAGGCCTACATGACATTCAACGAGTGCAGTTTCCCGATGCTGAAGAAAAAGTACCATAGCTATACTGAGTGTGAAGTAACTATGTGGCCTATACCAAAAAGAGTTTGATAGACTCCAACTTCTGACCGTACTGCACATATTTCACACAGGTTATAACCCTGACATAAACCTGGCATCAACCTAATCCTCGTCTGATCGAATTAGCTCTGTAAAGATTTCAAACTGGCTTTAATCTTTCCATACCTATAACATATTTTTAATATTACCCGAACCCCCTTCTAATCATATTTTCTCTATTCATATTTCAGATAACCTTTAGATAACTCTAACCCTAACACTAACCCTAACATAACCCTAACCGTAACTCATGTTTCCTCTCTTCATATTTCAGACTGACCATGACCCCCGTAACCCGGCCTACATCTGTACCCAAGGACCACTACCCCACACTGTTGCAGATTTCTGGCAGGTTTGTGGCCCTTGTTCAATAAATCAACCTAACTTCTCTTAATTTTTCTTTTATCAGATTTTAATCAGATTTTTAATTAAAATTTTATTTATTTTTTATTTACCTTGGTTTAAATTTTCGCAATCTTATTCAAAATAAGCATATGCATAAATGACTAACCATAAATTAGTATCATTTTGTTAATATTATAGTTGGATTTAGTCAGAAAATGGGTAATCACTTCAGAGCCTATGTGTATCCTTTCTTTTCATCACATTAATAAAAAATATATCCAATGATTGATCTAGCCCCGTACCATAACCACACAAACAATATCAGGGTACCCCCACGATAACCCTAGAACCTCCACCCTCCTGCTGTTCTACAACAGATACAATCACACCTACAAACTGATACACCGCCATAACCCAGGCTAGAAGAGACAAAGACCACCACCACCACACAACAGACATGCAATGACGCGAATCACATATCAATCAAACTTTCATCTCCATACATCCCGGCGGTGTGCCGTATGTGTTCCGTATATAACCGTGTTACAGTCGTTTTTCTGGGACTATCTTTAGGCAATAGGATAGCCATGTTGCATAGACTGATAACGCTTCGTGATTACGCGTCATAGTGTATCTCGGAAGTTTAGTTGTATATATATATATATATATATATATATATATATATATATATATATATATATATATATCCGTAAAAGCATGCTTGATTAACAATAACATAAATCGACCTTTCTGACCTGAAAGAGAGAGGAAGTAGAGATCTATGGCTCTGGCATTGTAGAAATAGTGTGGTCAAGTCTATGCCCGGTAGATTTGATTTTACCGAACTCAGGTCAGTTACTGATCAAACTGCGTTGTGACCTCATGAGCACAAAGCTGCTTTCGATTTAGCAATCATGCGCTCTACCACTCAACCACACTGTTCCATCGCATGCAGTAAGGTCGTGTAGAAATTGAAGATTTTTTTAATCCTCAAGTGTATACTAGAGTAGAATGCAGGGTTAACCTGACCTGGGTATTAATCTCTGTGAGTTTTCTTCAGATGATCTGGGAGCAGGGGTCAGTTGTGATTGTCATGCTGACCAAACTAGCTGAAAACGGAAGCAGCTTATGCCACCGATACTGGCCAGAAGAGGGCAGCGACCTGTACCACATATACGAGGTAAGTAGATTATCTCCCCTAAGGGGGCCCTTTTATCTTTGTCCGTGGACATGGCTAAGCTCATAATTAACATTCAATCTCGTCCATCTGGGCCTAACACCGGTATCTTTAAGCTCAGAGCTGAGCGAGCAGCTCTAAGCTCGGAGCTAAGCAGCTTCTACATGCTACTCCTACATTTTGCAATGTAGCTCAGTTTTTTTTTTGTATGTAGAACGTAAGATTCGTTTTAAAATTTGCAAGTAATCTTTTAAATAAATGTAATTTTAATAAGTTTAAAGGGATCAGGTAATTCAAAGATCATTCCCTCCGTCTTCTCAAACCAAAAAAAAATGTTAATCCTGTTGGATAATCATATATTTACCTAGATTTGCTGTGTATGTTTGTTTTTTTTTACGTTGTTGTGGTTTCGATTTGTCACTAGAAGCAGAAATTAAATTAGTACCAGACAACTTTATAAGTGCAATATCAACAGCAAAATTCAATATACAAATTGCAGATTTTAAATATTAGCTTTATTGAGCTTCTTATGGGTGGGGTTTAAATGAGAAACCATCTTTAAGATTTTTAGTAAATGATAAAATATAGCTATGTGGATGGGTAAGGGGTAGGGAAGATTGTTTCGATTAAGTAAAATGCTTGGTAAAGATGATAGTTATGATGTCTTGATGCAAACGGTATGATTAAGATAATGATGAATGTATTGATTATATTGATCTAATGACTACCATCTTGCTGATGCACTGATACAGTGGCGTCACTAGGTGGTGTGAGTCAGGGTGTCACCCCCACCCTCCTAAAATAATTTTCAATTTTTCGTCTTCCCTCTCCCTTACTATTTTTTTTTTTAAAACTAAATATAACATGGTTTTGACGATCAATTAACAATTTCTTTTAATTGTGTCACCACTAAATTACTATGCGGACTCCACCCCCCCCCCCCCCCCTCTTTTCACCCCGTCTTGTGACGCCACATTGCTGATGTATTAATGATAAATTTAATAAACCGGATGTTAACCTTAACATGAGCGAGCCCACCATGCCCACCTGTGCTGACACGACACCTCTCACCTGGCAGGTCCACCTGGTCTCAGAACACATCTGGTGTGACGACTACCTGGTGCGCAGCTTCTACCTGAAGAACCTCCAGACCAACGAGACCCGCACCGTGACCCAGTTCCACTTCCTGACCTGGCCTGACCTCTCGGTTCCTGCCTCCATCAAAGCTCTGCTTGACTTCAGACGGTGCGTACTCACTTTTGTGTCCATTTTTTTTTCAACTAAACATTAAACAATTATAATCCTCCCCCCTCCCACCCGGCTTCTAATACAGACCTCAAGTCATTATCTGATTTATAGATTTATTTATATTGTTGATGTTGTCAATACATGATCCAATCGGCTTTTGACTGAAAGATTTAGGCTATAATTAGCCGCTATATGTATTGTAACTACCGTTTAGTTTTAGTTAATTCCTACACGTATAGAGATTTTTATGTTTATGTTAATTACATGGGAACGATGTAATTGGTCAATAATTAAATGATGTATGTAATATTAAGTAAATGATTTATCTTTTAATTAGTGTTTCATTAATTGGACAGCTAATTAAATAGTAATGACTTGCGGTTTCTATCGCTTTTTTATACTGCTACTTTATCACAATTTATAGCTTTATAACACAACACAATTAATAGCTTTATAACACAGCACAATTAATAGCTTTATAACACAACACAATTAATAGCTTTATAACACAGCACAATTAATAGCTTTATAGCACAACACAATTTATAGCTTCATAACAGCACAGCTTATATTTTTGCTGGTTTGAGGTTATAATACAAATTATATTTTTACTGGTTAAATAACTATTTACAATCAACTGGTAAAATCACCATAGTAGTTTCCTGCAAACATCACGATTTATAGTTATAAAATTTAAGGAAGTTAAATCACAGTTTATAACTTAAGTGGTTAAGTCCCACTTTATAACGTTATTAATTAACACACAACTACATTTATGGACGCACTACTAAATCTAGAGTACATAACGCAACTTTACTCTGCATTTACCAAAGTACTTAATCTCCTCATGAGCAAAAATTTCTTTAGATCACTTTCAGAAATCGAAGTTTTTTATTTACATAATTTGTGGTTCAGTCTTTTAAATTTACCGCTTTTAATTATCGCATTTGCTGAAATTTTATCTACTTTGTTGTGCTCTCCCATTAAAACAAAATCTTAATACTTAAGTGTTGTACTAAAATAAAATTCGAGATAGATGTGTTGTATTTATATTTTTAAATCCCATAATTCATCTAAAATTAGTTATATTTTTACTCTAAGTTTGTCATATGTGCTATGCTTTAGTAACAAAATATCTATTTCACTCATTAACAAATACTAATCCCAACCTAAACCCATGTAGCGTAACTCGCCTAGTTTCACCTTGGTTGCTTAGAGTTCGCTCCCCTACCTTGGGCTCGAGCTTGTACTTTCTGGCAATCCAATGCTGCTTCTCCCGACAGCTTTTGTGATTTAGCAATTGTACGGTGGGCAAATTGCATAGTCACAAAAGTGATCAGGACTGCATGCTCTCACTTCTACTAACTGGCTTGTTGGTGATGGGTCCACGATGATGAATATAGCGATGTGTGTGGAGGTGTGTGGTACGTTGCTAGTGTGTGGTATGTGGGTACGTGTGTGGTATATGAGAAGGGATGTACGGTATATGTGTAAGTTGTGTTGCATATGTCTATATGTGTATTGTTTATGTATAGAGTGTATGGTGTGTGAATGCATGTGTGTTGTCTATATATAAAGTGGATTTTGGGTGGACACATGAAAGGAGTATGTGTAATGTGTATAGAGATATGTTGTTTGAGTGTATAGGTTATAAGTGTTTGGTTTGTGAGTGTAAAGATGTGTTTTACGCTTGTAAATGTTTGTGATAGTTGTCTGTTGTGCCGTCAATTATGTAGTACCCTATACTGTGTAAGTAGCTTTGTAGCAGTATATTTGATAGCGCAATACTATGAAACATTTTATATGTACGTAGTGTGACAGTGTGGAAGTGTGTAAAATGGGTGTCGAATTATGTGTAATGTGTGTGTGAAACTCTTTGTGATAAATTTACATGGTGTCTAACTAATGTGCTGTGTGGCATTGTGTGGTACTGTGAGGTACCATGTATCACCAGTACTGATTCTATCTAGCGATGGTTAATCCATTTCTGTCTTAAAACACGCCAAAGCTTATGGTATACTGTGTAGAGTATTCCTCACTGTGACTGTACAAAGATAGTATGTTGTCGTGTAGTTGCCTCACAGATACGTTAGTTTAAGCCATGATAACGGTAACTATTCTTTTCGTATTTACATTACAGCTGATTTATCGTGTGAATATGTTAATGTTGTGGACATCAATATGTTAATGCAAATTAATACACACAGAGCATAAAGAACTAGATCGTGATCAACTATTAATAACGATGAATGTGTATTTTATGTTAATATTTATAGTAACTCGGTCTGAGTATACGGATATTCTGGCTGAAATTTTTAAAGCTGTTTTTGTTTTGTTAGGCTATGAGTCTATGTGATCTCTTGTGCTGAATGTTTCCATGTTATGTAAGTCAGTGAATTGTCTGTATGTCAGATGGTGTTAATATGTTACATTTGACCATATATATATATATATATATATATATATATATATATATATATATATATATATATATATATATATATATATATATATATATATATATATATATATATATATTTATTTATTTATTTATTTATTTATTTATATTTATATATTTATATATCCTCGGTTTGTTTCTGTGGAAAGATTTTAAAATGAAAAGCACTACTCGTCGTGTTTCTAGAATGCTTTGTTTTAAACCAATTATGTTTTCTTGTTGTTTTAAAAATAATTCAAACTTGAGGGCTTGTAAAACATTATTTTGTTTGAAAAAAATTTCTTTAATCAAATTACCAAGAAATATAAACTTTTTAAGAACTAAAACAAATTCAGGTATTACTTTTTATGGGTTTACAAAAAAAATTGAAAAGAAAAACGAAAGAAGGCCGTAGGGGCTATAAATAAGACGATTGCGCATGCTCAACAAATAAGGCGATTGCGCATGCTCTTTTGCATAAAACAAACTAGCCTATTAATGCAGCATGATTAGTTTTCTTTCTTTTTTTTCAACTATAGATTATTGGCTAGTTTTCTTGCAGTGTTAATTTATATTGATCTTTTCTTTCTTTGCTAAAAATTTTAATTATCTCACGCCAATTAAGGAGCAGAAAAATTGCCTGACGCTTTTCATTACGAACTAATTTATGAGGTAATGCGTTTACCTATAGTAATCAAGACTAGGCGAAAAATTTTGCGGGCAGAAATTCAAAACTTCATCTTACTTTGGTTATTTTTTTTAGCTGCTTTTAAAGCTTCAATCTAAAGCTATTAGCAAACGATATATAAATTCGTGGACCGTTGTTGCGTTCGTTCAGTTGAAGCCCAGAGGACTATCTGGCAAGCCGGCCATTATTTGAAACTTTTGTCGCGTTCCTGGTACAAATTCTCTCCGAGGTTTCCTGGCTCCTAATTTAACTGCATTATTAAATGCAGGGCTTCTTGGAGTGTTCTAGACGAGGCACTACATTGCTTCCTTGCGTTCCCCTATAATTGAACAATTACTTTCAAATGATAGAGCTGTTCTTCCTTGACTAACGTTGTGGGATTTCTCATCGGACACGTTTTGGCGGTTGCCTTGTCATTATTTTCGATGATTGGTCTATTTTTCCGCAAGCAGTTTCGGAAGTTTTAATTTTTTAATCAAACGGTGGTAACGCATGGGGTGGATGAAATAAAAATAAAAACCTATTTTAGAGATGTATTTGTTAAGAATTCGAAGTGGGGGGGGGGGGGGTATAAGTCTGTCTTTTTAATCCGTTCCACGTCTCAATTTGAACTGTTTGCCATAATATTTACTGATAGACTTTTAAAAATGTCTTTTCAAAAAGTCTATAGGCTACATAATTACTTATTAATTTACTAGATCTAGGCCCTTCTGAAAATGTTACAAGTCTAGTCATTTTAATTGTACTGCAATTAAAATTAAACTTTGTTAAATTCTTTGCTTAGATTAAACCGACACACTTTTAATCTTGTACGATTATTGAAAGCACTAGCTAGTGTCATTGCCACGCACATTTTTATGAAGGTCTTTTTAATTTTTACGACATGATTTTGTAAACTCTTTTATTTTGTTCATTTGCTAAAACGTAGTTTAGAATAATCGTAATTTTAATGAACGCTTAATGTGAGAAATAGTTTATTTTATTTAATGTAGGCCTAAAGTTTATATCTTAAGCATTGTGTTTGAAATAGATTTGTCACTTTAAAATAGGCCTAATTTATTACTGTTTGACACATGATATTTGAATGGTTACTTTGTTTCAACCATTAAAATATCGTTACTTTATTTTTTTTATTCCAGTAAAGTGAACAAGTCGTTCCGTGGACGGTCATGTCCTATTGTTGTCCACTGCAGGTAAGTACTATTTTTTTTCACCTCAGATATGTAATTATCAGCGTCAGTTTTTGCTCGTAACTAAACAACTAGATGGAGAATGTCAATATAAATTATTAAACCATTGCCCAATCCTTTTTTAAACTAATGCAATACTCTTTTAGTTAAGGTGTTTAGTTAAATCATTTTATTTTTAAGTTTTAACTATTATTTGAAAATGTAATCTTACAATCATTGATTGTAGAACAATTGTGCTCATTTGTCTATTTCATACTAGTCTAGTAGTTCTTGGACTTTTTAGTCTGAAATGTAAGCAGGGAAACTATGGTAAATTTATTTTGACGTGGTTATTTCCCTTACTTCTACAGTGATGGGTGCGGACGTTCAGGCACTTACTGCCTCATCGACATGGTTCTCAATAAAATGGCCAAAGGTCAGACTTGAAATTAATTATTCAATAGAAAATAAGTAGTCTTATACACGCTGAAAAGCTTAATTGAAATTCATTTCAAACTATGTCTTGTAGGTATATAGTATAAAGTTACTTGTAAAAATTGTAATTTTTCTGTGGTCTAATGCTGGTCTAGGAGCTAAAGAAATCGATATGGCGGCAACTCTTGAACACATCAGGGACCAGCGCATGACCATGGTGAAGACTAAGGTGAGCACCGCTGGTTTGGTCTGTGTTTGTATAACAGACATAATTGAACTTTTTTTTTTCTGTGTTTAAATAACATATTAGTGTTAGCATCGTTAGTTTTATCTGGGTTTAAATACAAGGTAAAGATGAACACAGTATTCTCTGTGTAGAAATATCAAGGTGTGACTTCATTTTTTTAAGATTAATAAATCAGCAGAGTTAAGGTTAAATTTTTTATAGGTCTTGGGCTCTTGGGTAGGTATTTTTCTTTTAATGTGTCAATTTAGATATATAAAGGGGATAATGCAACACAATATAAATAACTTGGATACATATTGGATAGACTCTACAGAAAGAAAAAGGAACCAAGTAGCTAAAAAACTAACAATTAAAAAAAATTTAAATAATAATATGACAATATTAATTAAAGAATTCAATGTGTAATAAGGTGTATAATAATCACTTTATTTACAAAATAATTTGTATTTTGTTTTCATCCATTTTTTAAGAAAAAGTAAAAAAAAAAACAACATTTCAGCTTACTTTATTGGAGGACAAAAATTATTTAAGTTTATGCCTTCTTTAACTTTATGAGAAATTTAAGATGTTTTTCTGTGTTATCTCAGGAACAATTCCAGTTTTCCCTGGCCGCCGTGGCTGAAGAGGTCCATGCCATTCTAAAGGCACTGCCCCAGTAGACCAGTGCCAGACATCCCTCTTGTTATTTTCCATGACATCACTGACTGGCCCAACCCACTCCCTGGAAACTGTGCGGAGCTACTGTACCTGATATTTCAACTGTGTTACATCCTGTGAACCAGAGTCAACACCCTTGTTTCTCCTGCTCCTTATACTAGTTCAGTTGAATGAAAAATGATGACGAAAATATTTTTGTGATTTTTACTTTCTCGGGATCATTCAGTCCCTTGTTGTTTTCCAAAGTCATATCTGTGGTCATAAATATTGATAGCTTATTTATTGTGGATAAGTTGTGAAAATATTGGCGTATTTTATTCTACATGTTCTTTAATATTATTGTTCGGTATAGCTTCAAACACTATTTTTTAAATATTTTCCAGAGTTACTTAAAAACCATAGAGCATTATCTCGATTTCATGTAAGGTTCAGTTTAGTTTTTAAAAGTAACTAATTTCTAAACAATATTTTTCATTCAACCACTAATTTTTAATGTTGTTGCAATGTTCGGGGAAATGCAATAAAATATAACTACACTTTAAAAAGATATTACTTTTAGCATTTCAGAAACATAAAGCAAGTTATTGGGGTTTTTTTTTTAAGTTTGAGATTTAATCATTAAGAAACTGTTTTGAATAGTACATTTAAAAGATACAGCTTTAACTGTTAAAATTATTTTGTTCTTTATACCTCTTTTTAAAAAAAATAGTATATTTTATTATCACTTTAATTAGTCTGGCCTTAATATAAGATATTTAAAATATTTTACGTTTTCCTAAACTGAGAAAATAACTGCGGATTTGAACTCTATGGTCCTTCAGTCTGGTAGGGTCAATATTTTAATTGTATTTCTGAGAACTAAAAAAAGAATTAATTCTGTTTAAATTTGTTTCTACCTCATATTTGAAATCTTTATTGTTGTCAAGTAATGGCCGACATACAAATATTACTTAAAAACTTTTTAAACATAATTATATTTTATGCAAAGACCTCTTTATTTAAATTATAATTTCAGAAAACAATTTTTTAAACCTTAACAAATTATCTAATTATTTTAAAAATCAATCTGAAAAACCAGATTAAAAATTATAATTTCTTAATGGAATGTAAAAAAATACTTTAATAATTTTTAATTAATCCATTTTCTAATGCTCATTAGTTAAAGCTATGGACAATCAATACTTATTTTCAATAACATTCTGTTCGAAATAAACATTTGTTTTAAGAGAAAATAATAAAAATTATGAAAGAATAACTAGAAGATATGTTAACTTATGACCAGATAGTAGAAAATAAAACAAATTCTTATTAATCTATAATATTGCCTATTTAGATTAATCGAATTTAATATTTTTAAGTGCAAAATTTTTATCCAAACCAATTTTAACTGTTTTAAAGAATATGGACCATATATAATACATAGAGCCAGAGTATAAACTAAGAAAGCTCAGTAAACTTCACAGGTAATGTTAATTATGTTTTAAAAGTAATTATTTGCTTAAATGTGCATTGTACATTAGCTGTGATCCCCCAAAAAATTTGTTTTTTTCCCCAACGTATGTGATACTACAACTTTTGTGAACAAAAACAAAACCTGGTTAATAAAGTTGTGTTCCCTGTTTTACCTATCTGCCTATGTATTGAAAAATGCATGTTTTACAATTCCCCACGTACTGTGAATATCTCAATCTGTACGGAGACCTGTTGACCAAGATAATTTAACACGGTTATGTTTGTAAACAGTTTGAGTGAGAAAAGTTCTAAGACTTATCCTAATTGGCATGGCAACACCTGAGAATCGAGACAAACATGATCCATAAAAAAATCCTACCGGCACTTCATCAACCAATCACCAACTTGAACTCCCAGGTCAAGTGAACATTACTGTAATGTTGTTTTGACTGCTAGAACCACAGCTAGAAGAACAAAAACTGTCTCAAAGTGAAATAAAAGTCTAATCTGCAATTTCAAACCCTGTTGTTGCCTTTTTTTTCTTTTAAACTGTTGTTTATTTAAAAAGAAGGTTGAAAAAAGTGTTAGGGGTCGTCCATAAATGACGTCACACTCGTAGGGTGGAGGGGGGTCCGGCAATTTTGTGACTGTGATGAGGGAGGGGGGGGGGTCAGATGGTGTGACATCACTTTTTTGCATTATAAAAAAGCAATGTTAGAAAACGAGTTTTAGCCGTTATTTCGCGTTTTAGAAAACGGTTTTAATAAACTGTAATAGGAATTGATCAAAATACACTATGTTGACAGAGTTCTGACAAGATTTTGGAAAAATATCGATGCTATAAGAAAAATTCAACAGAAATTTTGAGGGGGCTTTAGGCTGAGGTGTGACGTCATTTTAGGGGGGGGGGGGGGGTCTGGCTTTTTGTGACGATGTGTGACGGAGGGGAGAAGGGGGTAAAAATCTTCAAAAAAGCGTGACGTCATTTATGGATGACACTTCTTTACTTTTTTATTTATTTTTTATTTTATTTGAAAGTTATTTTTGTTATTGTGTTTATTATATTTATTCAGTGTTTTGAAAAGAAATTTAGGTGGATTTTTAAAACTGTAATTTAAAAATAGTAGGTGTCATTAGAGGTAATTACTATGTAGGCTTAATAATTTGACTTACCCAGCACACATGTTTTGATGGGGGAAAAAAATATTTTTATTTTGGAGTTAAATATTTTTACTGTTTGACTTGAAACATTAATCTACAAAAGAGTTTGACTTAATCACAGCTTAAACAAAAAATGTCTTTGGACAATTTTTACTTAAACCATTGGGGGATAAAGTAGACTGTTATTTTAACACCAGTATTGAATGTAAATTCAAGGTTATGTATGCAGTAAAATTACAAAATTCATGTTTTTTATAAATCATCTGTTATTCAAAAGACTTAACTTAACATACACAAATACACCCACCTAAGAGCAGGTGTACGCTCAGTGTTAAGTCAAATCTCAGCTTATTGCTTGTCATGATGTCCCTCTATGTCTACACTAATTAGCATTAATCTCCCTAAAATTAACGATCAGCATTAATCTCCGTGACACTAAAGGTCATCACTGCTTTAATTATCCTTGCATTCAGACGTTCACATACCAAACACATCGTCACTGTCTCAGATAAGAAAATTAGGCTTTACTGTTTAGTTAAAGAACAATTACTGAATGACTGATACACCAAAACACTGGTAGAGTTGTCTTTAGATTATGGTCTTCAATCAATCAGTGTATAATGTACTTCTAATTGTCTCAGTACATAACGCCACACAATTTTAGGGGAGGGGGGGGGGGGGGGGGGGTGGGGGGGGGTAGGAGTCGTTACACGCCGTCACAAAAAAACCACCCCTCCTACTTTTACCCACGTGTTAAGTACACATACAGAATTCCACCTCATATATATATATATATATATATATATATATATATATATATATATATATATATATATATATATATATATATATATATATATATATACATATACTGCGAACGATAATATCACGCTTATCGACATTGAAAAATACAAAATGGATTGAGATGATACGCTGTATTTCCACATCAAAGATTATCTTTCACAAAGTCGTTCCCTCAGTGACGTCATGTATGGATGGACCCTCCCCCCCCCCCCCAGTATACACGTGACTGTACAACAAACACAACATGAGCAACATTCTCCAGCTGGTGGGGGCTAAGTGGCAAGATCAAACCACCATCATCAACACCATCAGCCCACCACACCACCAACTCTCCCCCACACCACGAAGCTCCATCCCCACCCTTTTCACAATCACCACTACCATCATTAACACATCACCAGCATTGCAATCTTCACTACCACCATAAATACATCATCACCACCTCCATCATTAACACATCATCACTAACATAACAATCACCACTACCAATATCACAGTCACAACTACCAGCATGAACACACCATCAACACATCAACATCACAATAACTACTACTATTATCAGTATATCAGCACCAACAGCACAACTACCACCTCCACCATCAACAATTCACCACCATTGTCATCCCTACTTTCCCCCCTACATACCACCCCCTTCAACCCCCCCACCAACGCAGCTACCCCGAGACTGAATAAATTTTATTCCACGTACTTACTGTTGGAAGCGTGTTGTACATGTTGCTTAAAACAAGGGTGAATAATTTGATCAGTGAAGTGGTACACTTGTTCCCTCTGGTTGAGACTTGTCTAATAATCTGTGACTAATTACATTGACTATTAATTCAACATGTGCTAAAGTATTTTAATCTGTGTGGTTGCACCTGAATTGTTAAACGCAATGGATAAAAAAATAAACAAGGTATTCATTACATAAACACCATGAATAATCAAAATTATGATTCAAATCTACAGGAAAAGAGAATTTTTGAGGTATTATTAGAATTTAGATTCTCTAGTTTATTAGTACAACCACATCTCAATATAAATAAGTTAATAAAAAGTCTAGTGACAATTTAAGCGCAATTGCCTTATGTTATCCATAACAATTTTTAATATTTTGTGACCGAACGAAAGGATATTTTTTTGCGCTAAAAACCTACACGATGCTCAGTTTAAATTAAAAATATCATCGTAGGCCTCCTACACGATGCTCAGTTTAAAAATTCTTAATTAATTTTTTTGTGACCGAACGAAAGGATATTTTTGAAAACTTTCTTCGGCAATATTGTTCTAAATTATGGCAGGAATCGATTAGTAAATGTTTCAAGTCGCTAAGTTGCCGAGATATGGACCAAAAACTGCATTTGTTCGAGTTTTTTTGGCTTTTCCGGGAAATCCAGGAAAGAATTCCGGGAATTTTTTTAGCCCACAATCATCCTTGGAACTTGCTTAACATATTTGCTTTTTGAACTAGTCCTCGATATTGCTTCGTTGAGGAGGAGATACGACTTAAAGCTGCGGACACACATCCATTCATTCATCCATCCATCCAGAAATGACGAGTTAATAATCGCAATTGTCCGTATGGAAATTGCGCTAAAAAGTTCTCAAACTATACTTTAACGAAAAACAATAAGATTTCATGCAGTGGCGTAGTTAGAAATTTCGGGCCCCTCTGCGAAAATCATTAGTGCCCCCCCCCCCCCCCCCTCTTCGTCAGCCGTCAGGCTACACTACAATGGTTAAACGAAGAAATCAACTGCTACTTAAGATCATCATATAAAAAGGAGGATTTTACATTTCTTTACATTTTATATGTGATACGTGCTGATTGTGTATTTATACTATATTATTATGTAGTTTTGTAAAATGTTACAGTCTTACAGTTAATTTGGGTTTTTTTTTTAATAAACGAACAGAGCAGCGTCATAGGGCGGGGTCAGAGGTGTGGTCATTTGATGACAACATTTAGGTGTGACACCTTGACAAACCATTGTAAAATTTACAGTCAAAACTAAGTTGTATCCAGCTAAAACAGGGGTCTCCAAACTACGGCCCGCGGGCCGGATGCGGCCCGCGAGGTCCTCACATCCGGCCCGCGGAGATCTTTTTGTTCAAGGAAAAATCGTTTGTTGGTGATGGCTGAGAAACTTTGCCCAGAAAAATCAAAGACATGCCTGGAAGAAACTGGCCCCCGAACTGAAATTTGATAGTTAATGCGGCCCTCGGACTGAAAAGTTTGGAGACCCCTGAGCTAAAATAATAAAAGTTTAGTGAGAGATGGGCGACACCTCACCGAAAATGCTAAATTGGGGACGATGGGGTGACAATTTTAGTAACCACGTAGGGTAACGCCCGACATTGTGACGCCACTAACCATGATTAACCATTAATTTATCATGATTTATTTAGATATTTTTTTTCTTGATTTTAATTTTGTAAAATGATTATTATGTTCACTGATATCTACTTTTTCTGCGTCTGTATGTTTGATTCTTAGGATGGCTAAGCTAATTGCCCAATGGGTATATCTACAAATAATGAGATTTAGGAATTTCATCATAGAAATCAAAATCTCTTTACGGATCACAGTGGAATGTTAAAGAATGTTTAAACTAACTAGCGTGCCAGTCCGCTGCAATCTAGACCCACACAGAGGCGTAGCGAGGGGGCGGGGCAGACCGCACCGAGTGACACCGTTTAGGGGGGTGACATCAAGGCAAAAAATAGCAAAATATATAGAGAAAAACTTGACCGGGGGGTGCAAATCGAAAGTTTGAGGGGGGGGGGTGCACACATCGAAAATTTGAAAGTTTGTCCACGGGAAGGGTCGCTACGCCTCTGGGGGGTGACACCATTAAGTGCCGCACCGGGTGGGTGACACCCGACCTCTCTACGCCACTTGACCCACATACCATGGTAACGAAACAATTTGTAAGGGCTTCATCAACGCGTTACTAATTGTGTATTTTTAGTCGTGGGACCTTGCTTTCTAAAACTGATATAGGTTTAGTTAACATGTAAACAACAACACCGCTATTTTTTTATTAGTGATGTTGAATACCTTTCGGATACCACCTAGGTGTCAAGGTCTTCACGGAAGTGACTGGTTACACCACCGTAGGTAGCCAGATGGAACCTCTGGTTCGATTTAGTCATCGAACGTAGAGGCCCACCCTCTCCCTGTTGTAGAATATTCGTGTGATTGCAGGACGCCCATTCAAGGGATTTCGTGCACTCATGTATCCGCTAGGTAACTTGGGGCGACCAACCGTTACTATTGCTGAAGCGCTGGATGACACCCCTTATTCGATTTACTAATCGACTTTAGTACCCCGACGTATCCCTATTGTATGGCGCTCATTAAAACGAATATAGGCGCCATAATGTTCATGTGGGAGCCCGGGGCGTACCAGGTTACACGACCGCCGAGGTGCCGGCTGCATTTTTACTACTGAATCAAGAAGTAACGCTTACCCGCTGCGCAAGACACCCAATAAACAGACCCCAGGTGCAAAGATAGCTGTTGGGAAATTATGGGTGGAAAACTGCGCGCCTTACTGCCGGAGGGCCACCTTTAGAAATAAAAATTTAAGGCAGAAACATTCCCAAAAGTCGGAGTTTCTTTTATGCACCTTTTCATGAAAAATGTCTTGAAAAAACACTTCCTTTCATATATTCTCAACGACAACGGCGCAGAGTTTCTTACAGGCATCTACCGCCCCCCCCCCCCCCCCCCCGACCAAAATGAAATTTATATAGAAAATATATACATTTAACAGTATCCGCACTGCGATGCATGTAGATTTACGGGTGCTGGATGCCGATGTTACAAAATAGTCGAAGTTCAAGTTTATTTATAGGCTAATTCTCTCAATGGCTTACACGACCATGCGGCAACGCATGTAGTGATATTACGGATGGTCCCTGTTCGACCCCCCCCCCCTCCCACTGAATCCCACTAAATTAAGAAAGGACTTGGGGTATTTTTGGAACTTTTAATTATTTCTACAATAGAAAAGAAACAGAATTTTCCTTTTCTTTTTAAAATTATTTAGTTAAACAAATATTTAAAATTTCAATATGGCGTTTTACTTTTTTTTTAAAGAGGAAAAAGGGCCCCTTAAGTGCTGTGGGCCCCTATGCCTTGCTGACGCAAGCTTTACGGTAGCTACGCCACTGATTTCATGCTATATTTAAGAATCGCCCCCCCCCCCCCTTCCCCCCCCCCCCCCCCAATCCACCATAGATTATCTCGCTGGTAAATCGATAACTTACCCTCATAACAACTATTCAAAGAAACTACCTGGATTTACATATGTAATTGTAATGAATAAAAAAAATTTAAAGTAAACCTATATTGCAGTTTTGTAAATTGAAACAAGATCCAAACAAATATTAGTAGCTTGTTTTAATTAATGTGTATCCTTGTATTGAGTGTTATGCAATCAGTCTAACTCACAGCAAACACACTTTACAGTTAATTCAGTGGTTGCCTGTGTGAAGTCACACACCTGGGGGTGGGACTTTTATGACAATTTTGGACCTTGGGTTGAGAAGGGGTGTATGAAAGTGTGCAGTCACACTTTTGCGTTTTGCTAGTTATTTATGTTTGAAAAGTTTCTCAATGTTTGAAAACAAAAAACCAGTTCCCCAGTTGATGACAAACAAAATCTGATACTGTCAGTTGATAAAAACAAAATCGGATACTGTCAGTTGATGATAAAAACAAATTCTGATACTGTCAGTTGATGATATAAACAAAATCTGATACTGTCAGTTGATAAAAACAAAATCTGATACTGTCAGTTGATGATAAAACAAAATTTGATACTGTCAGCTGATGATAAAAACAAAATCTGATACTGTCAGCTGATGATAAAAACAAAATCTGATACTGTCAGCTGATAATAAAAACAAAATCTGATACTGTCAGCTAATGATAAAACAAAATCTGATACTGTCAGCTGATGATAAAAACAAAATCTGATACTGTCAGCTGATGATAAAACAAAATCTGATACTGTCAGCTGATGATAAAAACAAAATCTGATACTGTCAGTTGATGATAAAACAAAACCTGATACTGTCAGCTGATATAGTCATTCAATAAAAACAAAACTTGATACTGTCAATATTTAAAAATCAAGAGTTTTCCAGTTAATCAAAAGTTTTATTGAAATAACAATTAAAAGACAAAATGTAACTAGCCATTAATATATTTGATGACAGAATGTTTAAAACATAGCAGCTAATAAGGCATCAAGAAACGGTGAGAAAAAAAACGTGCAAGACAGTTGTACAATAATATCTTCAGCTCATCAAGATACTTAGACATTGGTATTATGCATCAATTGTCTACATGTCATGTATTGATATTTACAATTCATGGCACCAGATATGATTCTTTCACTCAAAAGGAAATTTTCAACTTAGTTACCATAATTCAGTACAAAAGACAACTTGAGTTGAATTATTATTATTTTAATCTAGATCCTAACCCAGCATAAAAACAGTGACTGGCAGTGTACAGTTTTATGTAAATTAAATAAATTCATTGATAAAATTTAGTTTAACTTTATCGTAGGGCCAATACCTTATTGAAACCAAACTAATCTTCAATATCTAGAATTCCAGAGTGGTTAATTAACATGGTTATTTCTTTACAATTATTCATTATTGCTTAGTTACTACAACAGTTTGAAAAACAAATGAAATGTATAAAGGTGCACAATAATTGATGATTGATTCAACTTTTTCTTCAATAAGAAATTTTTTAGAAAACTGAAACCAATTTTGTAAGAACTTTAAAACAAAACAAATATTAGTCATAATGTGAACTGAATCTTGTCTTCCATAATTGTTAAAAATAAAGTGTATAAATAATAAAAACTAAAGTATTTTTTTAAACTTCTGAAACCAAAAACTGCATATTAAAATCTAGCAACAATACATGCTTTAATTAGGTTTTGTCATTGGAAGGTCCTCACAGCCAGCCAGACTTATCACAATTTAGCACATGTACTGGAATATGATGCACTTGCAGTATCACTTAACACACATGAATAGAACTAACAAAGCAAATAAGCTAACTCTTTAAATACACTAGAAGTTTAAAAACATAGTATTCCTATCTTCTGTTGAGATCCAATTAATTCCTGACACTTTCCTCCCTTACTTATATAATGGTTGCAGATGTTTTACTCAACTACAACTTAAGCGTGAAAGAAATATTACCTAACCCCACATTAGAAATCACTAATGTTCCTTCTTTAAAAAGTTATTTTAGTCCACTACTTACCATGTTTAAATTCATAACATTAATTCCATACATACACACAGCAATCAACTAGTACTGCAAAGCAATATTGAATATTAACTGCACATATATTTTAGTTACAATGAGTACAAATTATATGGAGTTCAACATTATACTTTTTTCTTACATGAACTTAACCCAAAAAACCTTGTAACTTAATACTAAAGCCATAATCATTCATTTGAAGTTATAATTCTCTTAGTTATAAGCACGGCAATTTTTAAAATAAATACCTTACAAACAATTCCAATAGAAGCTAGGATTACACAATAATATGATGGAGATGGTGATGATAAAATACAATCACTACATGAAGGGTACACTCTGGCTCTAAGAAACAAGGAGCATCATTTATCAGCTTCAGTGTTGAACAAAAGCCACACAATTTTTGTGGTCAGTTTTCTATTGTTATTTACATGTCTTCTGTTTGTCAGTGTAATTTTGACTTTTGTTCAAGAGATCTCGTTTGCTGTGATCAGAAGTAAATATACATTCTCTGCAACATATACAAGTGAATTTGTTTAAATATAAACAGTGCAGTGTTGCAAACGGACCCTTAAAGAAACCATCAGCTCTTAGTTTCACTTCAGATGCAAACTATACTGCCATAATACCAAGCCACAACCAACTGGACTGAGAGGATTACACCTAAACTTAATTAACTTCACTATACTAAACTAAAAGACTGACTTTATTTAACCTAAACCAACAAGACTGACTGAAATAAACCTTACCAACAAGACTGAATGCACTAAACCAAAACCCTGATGTTATTTAACCTAACTTACAAGAATGACTGCACTAAACCAACAAGACTGACTGCACTAAACCAACAAGACTGACTGCACTAAACCAACAAGACTGACTGCACTAAACCAACAAGACTGACTGCACTAAACCTTACCAACAAGACTGACTGCACTAAATCTTACTAACAAGACTGACTGATCTAAATCTAAACCTTAACTTTATTTAACCTAAACTTACAAGACCAATAGTACTTGATATTAAAAGACTGCTTGCAACGACTTATACCAAACAACTACACCTCTCTGGAACACATATAGAACATCATGACATTTACATACGCTTCAAATTCATACTGCATTTTTACTAAAAAAATTAAAGAAATTGTGCATAGCTATCATCATGTATGTTAAGATTAAAATCATGAATTTAAAACACATTTTTTAAAAACTCATGCAAACCTCCAGCTATGCTTGACTGGAGTATAACCACACCAACACAGGAGTACACATGGATTAGGGCAGATACACAGCACACATGTACAATGGTATTTAGCTTTTAGGTTAGTGTTGTTAGTTAGCTATGTAAAAAGAACTTCGATGGTTTTGTTTTGTATTACTTTATTTCATACTATGTTTGCGTCAGCACTCAAAAAATTTAATGCTAATTAGAGATATGTAAATATTGGTAATGTATAAAGTATTATCAAAATAAAAATCATGATTTAAACAATGGCAAAATTTAAATATAAATTATCATATATACAATGGATATGCATTACTGAAACAAGCTTTCTTCCTAGTCACAAAAATGGAAAATATTTTAGAAAAAAAAATGTTCGTCCTTTAAATTCTATATAGTTTCAGAAACAAAAATTTTGTCACAAATTACTACAAAAATATTTTAGGAACAAAATCTCTGAAACCAAAAAGTTAAGATTCCAAAATTTAAAGCTGAAAATATTTTAGAATTTGCATACAAGAAATTATTATATAGGTGACAGTACGTTCATATAACTAAAAATTGACTTAAATAACTTTTACTGTTCTATACACTCGATATTTTTTTCAAGTGGCTCTGTTGCACCCAATCTAAGCATAGCATTTTTTTTTCAGTATAGTAATAGAAGTGTTGAAGGTAATAAGAATTTTAAAGAACCGTGAAGTCAGACATAATAAGTTTTATTGAACATTTTATTCGTTGTCCTATAATTACCTATCAATTTTTCAAAACTTTTTAACATTTCAAAAACAATTTCTTGAAATTAAGTGCTATATAATTAGTCAAATAAAAAACTAACTAAAACGCTTGCACTGATGAACCAGGGCTACATTTAATGTAACCTGTACAGTGATATAAAAGTAAAAGTAGTTTTACCATTTCTTTAAGGATTTTTATTATATTTATTTATCATTTGTAAGTTATTAAGCTATTTAGACCCAAATAAAATAAACTGAGACTATTTTCCTGCATAGTACTTTTTTCATTTTAATGAATGTGGGTATTTTTACATATATTTTTTTTTAAATTGTATTGGAAAAAAGCATAGAATTATAAATGTGCTTTTAATGCCTTGAGAGTAAAGAACTAATCAGTTTATCCAGTTTAATTAAGTGACCAACTAAACTAACTGGTCCCATTCAAAAATGCCACTTTGGCTGCTTAGGCATTAGAACTTTAAAGTCCATTTAAACAAGCAGTCATTAGTGACTAGACATGCCCATTCAAAATGACTTAGAAAAAGATCTGACACAAACTGAAGATTTAACAGTAGTGTACAGTCATAATGATGAAAGTAGAGTTAGAAAAATACTTGTCATTAACAACAAAATATGAAGAGAAATTGTTGAAGAAGCAAGATGCAGAACAAGCTATAGATTCAAAAATAAATACTATCACCAGCTCATACAAACTCACATTTAAAAGCTCCAGGTTCTAAAATAACGAGGACAAATTCTTACAATCATAAAAAAACAGTAAAACAAAAAAACGTGCACACTATTTCAAATAGAAAATTTCAAAACAAAATGAGCACTCTATTTCAAATACAAAACTTCAAAGCGTGATTGTAACATGGTGAAAAGTTAAAATAAATTTTAAAAGATTCACTACAGTAATTCACTGTTTGCCATGGCATATCCAATTAAGTTATCTAAACAAATCTCTGAAGTATTAATCTCAAGATAGTAACCTACTTTGTGTGTAAAAGAAAAAAAAATATGACACCTCATTAAATTTCAGCATTTTATTACTCATAGGTTTTTTAATGTATATATAAATACATAACTATGTTTATGAGAGGTAATGCTAAAAAAAACTTCAAGTAATATGCTGGTAAGCAAAAAGTTGATTAAATACAGGTTGATTAAACTTGACATGAGATTTGATTCACATGCTCAACTTGCTCATTTGATTTAAAACAGGAGCTTTAAAGTAAAAAAAACATTTCTAACTTAATGTCTTTAAAATTAAATATGCCTTACAACTCAAACATTTCAAAGCAATTATAGAACTTTTGTTTTCTAACTTCTTTTAAGAGATGAGACAAAATGAGAAAGACTAAATGAAGGCTGAAATAACTAAAATGTTCAAGTTTTGAGAGAGTATGATGAATTGTCATGCAACTTATTGATATTCAGGCACAAGCAGTGGTGGTTAAAATAGGAACGTAATATATTATGAAATAAAAAGTGAATAAAATCAAACAAAAACTCTTAACAAACAACCAGTCCTATTTGGCAGGAAAAGACAATTGTTCAGTGTAAGATCAGCTTATGACACTTTCTTGACTTTGGCATCCACAACTCCATTCAGTGACCTGGCAGTGTTTTTACCAGCATCTAAGCTCTCTTTTCCTTCAAAAGCCTCTCCGCCAGACTCGCTGGCTGATTCCAAGCTACTGCGAGAGTCTTTCTGCATCTGAATGAAGAAAATCAGACAAGTGACAGAGACTTTCATTCTTGAAAGTTGCACAGATAAAAGTACCCTTTCAGACCAGACTGGTCAGAGGACAAATGAAGAAGTTTATTTTTTACTTAAACATATGAAAAGATTTCTGGCAGAATGTCCAACGTCAGGTACCCATCATTATTAATGTACAATAGAATGTCCTATCATCTTAAGCCATGGAACCAGATTTTAAGTAACCCATCGCTCTACCAATTTATCAAACAAAATATTTTTAAATTATCCTAATTTTCAGTGCCAATATTTACTACTTCAAAATAACAGTAGTTCTTACCTGACCACGAATGGCATCATGAGCAATTAAACAAATGTAATAGAACCAAATAATGTGAAGAATTTGCAGGATAACCAGCAGGATGTTGTATACAGACCACATGGTACACCACCCAACTGTGGGGTCATTCAAGCCAGCTGGTGCTTCAAACATTGTTGAGCGAATGATTCTACACAACAGAAAACATAATGCATCAGACTCATCTACAAACATTGTTGAGCGAATGATTCTACACAACAGAAAACATGATGCATCAGACTCATCTACAAACATTATAGAGCGAATGATTCTACACAACAGAAAACACAATGTATCAGACTCATCTTCAATCATTGTAAATCGAATGATTCAACACAAAAGAAAACACAATGACTCATCTATAGATATTATATTTTAGTTTTCTGACATATTTTTATTTTTTAAAGACTCAATAAGTATGTTGTAAATTTGTATTAAATTCCAATCCTTAGTGTAATATGTTGCATTTTTACAGTCTATTTCATTGCAAACTCTATAATGGTCTTGTTTTGTGCTAGTAAAGAAAATTAAGTTTACACCATCAGTTAACTAGTCATTATACCTCATGTTTACACCTTCACTTAACCAGTTATTATAAGTTTTGTTTATACTAATCCTATACTCCGAGCTTCTGCATAATCTCTCCATAGAAAGCATAAAAGACAATAAAAATTACTAAAATGTATAAATGGACCACAGTACCTGAAGGGGAAGATGATCATCCTGGTAAGGACCCACACTATCATAAATATGAAAAATAATATTTCACAGGCTTTATCATAGCCAATATATTTAGACACTTTGGCAGCCTGGAATAAGAAAAGAAATTTTTTTAGTAATTAATTAACTGTGTTACATGTACAAACTCTACACCTTGACCATTCTGAACAGAACAGTTATAGACAGTAGTAACTTAATACAGTACCTCCATCCATGAGTCCACAGCATCATGTACTAGAAGTACCAGGGTCCCTATCCTGACAAAGTTGTTCACCCATGACATTCCCATCAACAATAAAGTTGCCACATGATGAATCACCATTTCAGTGAAATCCTAAGAGGGAATTCAACTTCATCAAAATTTATTACTAGTAGTACACAAATCAAGTAAAACTAATTTTAAGTAGCATCAATACAGAGGTTGTGAAATCTTATTTAAAAACATTGTCAAAGAGTAGCTTTTGTGTAGATATCGATGAAAAGTAATGGGTAAAAGAGACCAATTATATGCCAATTATAAGATGTTGAGCTTTTTATTGTATAATATTGAAAACCTGGAATTAAAAAATCCCAATTTATGAGCTATTTTTAATAACTATAAGTAAGTTTATATTAATGTGCTATAAAAAGAGTACTATATTCAGTCAATGACTTAAATATAGAATAGAATCTCGTAAAAAAAATAATTGCTCACCAAGTGAAAAGCAAACAATGTGTGTATAGTAGTGCTTATTATTAGTACATTATAAATTCATATGCGATTTTTGAGAAATCGGAAACAGTAAACAGTACTACTTCAAGTCACCGGAAATTACTCAAAATTTGAAAGAAGGCAGAGAATTAGATCTTTACTTATATGTGAAATTTCATCTATCTGAAACAGTACTCAAGTTATAGTGGAATAAGTTCCACCTCCGGTTACTGAAAATTGCTGAAAAGTTGATATAGAACTACAAATTTCATATAATACTTATATGCGAAATTTCATCAACCTAGCTGTAATGGTACTTAAGTTATCGTTTTCACAGACACACACAGACATACAAACATAATTGCAAAACTATGTTTTTTCGACTCCTAGAGGTGTAAAACGTCAAGATTTGTGAAAATCTCGATTTCATTTTTTTTACACAATTACAATACTTCCCCTATACTTCACATACGAGAAAGCAAAAATAATTAAAGTCAAATTACCTTTCTCTTATTGTCCGTGAATAGTGAGAAGAGTAAGCTGATATAGAAGGCACCTTCAATCATATAGTACCAGTAGATGTCATCTGTAACATTCTGTGAAAGGAAACATTAGGATGAATCTATGTGTTGATATATACAGAAGTAATGTAATATCACAAAGTGTGAATGAAAACATTTTAACTTGGAATCTTATGTATTGAGGCATACAGAAGTATATTAGATTAGTTACATTACCAAGTCCTATTGAAACCTACACATACATCACAAAGTCCTATTGAAACCTACACATACATCACAAAGTCCTATTGAAACTTTCAAATACATCACAAAGTCCTATTGAAACCTACACATACATCACAAAGTCCTATGGAAACTTACACATACATCACTAAGTCCTATTGAAACTTACACATACATCCCAAAGTCTTATTGAAACCTACATACATCACAAAGTCCTAATGAAACCTACACATACATCATCAAGTCCTATTGAAACCTACACATACATCACAAAGTCTTATTGAAACTTACATGATGTGGCCACCCAGCCCATGCTTGCATTGTTTCGTAAAACCACACTTTCTGTCATTGTTGGAATAAAACATGTGTATTACTGATTAATTCATTACAGTTAGAAAAAGATGATACACAACACCAAATGTCTACATTACAGGGAGAGAATAAAGATCTAGTACATACAAGAAATATTTAACATAGAATAATAATGGTGAGGGATACATTAAGAAAGCAGATTGTAAACTATACTCACATCCAAATGTAAGTAGACTCCATACCAAAATATGAAGAAATAAAACAATCCTCTCCAGCTATTAGAAGAAGAGATTCAATGATTGTTTTTTAAATTTCAGTTTATTTTATTATGATTTTCTAAAATAGCATCTTACAATGTTGTATGAATTAACAACATATACAATATTTGCTTATACAATACTATCAAGCTGTCTATACTACTATTTAGTAATTCTAGTCTGATATTTAAATTGTTAATACAAAATAAAATATTCAGAATTATACATTCATAAGTATGTAAATCAAAAGCAATATTGTGTTTTTAAAATACTCGAAAAAAAAACACTACATATTATACTACTTTTAGTAACAGTAAAGCTTTTGTAAATTGTATTTCATTGAACAGGTTGGCTTTATTGATTAACATTATTGCTATTAAAAATGAGCATTAGATGGTAAACTTACGAAGATTCACAAAACTTTTTAAACACTGGTGTTCTGTCTTGGTTTCTTCTGATTCTGAACCAACGCTCAACTTGCCTGATGGTCATATTAGTTTGCTTAGCCAGTTGCTGAAAATTTTAATACTTTTACTTTTGAAAAATGAAAAACTAGTTATGTTGTTTGTTCTAATTTTTTAAAAACAAGTATGCAGTAAAATAAAAAGAACATTTGTGCATAAATAATATATATTGTTGATATATATTTTAATATAAAAAGCATTGTTACTTTTCCATTTTTGATTAACATGCAACTATTTTTGTACTTTATACAGTAAGTAAGCCTGGACTACTGCTACTTATTAGCATAAGTTGTTAAAACAACCCAAATTAAGTAGCTGTCTACTACTGGATCAAATGGTTATGTGGCGTACATGTTTTAATATGATAGATCTCTAGATGGTTGGATTTCATTACTTAAAATGTAAGAAACATTTCTGAAAGATAAAGTTCTGAGCTGCAAGCAAACTATATGATCTAGTCATAAGGTTAAAACTCAAGACAATGGTTATAAAAACTAATTTTGACGTTAAAAATTATTTGATTATATAAATGCTAAAAATTAAATTTTAAAATAACCAAATAAACACGAGGTCAGTCATCAAAATGACAAAACTATTTGATTTACAATGAGCATTTTAACAAAGCAAAACTGGTCTTCTACTACTATCATATAGCCTCTTAACTTAAAAAAAAAACAACTTTAAGACAATTTACAACATAAATGTCTTATCAGCTATTGAAAATGCATAATTTCAACTTAATTCCATAAGAATAGAAACTAGACCATTTTTGTTAACTTAAACCCTCATACAAAATGTGGCCAATTTTACAGAACTAGCAGCATCATAGTTGCCTTGTTTTTTAAGGCTTAAACTAAAACAGAAACAATCTTCAAGATCACAGATTTGTTAAGTTTCTGATTGGTATTAGCTTAAAAGAGTGAAGAGTTAATTAAAATAGAGTGCTGTATTAATATTTTCAATTAATATGTTTAATACAGTTATAGGTTGAATGCACCACCAAACAGAACAAGCATAAGGTAGTACTTTGGTATTTGTGGGTCAGCATGTTCTATTAAATTTCAGATGCCATGTAACTGCCTTTAGTTTTGGTAACTTTTACTGTTGTCAAGTAAAATTGATAGATCTACTATTAATATTTCTTAAGCAACGCAACAGATTTAACACACAAATGTTAAAAAACAAAACATAAATAATTTAAACTAACTATCCCATTGGATGTTTACATTAATCTATATTTATTCAAAAGCTTAAGAAACTTAAGCAAAAAAAAATTCTTAAAATTAAAATGACATGACATAACTAGCTGAAAAATGTGTTCTTGCCAAATATTTAGAAAAAGAAGAAAATGAAATAAGCATAGAGTATGAAATGCCAGATCAATGCTTACTGATAACAGGCGATGATTACTGATACCACGCTGGAAGATAGTGATGATAAGGATTTATTCATTTTAATTTTTTAATGAAATTACATTTCCAAGTATCTTCAGTAAAAATTTATTCTAACTTTTAAAAAGTAAGCCAAGTTAGAACACATATTTTTTTATTTTTTTTTTTGGTTTATGGAGTTGATGTTTTGCCTAGGATGCAATCAGGAAAAGACATTTAATGTGTAAGAGAGTCTTCATCTAAGCACAGAAATGAGTTCAAGCTAAAACTTTTCAGTCACTGTCTTCATTCATATAAACATTTCAACGCTAAAGTCACCATTATCACTAGATACCTATACACAGGTTATGTTACAGAAATTTATTTTTTTATGAAGCCAATATTGCAAATTAAAGGTAATTTCAATACTTAGTTAATTCTTAAAGTTTTTTATAAAATATTAGTTCAAGATTTTAAAAATTAATAGTGAGATAACTATCACATTTTCTGCACATAAAAAAAGTAGGGAAAACTATATTTTTAGATGATTTTAAAACACACGTTCTATCTGTTTAGTTAACAATACAGACCTCACATTATTATAAAGAAAACTTTGTTATTAAACTTTTAAGTTTATGGTTGCATTAAGAAAAAGGCATCTAAGTACATGTAGCATCAAATTTTGCTAAAGCAAAAAACACACCATAGCATTCAAATACCCATTGTTTTTAATGAAAATCAGAAGGTGTGTTTAATGAGAAATTTAGAAATGGGAAAGTAATAATTAACTTAAAACATGGTCTGGATACAGAAGTTTCAAATTGTAAAATAACTTGTGTGGTAAACAGTCATTTCAGTATTTCAAATGGATGCAACCAGCTTACATGTACAATCAAAATAAAATATCTCTTCATTATCCTTGTTTAACTTAAAAAATAACCACCGGTAACATGTTACACAATTTGATGATTTCTCACATTGCTGTCATGAATCTCATGCATAAAGTTGGAACAGAAACTTCATAATTTCTGCAACAGCTACATGAACTAAAATATCTTATTTTTTTGAAAATCCCCCTTCAACAATTCAGGGAATAAAAAATCCAATCAGATGGAAAGCTATTAAGCTGTTTAAATACAATGCATTGTTTTCAATCACCTACCAGGAAATTTTTATGCAAAATCCCTAATGATCTCTAAAGAAGCTGACCCTAGTTCTATGTATAAATTATTATTATACATTACTGATGAAACAAGTTAATTAAAAAAGTCTAGTGACATTTATGCGCAATTTCCTTATGTTATCTAAAAATAGCTCTGACGTATAATGCTGGGGTGCGTTCAAGCTAGAAGAACGATCGGTTTGTAGGTGTTTATGTAATTTTAAAATTTGTGACCGAACGAGAGGATATTTTTTAAAACTTTCTTCCGCAATATTGTTCTAAATTATGGCAGGAATCGATTGGTATTTGTTTCAAGTCGCTAAGTGGTCTGGTTGCCGAGATATGTACAAAAAAACTGAATTTTTTCGAGGTTTTTGGCTTTTCCGGGAAATACATGAAAGAAACCCGGGATTTTTATGGCCTATGCTCATTCTCGTAACTCGTTTAACATAATTGCTTTTGGAACTATTCCTCGATATTGCTTCGTTGAGGAGGAGATACGACTTAAAGCCCGGACACACATTCATCCATACATTCATTCATTCATCCATCCATTCCCAGAAATGACGAGTTAATAAACGCAATTCTCCAGAATGGAAATTGCGCTAAAAAATAATAAACTGAGAGGATCAATCAATAAGTAAGTGACTACATATAAAGACCTGTACAGGTGCAAAAATCATAACTTCCTGGGGTAAATGAAGGTTTCAAAAGTTCAACATTTTTAAAAGCTAAAAAAATGTTGGAATATATTCTAATCAGAATTATTTTTTCATGAAAAGTAAATACAAACCAAGCATTCACTATTATTAGTTGAATCAAATAAACTGTTTGCTAAATGAAAACCACGCAAATATAATAATGTAGATAAAAGACAATTTTTACCTGTACTGTTTCATTAGATGGTGCTTTTTTCTGCTTAAACGCATTTTCCAGTATTGGATTAGGAGTGGCTTTTTTCACTATTGCTTTTAAACCAAAAGAATGCCCAATAGGTCCAAAAATAAATCTGCAATTGCAATGGTAACATAAAAACACACAAAATTACTTAAGTTGGTGAAAAACAGTTTGTGAAAAGGAAGCTCAATGTATTTCAAATAGAGCAGAATTAGTTTGCCTCTTTTTTGTTGATGTTTTTTTTTAGATGTGTTAGTGTTAGAAAAAATGTTTTTTGTGAAAAAAACGTTAAATATATGGGCCTAATTGAAAAATAGCTGAAAATTTCATACTGACATAAAATATGTTTAAATGAACAGTAAAAGGGTAAAAAAATAAAGTACATTTTTACGTTGGCCTAAAGTAACATATTTAAATTCAAAATAAGGTAGGCCCTATTTCGTGATATTAAAGTCGATACAATAAAAAGTTTGGGTGCTGTGAAAATTGGAATATCATATTCAATGGACTTAGAATATATTTATGGCGAGAGGGTAAATTATACCAATACAGACTTAAATAAAGTGATTATAAATTGAATGCTGCATCGAACTTTAAGTGTCATAAGAACATTGGAATTCGGGTGCAGTAAACTATTGACAGATATCAGTGCAATTTACACCCACCTAGACTACCAATCTATTGGGGAAAAATTTAAAAAATGTCATGTGACAGGCTATTTTTGCAGCATTCTGGCATTACTGTAGTATTGCTCGCTAACCCGGAGGTGAGACAGGTTGCTAACAACAATATGGTGTCCACACAGGGCACATGACTTTGGGCAATTTTTTTGTCTTAGTTCCAGAGACCTTCTTAGAATTACTTTTAAAAATGTCTACCATGAGTAAAATGGTGGGATTTCACATTATAGCATTAATAGGTTTATCAGTCTATGAAAAAAGAAATCAAATACTGTGAGCTGTTTTTTTATTATACCTGAGCTCATATCACAACCAATTTTTTTTTTTTTAAAAAACCACATGACTCTTATTTGGTTGATCACTAGAGAGGAACTCTGGTGCATAGTCAGTTAAAAAGTCGAACCGATTTGTGGTTTGCCGTGGCTTCAAACGTAATAGTGATATAACATTGGTTGTAATGAAAAGGTGTGTCGTGCCATGGCAGTGAGTGATAATAAATATTAAATTTAGTAATTTAGTTTAGAACAAACTAAAAACTTCAATATTAGTGCCTAATGAATAAAATATGGATGTTTATTATTTGGTGGTCATGTTTAAATTGAAAATTTAGTAGGCCTATAATTTTGATTTAGTGAGAAAATCTACATTACTGCCTTGCCGCTTCGCATCTCCCATTTTACCAAAACCTAACCATTTTAGCCCACCCTTATTAGAGAACTAAATTGAAGTGCAACCACTTTTACCACAAGTACAGTTCACACTTTGTTTAAGATGATCATGATAAAATACAGGCTAAAAATAACATATTCAATCAATACTCCAGTCGAAACCACTTTTTACTTAAATTCTAATTTTCTACTTGTTCATGTCCTATTGTTTTTTGGCCGATGCTAGCCAGAAAAAGATACGCATGCGCAATGGAGAGAAACTACGACTTTCCCTCGTTGTGATGTTTTCGATGGTACTGCGCATGCGTGTGTTTACAACCGCAGAAACCTAGCCCTAACCCCAACCCTACCCTAATCCTATCCCTAACCATAACCCTAGCAATAGGTCACTGCGCATGTGCAGAACTATCTTTTGCCGACTAGGTGGAGACATTGGGGCGAAAAATTGTTTTCTGAGTTGTCACTTCGTTGGTTTTTTTTTTGTCTCAGAATACTATAGATCTATTATTATCCATTATGTTCTATTTTATCTATATGTAGACTATAGGCCCTATATATTATATATTAAGACCTCTATTTAATTTGTAGGCCTAAAAAACTAAGTGTCAAATCCAAAGATTCTTTTCTTACAATAAAAATGAATAAATTCTTATTTTTCTTAAGATTTTCTTACCTTTCAAATACATAGCGCACAACATAGACTAATACTGAAAGATATACTGGTACTATTAAGTCGCTTGTCTGTGGGTGATAAATGCCATCGTCGACGTTTTTAAGTTCAGCCCATGTTCGGTTAGCAGGTAACCAAAATCCCTCATACCAAATAATATCGGATACTGTTTGCCACAGATCCGCCATGATAGCATTTACCTTAGCACTTGACAATCATGCCAGGTTTTATTGACAACGAATGGTAACATGTATACCTGGTCACACTAATCACCGGACACAATATTGTTAAATAGAAATCAGGTAAAACTTAACATACCTATATTATTAATTTTATTATTTAAATCTACAAAAAAGTCCGTTTCATCTCAATGATTCCCAAACTAGTTTGGAACATCGGTTTTTATTTGTAATCAATTATTTATTTATTTACTTGCAAAAGAATATTATTAAGACATATGGGCCATAAGAAGAAACATTCTACAAACATGGTGTTATTGATGTCATTAGAAGTTAGTACTAGTACGATTCGTCATTCAGCCTGTACCCACAAAAGTTTATAAAACTAACACATTATGTTATTTGCAATGTTTTTCAAAGTACTATTCATCAAACACGTTTTATTGTAAGTATTTGTGAGTTCGTCTTGAGAACAAGAACAAATTTGTTTTAAAGTAAATACGGTATGCTCTCTAATGAAAATGAGTTTCAAAAATTAATACTTTCAGCTATAGCTAATTTCTTTTTAAAATGTACAATGGCTTAGCTAGAAAATGTTAGGGGATTATAGCTCCCCCCCCCCCTCCATAACCCCACCCCTGTCCTGGATTTTCATGTCACATGTTTAAGTTTCAGCTATTGGCGAAAGTATCAGTTTCAAAATTTTAAATGTCATAAAACCACAATATTGTACGTTCATTAAAATCAATATGGAATAAAAAGGCCCGTTTCTTTCGGACATTTTTCTAAGGGGAAATTTTTAAAATTTTAGGGGGACGGGGTGCAGTTAAAAATTTGACCTTTTTTTTTCATTTAGTCGGACTGGCGGTGTGCTCGGTGGAGGAGGGGGCAGTGCAGTGCCCTCTCCCGTAGAGATGCTTGTGAGGCCTTTAAATCAGTTAGAGCATCACTCTGATTCGTAGCTCAAATTTATAAGTAATTAGTATTTTTATCGCTATTTTTCCCTGAAGCCGACAAAGTGTAACTGGTTGTGTAAAGTGATAAATAATGTTTTAGTATTTCTGTGATGATGTAAAACGGCAGCCAGAATATTCTTGCAGTTTTAACTCACTAATGCGGCATATAGAACACATACATTCGTTAAAATTTTGAGGGTTGACGCTCTGTTAGGCTATTATATCGAAATAAACTATAAAAATATTGAATATTACTAATAAGACTATAATAAGACTAAGAAATAAACTTTTAAAAAGAAAAATTAACTTTTGAAAATCGACAAACTGCGCACTAGAATGTGTAAATCGATAAATACTTTAATATACTGAAACATTAAAATATAGGATAAATAAATTAACCACAGCAAATCACGTTAGATAACAGGCAGACTGAAAAAATTGTACTGTTAGGAAAGTAATTTTTGTTAGATTTTCGGATGTCATTTCCCAAGGATGTAATTTCAGGAAACAACATGGAATAACACATTTGCGAGTTCCCTTATTTCAATGGTACTACGGAAAACCCTTTGATCTATTGAGGATAGAGACAAACTTAGCCAATCATTAAATCTATATAATTTTTGTCTTTCCCGTTAACTATTATTGGCTCGTTCTGTATTTCTTTAGTTCTTGCAATTGCGAGTTAGGTGCTCTTAGACCACAGAATGCGAACCGCAATTTTGCGAAGGATTATCAATGTAACTTAGTAGGACTATATTTATAGATGCCCGCATGTTGTAAGGATTATTAGCTTATCAATTGTAAAATTACTATAGGAGATATGACTTGACTCAGTGGCGTAGCGAGGTCGGGTGTCACCCGGTGCGGCACTTAATGGTGTCACCCCCCCAGAGGCATATAGACCCTTCCCAGGGACAAACTTTCAAATTTTCGATTTGCACCCCCCCCCCTCAAACTTTCGATTTGCACCCCACCCCCCCTCGAGTTTTCGATTTGCACCCCCCCCCCCCTCAAACTTTCGATTTGCACCCCCCCCCCCTCGAGTTTTCGATTTGCACCCCCCCCCCCTCAAACTTTCGATTTGCACCCCCCCCCTCGAGTTTTTCTCTATATATTTTGCTATTTTTTGCCTTGGTGTCACCCCCCTAAATGGTGTCACCCGGTGCGGTCCGCACCCCCCGCCCCCCCCCCCCTCGCTACGCCCCTGACTTGACTTACTTATTGCACTTTACTCCTGGTGGACCCAGAATCTCAACCATTTTCGACCACTTTTTCCGGTCCCGGTTTGTTTTTCGCCGTCTACCAAGGCATCTTTGCCGGAGTTTCTTTAAAGCATCTGAAAAAAACAAAACAAAACAAAAACAAAACAGAAAAAAAAATACGATTTATATAGAAAATATACTTTAACCAGTGACCAACCTCCCCGGAAATGAAAAGAAACTGATCCCCGCGACTGCAATTTCTTCCAAACACTCCACATCGTGTGTCCCACCCAGCGTCTCTTCTTCCGTCTTATCTGAGCTGTCATAAGCCGAAGCTTTATGCTATTCACCGGGCCTGTCATCTTCATGTCATCTCATCCAAATGCGGGAGAGGGGTGGTATTTTCATGATAGTTGCATCAAATCAGAAAAGGAACAACCGCTTTCATCAACTATACCGGGGAAAAAACACCTCATCTTTCGAAAACTACAAACATAAAACAGCTAGGTCCGCAGTTACATGACCAATTATCTTGTATAATTGGCTACATTTTAATGTCTCGTCGCATGCATACAACTTCATTGTCTCAGCGCCCATTTTTCTCACAATGCTAATCCAATTTAATATCTTTACATTTGATGTTTACGTTACGCTGGTGATTATAGACCGTCAATCACATATCTCTACTTTCCTAAACCACTCCTTATTAGTGATTACACGTGCAAGATTTTAATTAAGGCGTCAGCCTCAAGTTTGCGTTGTCATGCAGACTATTATTTATAAGGCTTAGTTCTTATTGTACTTGTATTTTTAGATCAGCGTCAGCTAGGTAACATGATTCACCTCTTCAAATATAGTATGGAAGTCAATAAATGACGTCATACTCCTATAATAGTGGGGGGGTTCGTACTTTGTGACGATGTGTGATGAGCGGGAGGTGGGGTTCAGATAGTGAGACGGTTTATTTTTGCATTTAAAAAAAGAATGTTAGCTATTGAATTTTAGCCGTTATTTCGTGTTTCAGAAACAATGTTTGTAAGTTGTAATAAAATGGACGAGCTCAGTCAATATTTTTGAAAGAAATCAATGCTAAAAAAAACCATTGCAATTTTGAGGGGTGGGGTGGCCCGGGGTAAGGATGGGGGATTGTAGGCCGATGAAAGGCGTTATTATACATGTGGGGGAGGGGGTATGGATTTTCGTTATGATGTGTGACTATTTGTGCGAATATTTTCCCATAAGTACCCCAACTTAGTTAAACACAAATAAATAAATAAGGCTTATTGTGATGGGGGGGGGGGGTATACGTTGCTATATGAATCTATACGATGACTACTCCTATAACTAACACCAACTATAAACATGTGATGAGGACGGGAACACTCTTATTTTCCGACGACACTAAGTTAACGATACCAACAACTTCGATCGTAAAATAAAATTAACTTTATTATCAAATACAAATACTAAAAGAGCTAGAACTACATTACTAAAATATACAACACGTCCTTTTCCTACAATGGCTAACCCCCAACTGTCTTCACCCCTGCGTCCTACGTCATCAATAACATTGTCGCGTCACGCTCACGTCACACTCACGCCACAAATATTTTACTAAACACGCGCACATACTCTCGAACCAAATCGTCTACCGTCGTGTTTACACCGTCCTAAATAATCTCTACTAGTCTAGTCTAATTTTATGTCTACGCTATGACACTTATTAAGAAGGGGTTTTTTTTTCCGGAGCCTAACCACTTAACATGTCAAAGGAGAGCATACACAGGGCATCTTTCAAAACCAGTTATTGGGATTGTAAGTGAAAATACATGCTGTTCCTCTACGCCTCTGCTCCATAAAATAATAAATAAATCGGAGTTGGCCTTATTTCTCCGCAGAAGACCATCCCCATTTTATTATCTAATGTTTGTCAACCGATGTATCTGTTTTTGCTTCTACCTCGAAGCGTGGAGCGAGTAAAATTTTTCGTAAATTTCGTATTTTCGTAAAATAAATGGGCATAACACCTGCAATGTTCCGCTCGTGGTACTTAACAGGTCATAAAATATGAGATATAAATAAATGTAGGCTTCTAAATCGACAGTGTTTGTGGTTTGCTAAAAAAAAACTGATGCAGATTTTTTAGCACGATTTCGTAAAGCGAATAACTATCTTACAGAAGCTAGACACCTAATAGAAGAAAACTATGGATGTAGTCGAAATTTGTCCATGACATTCATACATTTTCACTTGTCAGTCAACTTATAATCGTTTTGAATATTCCTAAGCTGTGCACATAAAATTAAATTGGTTCTTTTTTTTCGTAGTGCAATTTGACAAGTCACACACATTCTTTTTATTTAAATTTGGCTTTGAAAACGTCTAAACATCTGACCAAGTAGGTCCTTTTCTATATCCGGTTTGTAGGCAGGTAATGTTTATTCTAAGTATGTAGTATATTTGTGTTTAAAATCTATTTCAATCCTTAATTAGATAAGTGAAATTAATTAATCGAAAGTGAATTTAGTAAAACTAAGCCATTTGTAAGGTGTTTTGTTTTCCAGATTCCACTTTTGACAGTTCTTTCCTAAAAAAATCCAATTTTATTGTACATAACATTTCTTTAGTTTTGTAAGGTCCCCTACAAATTTTGTAGGCCTAATGGTTGATTTATTATTGTATTCAGATCTACAATATTTTTAACGTTATCATTTGCTGTTTGCATTAAGACTCAAAACTTGTATAGATCAAGTATTCACACCAAACGCAACTGAAGTAATAAGAAATTTCATTTGAATTTGGGGGGGGGGGGGGGGGGAAGGAGGTTGAGCTGCAAAATAAAAGTTGTGCCCAGAATATTTTTTGTGAGCCAAAGTCCAGACCTTTAGATTTAGAGGCGTACGTTTGCAGCTCCAATTTTTTTTAGCTAAACCTTGTTTAGTGAGGTGTGTGAGTTTTAATTTTGGTAATTTAAGTCAAGTTGGTAATCTATCGTTTTGGGTACGTAAAATCGCCCGCGGCTATTTATGTACGAAAACGTTACCTCATTGTCAAGGCTTTAATAGAATTATATTGTCATATGTTTGTGTCCAATATTATAGATAAATGAATAATAAACCTAAATCAATGGCTAAATATATCGATATAGGCCAGAAATTAACTTTAAACAGCAGTGTCTGAGAGCAAGATTTGCTATATAAACAGCAGCCATTTGTAAAATAGAGTGGCTTCCCCCTGAATCTGGCGCTAAAAGCTTATGAAAATAAAACTTAGACAAGATGGCTGCTGTAGTAAATGAGCATGGTTGCATCTGTTGGAAACATCGCTAGTCTTCATTAATTACGGAAAAGTTTTAATTCAATTGTTTAAAAACAGGTACATAAATGAATCAAGGAAACATTTTTGAATTTTTTAAAACATAAATCCTCCTCAAAATGTGAAATAATTATTAAAATTTAAGGAGTCACCTGTTTTTCACATTACAAATCGCGGGCGATTTTACGTACCCAAAACGATAGATTACCGTCAAGTTGTCCAATATCAATATGTATGAAAATGCCCTGCCCACCCATTGCAAGGTACCTGATCTTACTATCCTGTTTCATAATGCCTCTACTTAATACAATAGTGTTGGGGGTGTGCAGGGAGATTCTTTTTACTATTTTATTGTATATACCTGTAGTTATTAGATTCTATTAGCCTACGTTTTTATTTCCAGACATGGGTAAATTTATGAAATCTGGAAAAGTGGTGTTGGTCCTTGGTGGACGATTTGCTGGGAGAAAAGCTGTTATTGTTAAGGTGAGTTGTTTTTTTTTAAACAAACCTTTAGGCCAGGGGTCTCCAAAATTTTCAGTCAGAGGGCCGCATTAACTATCAAATTTCAGTTTGGGGGCCAGTTTCTTCCAGGCATGTCTTTGATTTTTCTGGGCAAAGTTCTTCAGCCATCACCAACAAACGATTTTTCCTTGGACAAAAAGATCTCTGCGGGCCGGATGAGAGGACTTTGAGGGCCGCATCCGGCCCGCGGGCCGTAGTTTGGAGACCCCTGCTTTAGGCTAACCTGTTGCATGCACATTTTCTCAACATTCCTCACTTTTCCCCCTCTATTTTCAGAACTATGATGAGGGAACTACAGACAAGCCTTATGGTCATGCATTAGTTGCTGGTATTGACAGATATCCCAGGAAAGTAACAAGAAGCATGGGTAAAAAGAAACTTAAACAGAGATCTAAAGTCAAGTCTTTTGTGAAAGTTTACAACTTCAATCACCTTATGCCAACCAGGTTAGTTATTTAAAAGAAACTTGTTCTACTGAGACTTAAGGGTGTGATTTTTTATATACTTCCATTGTTGTTGAATTTTTTTTTTTTTTTTTTATTGTCATTTGAGACTAGGGAGTTTGGTTATAAAATAAAGGGCTTCTCTACCAGTATTAAAATTTGCTATCTTTTGGAATTTGTGTCTGTGCATCACATCACAACTATTAATAATTTTCCCATTATTTGGTCCAGAGGCATCCTAAAGTGTTTGTTAATTTAGATGTGCTTAATTTTTAGTTCTGTCAAGCTAACACAAATGCTTGTGCTCAATATAAGTTTACCTTCCATCTTTTTTAACTCAACCAATTTTTATTGTAATAACTAACTAAGGGTAAGGCTAGATCAGGAAAGGTTGTTTGTATACCATGGTGCGCAATTTAGGTTTCACTACTCAGTACACAATTTTCAATAAATTTGATGTAAATTTAACCTGAAGAATGCAGCTAATGCAATCCTTTCATTCTTCAAATTGCCAAATTAATAAACTTCATTTTTTTTGTAGATATTCAGTTGATATCAACTTTGAAAAGAATGTGGTCAACAAAGATGTCTTCAGAGATCCAGCTCTAAAAAGGAAAGCCAGGAGAGAAGTGAAAGCCAAATTTGAAGAGAGGTAATTATTTTTAATTTGTTTTCCTGGCATAGAGCTAGTTGTTGATTATATAATAAATACGATTTTTTTTGTATTTGCAGATACAAGACTGGTAAAAATAAATGGTTTTTCCAGAAATTGCGATTCTAATTGGTTCTCTGCATTAAATTATCTCATGCAATCCTGACTTTTCTCTTTTTTTTTTCAAAAACTGTTTTGTTTTTTATATTATGTAATACAGTGTACAATTATTATTAAGTCTTTAATTCCAACTAGAAGCAGCTTTTTAAATTCATTTATTCAGTGGAAACAAGTATAATATCACATGGTGTTGTGCTCAAAATGGTGCATAATCTGTGTAATATGATGAAAGTCTGTCTTGATGAAGTGATTATCTGACTTAATTTACACAGTGATAGTGGTGGTGAATTGTAAATTAAATTAGCACTCATGAAAGTTTATTTTGACAATGTTACAAAATGAATATGGTTCACACAGTCAGTGGTTGTAGTTATGTAATCAAGTTGATCAGTTCTAAAAGTCGTCACTGTCTTCTTCCTCATCAATAAAGGCATTTTTTACAACAGGTTTTGATTTCAATTTTGGGAGGACATCTTTTGTTTGGCCTGTTAACAGAAAATGTTCAGTAATTAACTAATAAGTAATCATACATTGGCTATTATTATTTGTATCTAGTTATCTATCATCATTGTAACTGATCTTACTTTTATTTCCACCTTTGCTGTCAAGATCAAAACTTTTGTTTTTGGTGTTTCTAATATCTTTTGCCAATCGTTGAGCTGAAAGGCTGTCTACTTCACCTAGTAGAAATAATGTGCTTTAATTGACATTAAAAAATGAATTCTTTTGTCTATGTGGGGTGCATGTCCTGCTGGTGATTTGATATAGGTTTGCCAGAGTCTCAAAATAGTGTAAGAAAACGTATTATTTTTAAAAATCCTGATATTCCATGAAAAGAATCAGTATGCCTTTTTCTAGGTCGGCCTACTGTAATAATAATTACACAACTGAACAAGGTCACAATATTAATAAACACTAATATATCTATGACAGACACTTTACACATAACAGCATACTATTACTAAAGATCCAAGTACAGCTCTCATTCATGGAGTAAAAGGCTCATTTATTGGGAGGGTCAATCACAACTTGTAACAGTGTAGATTATTTCCTGATTGTAATGTAAATACTTATACTACCATCAACTGACTGGAATAAGGACAATACAAAATTGAAAAAAATTCTATTCAGGAGATTTGCCGTAAACATCACCTTTCTCTGTATGCTGGAAATGAGGACACCCCAAAACAAACCCAGAGGTGTAGCGACATATTCAGGCGCCCGGGGCGGTCCATCAATTTTGCGCCCCCTCCCTCCCATTTCTATATACAATTATTCCTGTCCTCTGCAAAAAAGCACCCCTACCACAGTTGGAAATGTTTGTGACGCTTCTTACCATTTCGGTGCCTCAAAATTGATATAGAAAACAGTTAAAGCAATGTGTAAAACCTTGAAGTCGTTTTTTTTTTTCGAAACTTTGACTGTATAATTTAATACTTCAGCTTAAAACGAGCTTTTACATTAATTTTTCTCCCCTTTTTGGTGCCCCCTGAAGATCGGCGGCCGCCCCACCCGCCCTCCCCTAGCTACGCCATCGAACAAACCCAGATCTGTTGCCAGCTGGAGATAAGGTGCTTCTGCATTTCAACAGATCCTCTTAAAAATTTCAGTATAATATTGATCTCCCTTTTGGTCAACGTTAAAGCATAATTATGGCTAAGATAATATGAGGCTAATTAAAAATAATTACCTGACTTTGTTGCTGAAAAGGCATCTTGTAAATCTCTTTTGGGCATTTTGCTAATTTTAGCAAGTTGGAGTAGAAAGTCTTTGTTTTGGGCCTAAAATGTTCAAGGTGGGGTATTAGTATTTCAGCAGTTATCCTTTCTATTAAGCCATTCTAAACTTAATATTTCTATACTAACTTATGTGCTGTGCTTACCTCTAGCTCCTTTTTCAGCTCAGCTTCCAGTGAAGAGTTGATTTCAAGCTTATATTTTTCTAACTCTGTCATCATCTCTTCCTCAAGATCTTGCATAGCTTTTGCATGCTTTTGTTCTAAAAATGTCTGCATTAGTGCAAGACTTGCATACCTAAAAAAATAAACCATACATGTACAATTATCAAACAGCAAATATTAATGAATTAAATGTATTAATTTTACAATTTCATATGATCTTACCCTGCACCTCTTTTCTGTTTGACTGTATATTCTGCTTGGGCTTCTTCTTCTAGCTGAGTTTCAATATTTCTAAAGAAAAGGTGTTTAAAAAATAAGAATCACTATGATTTATATATAGTTTATACATAATTTTTGCTATTCTGTCAGCCTGGTACGCTTAAGGGAAAACACAAGGAAAATAAACAGAACAAAACTTCCCTCGACTGTTCCATCACATGAAAATTTTCAAAATGCATGTAGCGTTTCTTTTAGGCATCTCTTTTAGTAGGGGGGGTGGCTGAGCATTCCCCCCCCCCCCCCCAATAATGTCTGCCCCTTCCCAAGAAAATATATACTTTTACCAGTATCAGCCCTTAATCCACTGGATGTTTGATTGGCAAAAATAGGAAAAGGGTCGTGAATTAGTGTCTACCTTTAATCTGTATGATCTACAAATGTGATCAGTGTTTCATTCAGACTTTTCTCCCAGGGGTAAAAATATATTTTCTATACAAATTATATTTTGTTATTATAGTGGTGGTAGACTTCTTTTGTGACATTTCGTGACAAAAGCCAACACTATCAACCTAGCGCCCTTTATATCTCATATATCTTTCTTTATCTTTTTGAAATAGCATTACACATTGATTATAAATACTTAAAATAACTATCCTTATTAATGGTGCACAACCCCATGAATATCAAAGCACATACTAATAGCCTGGGTTGTTTTTTTTAGAACATGAATGGGGTGGGATGAAAGTGCAATATATATTATATACTGAAGCTATAGCCACCAGAGCCGGCGTTAGGGGGTGGCGAACGGGGCGGTCGCCATAGGCCCCGCGCTTGAAGGGGCCCCGCGCTTCAGCACTGTCATTGTTATCTGAATTAGTTCGTAAACTTAAAAAAATTGTTGCTGACTTCAATTGGGAAAAACTAAATGGTGGAATGCCGACGTTGTTGATTGTTATAACTGAGGCCACGGTTGATGTTGGTGAGTCCCACCTGAACTGGGACAGGCCGTAATTCGATACAAAAATAGTGTCACACCTACCCTTTGTGTAGGGTACGGTCGCCTGGCATTTGACCTGAGCTGACTGGAGATGGCGGTCGAGAATTAGCCCACGACGTAAAGAGATACCCTATTGTATACGGACCGATGAAGACGTCCTTTTAGTGAGCAGACGGGATGTCTATAGTAGACAGTTAGTGACCTGATGAACTCTAGTCCTGACTTTCTTGTTGTAGATGTCGTATAATGTCGTATATGTACAGTGTTTCTTCCAGACTTTTTTCTCCGGGGGGGAGGGGCACTTGAAATTTTCGGGGGGGGGGGGGTGCGGACACTGTTAAAAGTATATATTTTCTCTATAAATTATATAAATTTCGTTTTCGGGGGGGGGGGGGGCTACTCTATATGTAGGCCTACTTGTCTTGGTATAACAAAATTAACATTCAGTTGCGTGCAGAGGGGTGGGAGGAGGGCGACGAGGAGGGGGGGGCCTTAGGATCTATATCAGGCGGCATTAAACAGAGTGATTTATTATTATTTTTTGGAAGAAAGTTAAAACTGTTGTTATGTTGTGTCACCTTAAGGATTCACCCCTTCAATAATTAAGACAATAATGATTTTGGTTTTAAAATATTGTATGAATTCTAAACAAATTTTGAAGTCTATACTGTTTTGATACATCAGGCCGAGTTCGCTGTATTGTAAACTTTATTTTCCTAATTATTCGGCATGTGATTAAATTTTCTTAAGTGATTTGGTATGAAGTACATAACTGTTAAAAGTGATTTAATATCTTAGCAAAGGAAAAAAAAAACTACGAACATTGGGTTAATACATGGAAGAGATAAAAATCTGTTATTATAGTGGAAAGTTTGACATTAGCTTATAAACTCCAAAACATTTGTGTTATTATGTGTACATCACATTATATAGGCCTTTATACATATATATATATATATATATATATATATATATAAATATATATATATATATATATATATATATATATATATATATAATGGAAAGGCCCCGCGCGGATGGTTGGCCCTAGGCCCCGCGTATTCCTAACGCCGGCTCTGATAGCCACCCATCTAACACAGCAGCTGGGCTTCTCTGGTCAGGTAAAGGAATGATGGGACTTACTCTTCCAATTCTTGTTTTTTAGCACTCAGTTTCTCTTGTATCATTCTTTCCTGCTGCTTTCTTTTGCGATTAAGTTGTTCATTTAAGAGAGAAACTTGGTTGTTGTGTTGTTGGATGATCTGGTCTGTTAAGCTAGAAGGTGGGGCTTCACCTGCTGCAATGGTTCTCTCCATTTCCTCCTGAGTTAGTTATATATTTTTTTTAAGGACTCTAAATATACTATAAAAGGAAAATCAGCTTAATACTTAATATATTTTTTTTTAAAATGCCTGAATATTTCTTTGCTATAGATTTTGTCATATTTTTTTTTAGATTGTACCTGTAATTTCTTTAGAGTCTGATCTTGCTTTTCTAGGATTGCCTTCCTTCTTGCATCACCTATCTGATAAAGGTTAAATATTTTGTTTAATTACACTTTTACTTAAAATAATTACAGATTGAAATAACATATAATTTTGAACTCTAGAAAGTAGATTAAATGAATTTCAGGTTCCATTATTTAATTACAGTGTTTAAAGAGACACTGCATTGTTTGACCTTTTCTTACTTGAAGACGAGCTATAAGAAGTCCTAATTCTTCATCATGTACTTTAAGAGCTTCTTCTGTTTCCTTTGCTAGTTGTTTTCTTAGCTCAACCACAGCAGACTTTCTGGCATTTTCAAAGGCCTCTTCCTCTGCTGCTATTTCTTGTTCCTTTTCATATTTCATGCATTATTGAACACTTTTTGGCATGTATTATGTTTTTAAATTAATATTTAAAATACAGACTTGTAAAAAAAAAATGCACAGTTGTTTAAAATATAATACAAAATTCTTTTAAATCATTGTGAGTAATTTGGCCTACCAATTTAGTTGCCAGATTTTTTCTTTCTTTTACATCTGTTTCACTTTTATCTTGTTTAAGTTGTTCCTGCTGTTTTTTAAGCTCCTCAAGTTTTACTTTGCGTTGATTGAGTTTGATTTCTAGGCTGTTGTAAATAATGAAATAAGTACATACCATATGGGCTTATATAAAAACATTCTTTACACAGCTTTATTTTAAAGACATTTTAAAGAATTGGTCTTACCTTTTCTGTTGTCTCAGCCTGCTAAAGAGCATCTCATTTGACAAAGTTTTCATATTTCTTTCATGTTCTCTCAGTACCTTATTTTTGTCTCTGGTTGAAAATACATTTTAGTTGAAATGGTAAGGATAAAAATTAACATGCAACAAGGAGTTTTTGAGACAGGAAAATTTAGTCAGAGGTAATTTCATTTGAATCAAAAGGAGACTTAAATTAATATTGATATAAAAATCTAACAGGAGAACAGAATTTGCTCAATAATATTAAGACCTAATAATAAAATAAATATATATGTATATGTATATATATATATATATATATATATATATATATATATATATATATATATATATATATATATATATATATATATATATATATATATATATATATATATATACATGTATATATATATATGATATATATATAATTATACATATATATATATATATATATCGAGTCATCTATAAAACAGCCCGTACTCTTCATTTAAATCCATATTAGTAGCTAAAACTTTATTTAAAGCAGATATTTGTTCTTCATGCAACATCTCTTGTTCTTTTTCATTCTGGGCTTCATTTTCATCTGCCACATTAAGTCTTTGTTGAAGTTTTTCCTGAAGTCTAGCCAAAACAGCTTGTTTTTCTCTTTGCATCTTTGCTGAATAAAGCAAATACAGATTTTTTTTTTTGTACACTAAGTACTGAAGTAGGTAACTTAATCTTATATTTGTTCTTATAATTCTTTATCTTAAATGTACTTCCAAAGATTGATAACACATGAAATAAATTACCATGAAATTTATACCAATAATTAATTTAGAATAGCTTTTTTTTTTAAATTATAGAATTTCATTAATTTTGTTATAAAAAAAACAACAGTAAAATATGTTTGACTAAGTGAAACCAATTTAATATTTACCATTATATTCTGACATCTTAGCCTTGTGAAGTTTAATAATTTTTTCTGGATCAGCCTTATTCAGAAGAGCCAAGTTTTCCAGCCTTGGAATTATCTTCTCCAATTCTTTGCCCATGGTCTTCATTTCCTCTGTGTTAAGTGCCTGGATATAAATATGTTGATTCAAAATTTTTGTTTACAATTTTTAACACCTAAAATGTTAGTATACTGAAAGAAAAAATATGCCACATTTTTAGTCCCAAAGACAAAATTTAAAGAGAAAATTACTTATACTACTATTAAGGTTCCTTAAAGTTAAAAGATTTATTCTTATGAGGAAGTACCATGTATAAATACTAATAAAGCCTAATATCCATGTTATTTAAGTTTTTAAAAATGTATATACACCCAATACAATCTTGGTGGGAAAAAAATCTGTTATGAGCCTACAACAAAAACATATACATTTACAATTCACAATTATTACTGATGACATGATGGCAAATTGGTATTTTAAAAAGAATGAATTATAGAATTAATGTTTCAAGAAAAATGAGAACTAAAATACTTAAAGAAATGTATCTCAGTATTAATAAAAAATATAACTATTCAATTTCAAACATTAGAAAACAAACATGAACACACTTACTGAGATAGAAAGATATCCATTGGCCAGCAAACCTGAACTTACAATTAGCGAAAGAAAGAAATGTAATCTTACTATTAACAGCTGAAGACAGAACACAAGGAAATGATACTACTATGAAAGTTAAAAGACTGACAAACACAGAACAGATACCTTACCTGTTTAAGATTTTGTAGTTCCTGTACCTCATTTTGATCCAGTTCTAGAGATAATTTTTCTTGTTCCTTGTGATGCTTAGTCAACATGTTATGAAATTCCTAAAACATAATATGACAAAAGGTATTCATCTTTCCTTAATCTGTAATTATTAACATATTCTAGAAACATTATATTGAAAAATGTTTTTACCATTATAAAATCAGCTATACTTCTGTGTTTATCAGCACCTTTAAACAAAATAGCCTTTTCTCTTTCTTGGTTTTTTAACAGTTTATAGAAGCTATTAATTCTCAATTTGTGCAATTCTTCATATTTCACCAATTTTCTTTTTTCCAGCTCTGTAAGTAATTTTTAATTGAAAAGATTGTAAAAGATCCTTTTAAACTTTCTATTTAGATAAGCAATTCTGCTATTAAATTTTTAAGTAGTATAAAAGAACATTCAAATAACAGTAGGCCTAATACACAAGTTAGTATGTATGTCTATCATCTTTCATATTTAATAAATGCAAATTTCAAACACATTTTTTTTAAAAAACAAAATTAAAATAAATGGCACATTACCTTTATCATAATCATTTTTAATGGCATTAAGGTCCTTAGTATAATCAGAAATAATTTCTTTTCCTAGATTATCTTCTTTGTTAGTGAATGTAAATATAATCTTCTTTAGGGTATCAACCCATGAACTAATTAGTTTTTCTTTTTGTTTATCTTCTTCCTCCATATATTCAACATCTTTCCTTCTTTTTGCCAACCTTTGATCTAGTGCCTGATGATTAGTAAGCATAGACTCTCATTGAGTATTGTGTTTATGATGTTTTAAAATGTATGAAAGATATGCTGGAATATGTTTAAAAATACCTGCTATAATATTTAAACAATTTGTAGATGCTAATATATTATCTCTTACTCTTTTCTGACGGGCCAATTCAATGCCAATTTTTTCTTCCACAATAGACATATTGTTCATAAGCTTTTCAATTAACTCATCAATTTCTGCCTCAGTCATTCCCGAAGATTTCAAAAGATCCTGCCTTATATTATTCCTATACTCTCTTTGCAGCTTGCTCTAAACAGAATTATATAATGAAACAAGTGGGGCCAACTGGCAATTAAATATAAACTATAAATAAAGTTAGCATGTTGTTAAAAAATGTGTAATATAATTATGTATATATATATATATATATATATATATATATATATATATATATATATATATATATATATATATATATATATATATATATATATATATATATATTCCGTAAATCAAATAAAAATTTGTGAAACAAAACTTTTCTTTGGAAGTACCTGCTTATTATTATAAGTACTTTGTATCTTTTGCATCTCATTCTCTAATGTCTGGCTGTCCTTGCTCAGTTTTGGATCATTTCGAAGTTTCTAAACAAGAATAACATTTTCCTTACAATTATAAGTTTCTTGATTTCACAGAAACACTTATTTATTCAACACAGTGTATATTAAAAAAAACCTTGTTTAAGTCTTCAAAAAGGCCTAACATTAAATATAAATAATATTATTTTATTTTTATAGTTGTTAATAATGTGATCAAGTGTGGATATAGCATGAACATTCTAAAACTAAAAGACACAAACAAATTTTCTACTAAAATTTAAAAACAAAGTATATCCTATAAAACTGCTTTAAAAATGTTTATTTAAATACCTCCTCAGCTTCTTCTTTCTCTCTTTCTATCATTTTTGTCAAATCTTTCATAGATTCTTCAGTTTTCCGAGTAAAGTTAGATACAAAATTTGGTGAGACTCTTTTCTTTTCTTCTTTCTTTTTTAACAAACTTGCAATGGTTTTCAACATCAGCTTAAACAAGAAAGCATATATATTTTATATAAACTAAAAAATAAATAACAAAATTTTGAGGTATGTTGAAAAGTGAAAATTAATTTGAATTCATTACTGTATTTTTTTCTTCTTCCATTGATCTTTCCATTGAGATAATAACAGCCATGTCTTGATCAGCCATTTCTACCTCTGTGGCAGAACTAAGAAAACAAACAAAATTACTTTTAAAAACAAAAGTTAATTATTTTAAAAATAATATAAATAACTTTAGTTTGGCTTATTGCTATGTCCACCTTGGATATTGCCAAAAAATGCAGCCTACCTGCTTGTTTGTAGCATTACTTCTACCATGCCACGAGACATAGCAGGATCAATTTCTTCAGCATTTACTTCATCTGTTTCATGGTCTTTTAAACTTGAAGAAGTTTTCTTCCTCCAGAATCTACTAACTTTAAATGTTTTTTTTCCTTTAGACTTTATTTGTTTCTCTTCATTCTGAAAATAAAAAGTATTTTTCAATGGAAATATTTAAGTCTGACTATTATTTATCTTACAATTTCAATAAACAACTAGATTCTATAGGCATATTTTAACCAACATAAAATTTCACTTTTATAAAATTAATAACTTATATTTTTATTAGATAAATTTTAAGTCATTAAGTACCCAGACATGTGCTTTGTTGACGATTATAAGATCAGATTTTCCTTTATTGTCGAGAAGTTTTTCTTCATCTTGTTGCTGTAGTGTAAATGTAAAGTTTAATTATTAATTAAAATCTTATTTTGCCTAGCATAATCACATCTCAAATCACACTGCAATGCAATAAACAACATAGTATCCAAATATAAAATAATATTCTAAATTTGGCGCTTATAAAAAGGTGGACACATTATTACAGTGTTTTTGCTTACTATAAGCCTACATATATATGTAAAAAATACAGACATTTCAAACTTATCTTTCTTCTAAGAAAAAATCTATCACATCAGCTTTTATTGTTCTGATGTAGTATTCCTACAATAACCTTGACACTGACCCTATCCCATTAATTTAGTTGTATTTGAAACTATTAGAGTATGGTGGTTGTGAGGGGTTGCCAACTTAAACAGAAAACTACAATTAATCAGCTTGTTTCCCTTTCAAACCTGTTGGTCTATGGGGCAAGTGAAGTAGAGTTCACTTGTTTCTGTGACCTCGGCATATGAAGAGATAGTGTGGTCAGCACTATGCCCAGCCACCTTTACTTTCCCTAATGTGAGTTAGGTACCCATCAGAGTTGGGTGGACTCTACTGACTTGAACCCGGATTCGAACTCGAGACTTACGGGTTAGCAGTCCAGCTCTCTACCGCTAGACCACTTCATCCCACACAATAAATCAGCTTAAACAACGAAAAGGAATCAAGAAGCCAAAAAAGGTTGTTCTCAGTCATGACTTTACAAACTCTTCGAAACTCAAACTTCACTTAGAAATGAATCATTTTGACTACACTGAAAATGATTTTGACTTTTTACATCACCATGAAACAGGAAGATTTCAACAAGTGTGCATAGGTTTGGTTCTCATGGTGGTTCATGGGGCAGATGAAATAGAGTCCAGCTGTTTATAATTATATGACCTCTTTAAAGGAAAGTATAGTGTGATCAACATTATGGACTCAGGAGCTTCAAACGGATTCAAGTCCAGGAATCGAACTCACAATTTAATGTTACCAATCCTACGCTCTTCCATACGACCACTAAAAAGTTGCCATTTTTGGAAAAACATTACAGTATGGTAAATATCTGTAGGTGAGATAAATAAAAATCTAATTGAATTTCTTTTTTTTTTTTTGGGGGGGGGGGGTTGCTGGTAACTTGAACAATATAATATATAGGCCTAGTATTATTATTATTATTAGCAGGACTAATTTATTACTGATGATTATTTTTTATGCTTCTGGTAGGCCACTACGTCATTATGTTTATTTTGTTATAAATAATTTTAAATACATATAGGCCCTATTTATCAAAATAATGATTAAATAATCATAATTTATGGCCATAGGTCATATAAGGCATTATAAGGCATACCCTTTTTTTATCCAGCGCAGTTAAGCATGGCTTAGCGAGAACAGCTACTAAAAGAGCACCAAGGAATAATCCAAGAAAAAATGCACCAGCTATCCATCCTTCATGGACAGTAAAGTTATCTTGTTCTTTTTCAAATGTAATAGGTAGGCAAAAAGTGTTACTGCTGGTATAATTTGAGCAGGATGGTACTAATAATGCCATACTTTGAATATTTAAAATGCGTTTCCAATCAACATAAGGTTGCTTAGTGCACTAAAGTCAATTTTTTATACAACGTCGTTTGAATGAGCCCACTTCCTGCACTTAATCTGCCATATTTGTTGTGCTTGGAAGTTGTTTACACTCCAAGGCGTAACTAAGTGAAGTAACCAACCAGATTTAGACTTGGAAATAATTACGACCTCGTTAACAAGAGAGTTCCACAATTTAGGCGATATGTTACATGTAACATTGGAAACACACATTCAAATAGTAAAATACGTGTGTATTTATTTAGTAAAAATCATGGTTAAATATTATAATACGATTAGGCCTACTCACAATTCTTTTTCCTCATTAAATAGTATGCTACACTAGCTTATGTGTGTATGTATATTGTATAGATCTAGTAGTAGTAGTAGTATAAATAGTCATCGTAGTCATAGTATAGCGGCAGTATAGCCGTACTTTTTAAAATAATCACTTAGACCAGACACAGAACTCAGCAGAGGTATTCATTCAGCGAGTAGTGAGTAGTATTAATTTTTAACTACTAACTTACAACACTTAGTGACTTAGTTAGTATTATTAGTAAGACTAGAATTACTAATTTATTATTAACATTTAGTATTATAATTATAATTAAGTCTTCTTTTAAGTCTTAAGTTAAGCAAAAATCAAAAGAAAAAGTTTGCCACCAAGAGAAGGGTCAGGCTGAATGGGAGGCTGATTAATACAGATTTATGATTTCAAGATAAGACTGTTCTTAGTTTGGCCTATTGAAAGCCCTTTTTACCCCTTGAAACTCCAGCTCAGATACTGGAGTCCTAGGAATAGATCTAGATCTACTTGTAAACAGTGTTTCTTTCATACATTTTTCTCCCTTGGGCACTTGAAACTTTTTGGGGACTGGGATGGGGGAGGGGAAGGGGGAGACACTGTTTAAGGAGAGTTGCCTGTGATAAACTGCATGTAAATTAAGTAGGCTTACACTTTTTAACTTTATTTATTTTAAAGTTAAATAATTGAATAGCAAGGTTGGATGGGAGAGTGCCTGAAAGCTTACTCGAAAATCCAGTTCAGACCCCAGGCAGATACTTGGGCCTGCTACCCATGTAAGAGAAAAAAATAAAATATAAACAATAGCTGCCCTGCAGATGTTTGCTGGCTAATGAAGCACATCTGCTTGGAGAATACTTGCTCCAATATTACAAGTAACATAAGAGTTAAGTGTCACCCATTTATGGCATCTGCACTGAAGGGGGAGGGGGCTTAAAAATATTAAGCTTTTGTGGACATATGGATGGGGAGGGGGTATGTGTTCTGGCCACATGTGCAAGGTCGCATGCTAAATTTAGTATCTAAATGAACACAGCTACAGCTAAGAATTTGCATAAAAAATGTATAGGCCTACATTTAAAAGGCATTGTCTGTGTTTTTGGTGTTTTAAAGCAAAATAAGTTTAACAAGTAATTAAATTATTGTATCTATATAAAGTGGGTACCTCTACTGTGAGTAGGCCTAACTGATGAATGAAAGCACAATTATAGGACATGAACTTAATATGACCTAATGACTTATTATAATCAGAGGCGTAGCGAGGGCGTGGGGGGGGGGGGGGGTGCAGACCGCACTGGGTGACACCATTTAGGGGGGTGACACCATGGCAAAAAATGGCAAAATGTTAAGAAGAAAATGCTTTTTGCCTGTTGCATTAATGATTGATTATGCAGCATATATTTAAGTTATAAGCCTATGTAGGCCGACACACACACACACACATTGGAGAATACTTGCTCCAATATTACAACTAACATAAGAGTTAAGTGTCATATTTATATATATATATATATATATATATATATATATATATATATATATATATATATATATATATATATATATATATATATATGCCGCACCAGGCGACACCCAACCTAGCGACACCACTGATTATAATCCAACACATTCTGGATTCTAAATTCACATGTAAAAACGGAGGTTGAAAAGTAATACATAAGTTTGTAAATATTCATCTTTCATACACAACACAAGTTATTGAATTAGTATATTGGATATGTATTTTTAAATAGCCATCATATTTTTATGGACATCCATGAGTTCTAATTCATTTTACAAAAGCTACTATTTTAAACAACAATATATTTTTTAAATATAAATATCAATTTAAAAAATCCAAAAGATCATATAATTATTCTTAATATTAATTTGCATTTTCTGAAGTCTTGCACAAATAAAATATTTAAAATTTAATTTCAAAACACATGTTTTGCATTGAGCAACACATGTAATATTAATAAAAGCGAAGTTTTTATATAGCAGTATTATAAACATATACATATATTTAAACAATAATGAACTGATTAACTTATGGATTTGTTATTTTTTGTAGGAGAAATTTGAGATTATGTTTTTTTATTTTTTTGCAGAAAAAGAAAGAATATGGCTACATGGTATTCTTCTCAAAGCTGGACAATTATATTTTTGTGCCTCCAACTTCTTATTGAATGGAATGCTGCCCAAACTTCAATCTGCGAAACAATTTTACCTACAATAGCTCAGAATTATTCATCTTTAAATCTTACAGTAAGTGTATTTTAAAACAATATAATTTATTATAATGGGTTATCAATTCTTATTTAGAAATAATGTATCCATGTTTTTTTCCCCTTTGAAGATGTTAAAAATGAAAATGGTTGATTTCAGGCAGAATATGAGATAAACAAAGAAGCTATCAGTGCCAGTGGGGTAAATACTGACTTAGTGAATTACTCTGGAATGCGCATTACAAATAATGAAACAGGACCCAGTATTGAAGTAAATTATTATGTCAAGGTACTGAGCATTTTGTTTATGAAATATATTTACCAGTATGTAAACTTATTAAAACATTATACTGTGTAGAAAACTATGTGCTATTATAAAAATTCTTGGGGGTCTGCATTGTATGATTGTGTGATTTTGAATAGGTTGTGTAATATGAAATATAACTAATAAAGTTAAAGGTAACAACAATTACAGCTTAAGAAACTCTAAAGGCTAGATATATTATTAACGTTAAACACATATTGCTTTAAAAAATTACTTTCAGATGTATGATTCAGGTTCAAATCCAGATAAAGTAAACATCACATTCAGCTTTACAAATCTGGAACCATCTCGTATGAGTTTAGTTTCTGTAAAAATTGACTTACAAAATAAAGTTAATGCTATTTGGGATATAGGAGTAACTGGTGCTTTCACAAATGGCAGATCATTCCTGGAGTATAATAAAACTAATCTGGCTGGTAGGCATTTCAATTTTTTTGTATTACATTTGTCTAAATAGCTAGAATTGGCTTGGGAGATGTGACTTGTTTTAACTGTAACTTAGTGTTGGCAGGCTAGTTTTTCTTCCAAAATAAATGTCATCCACTAAAACCTAAAGAGAAATTTGTATCACTTTTGTCCAATGTTTTTTCAGAACCAACTCGAAAATTTGTCATGTATGTGACTGAACTAATGGTAGAGTAAGGACTTTATGGGATTTGTTCATACTATTTTAATTGATAGTTTGTGTAATATGAATATGACACAGAATCACATACAAGGCAGGACTTGAGATATAGTTCGAGCAAAGAATAGCTGAGTTTTATTTAGCATAGCTGATGAACAGACAAATTGAATTAGTTATCTGCATAACAATTAAACATGTTGTTTTACCATTCATCTATCAATGTGTCTTATGGGAATGCACATATGCTGCTGTACTCTTCACTGAAGGTAGTCCAGCATAGTTTAAAGATAGAGCCCCATTACACATTGGACAGTTTAATAAATGTAAAACTGCATTTACAAACCTAGATCTGATTTTCTTAACAAAAATTTGAAGAAATTCTTCATTGAATTTAATCATGGATATTTTAAAATAATTTTAATAGTGGATTTACTCTCACTAATTATTTGTTAAAGTTTTCAGCTGTTCCCAATCACTATGTGTATGACTTTGTCCATTTGTTTCATCATAGCCAACACCTCCTTTGCCATTTGGTTTATTGCAACACCAGCTGGACAGGATGGCACAGACTTACCGGAAAGCCCTAATAACTTTGATGCTCCCTTTTATTTTACAACTGTAGGTTTTTTAATTGGATTATTTGAATGTTTCTCATTCCTAAATGCCGTAAAACGGATATTAATTGATTGATATAATGAATCATCATCTGCTTTTGATGAACACAATTTATTTATTAATTTTTCAGAATAATATTGTTGATGCTTCCTCTTGTTTTAAGCCTAAAATTAAACAGTATCTGATTTCTTTAATTAGGAACTTTGATAACTTCATTATAGGATTGTCTGGTTTTGTTTCATTAATTATATTCTTTATATCTCAGGAAGAAATAACAGCTTATGCGACAAAAAGAACAACTTATGGGACTTTTTTACCCTCTATATGCCTATTTAGGAAGATTATCATCATTGAAAATGTCAGTTTAAAGAGTTTATCTAGTTTAAAAAAATAAAATTGAAAATATTAATTCCTAACTAAAATCTAAAACAAATTACAATTTTGAAATTATATTAGTGCTACCCCCACCTTATAGTTCAAAAAACATGTCTAATTGTTGTGTCTAAATATTTTAAATATGTTAAATTTATCAATTAGATAATTTTAAATGAACACAATGTAATACATTTGCCAGTGATTAAAAGAAAAATGTACTTTTCAGATTGTTTATCAACATGGATTTACAGTTTTGACATTTTTTATAATGTTTTTTGTGGGCATCGGACTGGTAATTCTAATTGTCTGGCTCATCAGGCGCAGAAGAACAAATACTGTTAATGCTACAAAATCAGATGTGAGTGGTACTAAAAATATCAAAGTCTGTTAGACAATGTATCACATTTTGTTCTGTTCATGATAATTCAACTTTTTCTTCTTAAAAAAGGACAATCAAATGAGAAATAAGGGCAAAAACATTGTGATGGATGCAAAAGATGCTATGAAAAGAGGGGTCAATCCTATTAAAGATTTTAGGTAAGATATGCAAATGTTTAACATAAATATTTAAAAACTACTTATTAATTTAAAAATTGTTATACCATTCAAAATCATCACAGCTTCTGCTACCGTTTTGTACAAAAGCTACAGTTATCCAGAGTTATCTGTCCTTGTCCATTCTCTCCAAATACCTACACAGGTGACACATCTCTATGGTGTCAGCCTCAGGTTCTCACCAGGTATTTTGGGGTGACCTCTTTTCATCCTGCCATTTTATCGATGGCATAGCGGGATGGTAGAGCTATTAACTGCTAACCCAAAAGTCTCAATTTTGGATACCAGGCTTTAATGCTGTACTTCCCTCAGACCACCTAGCTCTGATGGGTACTTGACCCACATTAGGGAAATTAATGTGGCTGTGTATACTGCTGACCACACTAACCCTCTAGTATATACCAAGATCATTGAAACATAATCAAAGATGGTGATGTTGGTGGATTATATACTCATCATTGTATTATTATTAGGAGTATTGTATCATTATCAGTGTTTAATTGAATTCCTTTTATATTTCAGCTTGATAGCTTGGAATGAGAGCCTTGTTACTGTTCTTGGTCTAAATGATAAACTAAAAATGTACAGGGAAATTGATAAGTAAGTGTTGTCTTGTCTTTTGTTGATAGCTCTTAAATAGTGTACAAAGGTTGTATAATATATTTTTTACATTCTGTTTTCCAAAAATACAGAATGTTTTTAAAAGTTTCAACATTTTTTATATTTGGATTTTACTTTTTATACAGTTTGGATATCTTGTCCACAATAAACATTGACACTGACCTTGAACTTGAGCACAATGATGCAGCAGTTCAGGCTAGCCTCCTTTTGGTTCAAGGTCTCCGGTACAACAACGACATAACTAAATCTACAGAGGAGAAAACCAAGTCCAACTTGCAGGTAACTTCAATCATCACACATTTCCACAGTTCCATGATAAATGATCTCAAAACAAATTATCTTAGACAAAACTCTCAGACAAAAGATCTCACATACAGATAAATCTTAGAGACAAAATATCAGTTTTATGTTTAATTGTATTCATGAACAGAACCGTTTAAAAGAGCTGGATAAAAAATTAGAAGCAGATTTCAAGAAAGAACTGCAGTCTCTGTATATTGACATAGAGGCAAAAAATAAAGTAAGATTTACATTGGTGTTTGCTTTAAACTATTTTTAAATTTTAGACCCAGAACTCCATAAATCACTAAAAAAAATTACTTTAATGAATTCAAATTTCATGTGATATGGTATGATTCAAATTTCATGTGATATTGTATAATTCAATTTTTGAAAACAGGAAAAGCTTGGTGAACTACATAGGAAACATAAAGAAAAGAAACAAGAAATCATTTGGCTTTCTAAAGATTTACCAGAAACAGTATGTTTGTATTTTGTACACATTAGTATTAATTCAGTAACAGTTGTGTAATGTAAACAATGAAAATAATTGGCACACGTTGTATTGAGCTTTCATTTACACTAAAACGTTCTGAATTATGACTTTAAGAAATTAAAATTTTAACTTCGACTATTAAAATGTAAACACCAACATAAATTTTCTGGTTAATTTGATTACGTCGATGCTTATGTTTCTTATTTCAGGAGAAAAAGCAAATTCTAGATTTGTTAGACAAGCAGGAACAAGTTGAAGAGAACGAGCTCACCTACAAGTTAGCTCTGGAGCAAAATGAAGAGGCAGAAAAGTTAAGAAAGGTTGGTTGGGATGCTGTACCTTACAAATTAAATAAATGTAGACCTCTACAGGAATAAGCACTTACCTGCATATTCAGGCAGTAGGTCAATGCTGAAGTGGTTTTAATCCTAGCCTAGTTATTTTAGTTACCTGATTGATTTAGTCGTTATGTGCTATCTAACAGGAATACTCCACCCGCAAAAGAGTGGGCATCAAAGAGTTACAGCAACAGTTTGTTAACGAAGTCATTAGTTCAGAAGTTCTTCCATCTGAAAAAGCTGATTGGTTAATCAAGGAACACAAGAGGCAGCAAGAGGAAATAGCCAAGAAATATGATGATGAAATTTCTCTACAGAGGATGTTACTGGAAGAAAAGTTGGCCAAAAGACGAGCTCTGGCCCAGGCTAGTGTAAGTGTAATGTAATCAGGCTAGTGTAAGTGTAATGTAATCAGGCTGATATAAGTGTAATGTAATCAGATGAATGTAATTGAAATGTAATCAGGCTAGTGTAGGTGTAATGTAATCTGTCAGATGTAATTGTAATGTAATCAGGCTGATATAAGTGTAATGTAATCATATGGATGTAATTGTAATGTAATCAGGCTAGTGTAGGTGTAATGTAATCCGTCAAATGTAATTGTAATGTAATCAGGCTGATATAAGTGTAATGTAATCTGGCTTGTGTAAGTGTAATGTAATCTGGCTTGTGTAAGTGTAATGTAATCAGGCTAGTGTAAGTGTAATGTAATCAGGTGAATGTATTATAATGTTATCAGGCTAGTGTTAGTGTTAGTGTAATGTAATCAGGCTAGTGTAAATGTAATATAATGTAACTGTAATTTAATCAGGCTAATGTAATGTGTAATGTAACCAGGTAAGTGTAATGTAATCAGGCTTATGTAAGTGTAATTTTATTCAGGTTAGTGTAAGTATGGCATATATTGTAATCAGGTTAGTGTAAGTATGGCCTGTAATGTAATCAGGCTAGTGTAAGTGCGGACTATAATAATGTAATCAGATTAATGTAATCAGGCTAATGTAAATATAATGTAATTGAACTAGTGTAAGTAAAATGTAAACAGGATAGAGTAAGTAGGCCTTTAACCCATACAAGTTTCTAAATAGCCACTCAATTAAAACAGAAATTAAGTTTTAATATTTTCAATAAAAAAAATGAATACATTAATAAAATTCTAAAAATATTTTAAGGTGATTTAATAACATAAACGTTCATTCTAATTTCTTACTATTCTATGATTTAACCACATTTTGGCCCCTAATTTTCAGGAAGCTCGAGAAGATGATGATGCTAAAATCTTGAGTTTGGTTGCTTCAGGCCAGTTAAACATCATTCAAAAACTTAAAAGGTATTTCCACATAAATTATATGAAAAAAAAAAAAAAATGCAGACAGGCTTTAATGTGTTAAAGATACACTTTTAATCTCTCATTTAAAACATAGTTTGAAATCTTTGCTTTATCATGTTAATATGTACATTAACTTTGTTAGATTGGTATTATTAAATTCAATTATAGAACTCTCCACTTGAAAATTGCTCCTTTCTCCTTATTTCCAATGCAACAAATTAATATTATTTTTAACATTAATTAACCACACAATCTTGTTACCATGCTTTTTTTTTAATTCCATCATTTTTCCCCCAAAACCACATTAATTCTAATATGTAAGCTGGGTATCTAACACATTGTGAAACTCTTCAGTTCTAAGAAATTATCAAATGATGAAGCTGAAGACTACACTGACCAGGTAACAGCTGATGTGCAAGCTGTCAAGACTCAAATGGATAAAGAAAAGGACTTGAAGCTGAAAGAATTGGTCAAGAAACTTAATCAAGCCAAGGCAAAAGCTTTGGCTGATGAGGTATAGTCCACATTATAAACTTGGTGGGTTTTTAATCTGGTCCTTTAAAGAAAGTAATTAGCTAACATAATAAAAGTTTTTGCTAATACTTCTGGGAATTTTCGCTGTTGAGTGGTAGAGCTCTAGATTCATATCCCAAAGGTCTTAAGTTTGGTTCCCAATATATAGTCTTTACAATGTATGAGTCTACCCAGCTATGATGAATACCTGAGTAGTGTCAGGTAAAGGGGGTTGTGTGTAGTACAATACCTTTATATACATTGTTCACAGAAGAATGAACTTAAGTTCAAATAGGAAATTTAGGCTGTCAGGTAAAAAACAGTTATTTCCAGTTGGTGTATTACGTTTTTTTTCCATCTCAGATGAGTCAGCAGGCATCCCAGGTTCAAGATTACATAGCTAAAAATAAATCCCCGCAAACAGATGGGCCCGTTGGTAGGTACTAAGTTATGTCTAATTTTATTCAAACAAAAACATGATTTACTTAGTTCATCTTGAATCATATTTCTCATTTATTGTACTATTTCATATTATTTTTTAAATAATTTGTTTGCTTTGTAATACACATTAATTTTATAAATGTATTGATTTTACTTCTATATAAATTCTGCAAAATTTTGCAGAGACCAAACAATATAAAATTTAACCAATAATTTTATTCTGCATAGACCCTAACTCATACATCAGAGGTTTTATAAATTTGAAGTCCCAACATCGCAGACGACTACATGAGCTAGAAAATGAGATTGATGGAAAGCATGCCAAAGAGCTTGATGCACTGAGGGATCAGATAGCCGAGACAGCCAAGCAAAGTCTAAAAACTAATGAACAAAAGCTGATTCAGAGGATCAAAACTCAGGGTAAATTTTTTAAAGTCTAAAAACTAATGAACAAAAGCTGATTCAGAGGATCAAAACTCAGGGTAAATTTTTTAAAGTCTAAAAACTAATAAACAAAAGCTGATTCAGAGGATCAAAACTCAGGGTAAATTTTTTAAAGTCTAAAAACTAATGAACAAAAGCTGATTCAGAGGATCAAAACTCAGGGTAAATTTTTCAAAGTCTAAAAACTAATGAGCAAAAGCTGATTCAGAGGATCAAAACTCAGGGTAAATTATTTAAAGTCTAAAAACTAATGAACAAAAGCTGGTTCAGAGGATCAAATCTCAAGGTAAATTTTTAAAAGTCTAAAAACTAATGAACAAAAGCTGATTCAGAGGATCAAAACTCACGGTAAATTTTTTAAAGTTTTCTAGTTTCACTTAACTCCCTTTCTGTAATTTATTAAGGAAATCTTTGGTAATTAACTTATTAGTTTAAATTTTTTGGAGTTAGCCAAGTTTGTATCAAAAGACAAAAGTAGACATTTGCATCTGTCAAGGCCTAAAATATTTTTATTTCTGATCTCAACTAGATACTTAAAAAAGTTTTTTCTGCAGATGTAGATGACAGCGTAATTGAGAAAATTTTGAGAAATCATGACAAAGTTGTCAAAGAAACAATTGCACAGCAGATTGCTAATAGGCAAAATCAAGAATCAAAATTTCAGGTAATATCTATATTCTTTTATTTTGTTTATATATATCTTTTATTTTATTATTTTATTTTATTTATTTCATAATTTAAAGCACCTGCAACCTTTTAATTATTAAGCTATAAGTAATTTTTAAAAAATTAATAATTCTACATAAAATGCATATATGAAAACTTGTTTGGAAACTTTGTTTTGATTTGCAAATTGTCATTCCATCCAATTGTAACACACCAGCATGTATTTAGTTTAGGTATTAATATATTAAGGTTTTTAAAGTTATATTTTGTTCTATGAAACCCAAAACAATTCAATTGTTTATGTTTCTAGAATGAGCTTGCCAAAAGAAAAAAAGGTTGGGATGAAATGAGAGCAAATGAAAAACAAGAACAGCAAGATCTGAGGGAATATGAATTGGAAGTTGTTGAGTGAGTCACATTGTGATACAAATTCAAGAATAATAACAATAGCCCCTAACAGTTCTAATATTTGTCCTACAAATTTACAATACAGAAAACTTAACCCAGACCTGGCTGAAGAAAAATTTATTTCTGCTAATTTTTTTTTCCTCAATAATTTTAACATTTTAAGCTTGACTTCACAATTGACAATCAGTTGTTTGATATAAATAAGGTTTTAGAAAAAAGTTTTCATTTTCTTCTTCCAACTTTCAGCAAACTTTTAGGTAGTCAAGTGGCCTTGTCGGAGGATGAAAGGGAAAGAATTCTTAAGGAGCATGAAAAAAACATGGTCAAGCTAGAAAACAGGTTCTGTATCTGCATTTGATATTATTTACTTCAAAGCTAATGTAATAAATGTATTAAGTATAATTACATAATGTAGATGATATTACACCATGATTAGCATATGAAAATAGTTAATTTAGTAAATGAGTAAAATTAAACCAGATCAAATTTTTGTATTTTAGTCTGACCTTAAACAAGCTGAGACAAAAAAGAATGATTGAGGAGAAAATAGCCCAGAGACAAGCACAACAAATGGAGGAGTTGCAGCAAAAACAATATGCCGAAATCATGGTCTGTCATTAATCTAGTGATTCTGGTTGTTTGTTTAAACCTTCATAGTGTTATTGTTTACATCTTAAGCTGTATGTTCTTATGCTTTTAAAATGTGTCTAATTCTAGAAACACAGGAGGGTTGCTGAGAACAATGGGGAGGAAGAAGATGAAGGCACCAAATTGGAAGAGCTCAAGATTAGAAAAAAACATGCTGAGCAACAAATCACACTTATTCAAAACATAGATTTTAATTTTGATAAAGAACTAGAAGAGGTAATTACAGAGAAAAAAAAACAGGCCTATATTGAATTATTATTGTGATAATTCCTTATTATGTTTTCATCTTGTCATAAAATTTAATCTTTTAGTCTATTCTACAAGGTCTTAAATTTCTGTATATTTAGATAAGAGTTGATATGATAAAAGAAAGAGCTTATTCATTGAAAGAACAGGAAGAAAAACTGGGTGCACTAATTACCTCCCTTCAAATGACTAAGGCTAGAGAGGTTTGCAATCTTTTGCAATTTTTAATCTTGTTTCTTATTACATTATAATGGTATGCATAATTGCTGTATTTATATTTCATTTCAAATATGCTATTCATAAGCTTTTTAGATAGGTTGTATTCCATTGCTTTAGTAAATTGTAAAAAAAAAACACTGAAGAAATAACATACAACATCTATAGTTTATTTATCAAAATGAAATCTTCAACATTTTCTAGCTTCAACATGTAAAAGTTATTCTTTCAAACTGGTGGTTTTTAGGGCAGATGAAGTAGAGTTCACCTATTTCTATAACCTCAGCATTGATGAGATACTTAGTCAAAACTTTGCCCAGCCTCCTTAGATTTCTCTAACTTAAGTCAGGTACCCATCAGAGCTTGGTGGACCTGGGTTACAAACTTGAGAATTTTTGTTTAGCATTTGTGCACTCTACCTTTTTATTATTCCATCCTACTATAACAAATTAAACTTTTAATTATCAGCTAGCAAAGATTGAAGAGCAGCAGAAAGCTATAAATAATTTGAAAGGAAACTTGCTTGATGATTTGAACGCCAGAGGGATCTTGTCCACTCCGGACTGTGAGAAGATAATCACTAGGCATAGAGAGGTAACTCAAAGCTTTTTAATTGTTTTATGGATCACTTTATCTGCATGTTGTCTTTGCTATTTTGTTTAGAAATGTTAAGTTCCATTTCACATACAAGATGACAATATTTTGGTTTAAATAATCTAAAGGAGCAAGATGAGCTGACTACAAAGTTGGATAACTACAGATCTGTACAAGAAGAGGTCAGGATTCATTGTTTATTTTGGTTAGAATAGACTTTTAATTATTATTTGATTTTTATTTTCTTATTAAATTTAATAATTGTACAATTTTAAATTGTAACTTGATTTAAAAATAAGTTTTATTCTTATTTAATTCAATATATATAAATATACATATACATATATATATATATATATATATATATATATATATATATATATATATATATATATATATATATATATATATATATATATATATAGGATCCTTTTTAATGCGAAATAACAACATTCAAAATTGAAACACAATTTCAAATTATATTTATGTGGTTTTTTTTCGCTATAAAATAATGACTTATTATATATGATTTAGACACTAAGAAAAAAGCTGCAGGATCGTCTGTTACAAAGAGAGAACACAATGGTTCTAAAGCAGGAAGAGGAAATGAAAATGTTAATTCAGCAGTCCACAAACAAGACTAGTGCTAAAATTAGACGTGCTCTACTTAATCACAAACATATAGTCGCAATGGAGAAATTCAAGTAGGTTCCCACTATTATTTATTAGTGATTAAATTTTTTATCCAATAATATTGTATAGGCTACATTTTTATTTTTAATTTTTATAAATAATTAAAATAATTTTAATAATTTATTTTTATTTATAGAAATTTATTTAGGCCTAACAGAAAAGTAATTCTATCATATTCATTGGGATAAAATCAATTTTCCTATTGTCACTTCTATTATTTAAGTGAACTTATACATTTGTACCATTTTATCTGATTACACACATTTTACATATTCTATTGTGAAGAATTTAAACAATTGTAACAATAGATTTCTGAGATTTTTTTAACAATAATTTAAGGAACAAACTGCAAAGGGAGATAAATCAGACAATGGAAGACACCAAGAGAGAGCTTCAGTTGCAGAAACATAAAATGCTGCAAGATCAAGTATTTCAAATTTTCTTTTATTTTTTCCCATAGTCTTAAATTACTCTATTTTGTTTACTGTTTCACAAAGTAAAATGTAAGTTCTAATACATTTGCCTATTTGTACTTATTAAATATTAAAGGTCTGAAAGATTAACTTGTTTTTCATCATCTTTATTCATGTAGACCACTTGAGGAGCATGATGCAAAAATATTTTGGCATAAATTGTTTCTAAAAGTCTGTAATTTATCACCTCTCTATCATACTCTATGAGATTCCTACTGCTTGGGCTTACTTTAATTTTATAGCTACATATATTGTAAAGTCATAATAAAATAAATATTTCAAAATCAGGAAATGAAATTTCTGGCTGGTTTGGTAAAAATTGGTGAATTTGAACGCAATGAATTGCTTGATGTTCTTCATATGCTTTTTCCAAGAAAAACTGAAGAGGCCATTACAGAGATGCTTAATAAAATTTATGTAGAAAATAAATCTACAAGCAAAAAGTAAGTATAGTAAATACAAACTTAAACTGTAGTTATAGTTTAAGTGTATATAGATAATTACTTTTTTAGTTGCTAAAATATTTTATGTTAAAGCCACAAAATAACACATACTGAAGTGTTATAATATTTCAGTTGGCTATCAATGCTTGTTGAATATGTTTTACTAAATTATTATATAAATATATCTTTATACGTTGGACTGATTTTAAAAAAAAGTGTTATAATGTTTATAATATCTTAAAATTGACACTGGGTGAAAGAGTAAATATTAAAAGGTATTAAAATAGTATTTCTGTTTAAACATCCAGTGACCAACAGCATGTACGTACCATTTTTTAAATGCATGATTTAATAAGTTGTCAGTGCAGAACAGAGTGGGCTGCTTATAACAGCTGTTGTCTTATTTATAGCTGTCAATATTAATTTATCCTTCTATTACTTTTGGCTCTATAATTAATTAATTTCAAATGAAAATATTATACAATACAGAGACTAATAACTTATTAGAAATTTGACCCAAAAATGCAAGACAAAAGTATCTGAATTTTTACAAAACTTTCTGCACACTAATAGAAAAAAAATCTACATATAAATTAGACAAATATATCTACATTTTTACAAAAAGCCCTACATAAAAATTAGATCAAAACATTTGAATTTTGATAAAAAGTTCTGCACAGAAATTAGAAGAAAAAACACCAGGTTGTTGATGAATATCTTTGGTCAGATATTAAATGAAACAAGGACTTTAAAGCTTTTTCTGTGTTATATCACCCTATATCTGCAATATTGATCTGGCTTTCATAATTTCCCAGTACTTTTTGCTTTACATGCTGACTGAAGGCTTAACAGCTTTAAAACAAAGATTTAATATTTCTAGAACTGAAGCAAATAACTCATTTGTGGCTTATCACAATAGATAATATAAGGATATAGTAGCTCTGGAGTCAGTTCTTCTGCATTACAAAGGAACTCCAAAACCCCAGTAATTAAAGTGGTCACAAGTTTGGCATGAAAAAATGGCTTCAATGCTTATTGCAGAAATAAACTTAAAACCCTTGAATTTTGTTTACATATTGAGTAATGGTCTTAACATTATATGTTCTAAAAAACATGTTTTTTTAATTCTTATATTCTTAGATGTTGTAAAATAGATAATTAATGACTTGGATAAAGGTTTTTTGTAACTAATACTATAAACAAGTTTTATTCCAATTAGCACTAAATTATTAGAAATGAAAGTTTCATCAATTAATAATAGATGTTTATTTATTTTTTGTGTGACAAGATAAAATGATACTATTAAACTTAAAATAAATCATCTGCATCTATAATTTTTTTAGTTAAACATGTCAGAATTTATTTATAAATAGTACTTTATTAGAAGCAAGTTATTTCTTCATTTCCCAAACAAGTTTAGCTGTAGTTATCTATAAATATTAATTGACTTAAGATTTTAACTTACATAATAAATAGTTTTTGCTGTTTAATAAAATCCCGCTTTTTATTCCAGTATGGAAAAAAGTCAAAGTACACTAGCCGAACGGGTATACAAGGAGCAATACATGGCTCCCTTGGGTAGAGCACCATCAGCAACATCAAAAAGTTTGGTTAACCGGTATGATTTTTTTTATCACTATGTTTATTCCAAATCATTTCCATATTTATATTTTCTTGAAAATATAAATAGCTATTATAGGTAATGTATTTTTCTTTTGTAAAAAAAATAAATCTGAAAAAAATATTTTTTTATTCCAAAAATATTTTTGGTGTACAGTCAAAAAAATGTTTTGACATGAATTGTTTCTAAAATCTGTAATTTATCATTTCTTTAGGAAACCTGTAGAAAAAACAAGTGGAAGAGGTGTTTCAGTTATAGATCAGGATAGAAGAAAAAACACTTTTGGACCTCAAGACTACTCTAGACGAGAAGCTTTAATAAATCAAAGTGAGCCTCAAAACAATAGAAGAAAAAATTCAGTTGATAAAAAGTACCTTCCTCCAATCAATAATGCAAAGAGAAACTTGAGTGAAAGCGATGAAGAAGATGATGAATATTATGATTTAGGTACAAACTACTCTAGAAATAAATTAGAAAGCCAAAACAAGGCATATGTTAGACAGCCTGAAAGAAGTAGAAGTTCTGCCGAGGTTAGGAGACCTCAGCAAGATGTAATCTCTGAAAGCATGGAGGACGATGATTACAGTGATAATGAAGCCAAGTTCAAATATGCACCAGAAAAAGTGAAAGAGCAACCTAAACAAAGAAAGAAAAAATTCTTGAAGAAACTAGCCCATCACAGTGATGATGATGATGAACTTTAATGATGTTTAAATAACTTTAAAAATTTTGTATTTGTTTTATTAGACAACCAGTGCAATCAAAAGTTGATGCTCACACAATCACTGAAATCAACAGATTTATGTAAAAAAAAAAGTTTTACCAATTATTATTTTCTAATAATTTTTAAGCAGTATATTACTGTTGGAACCGCTATAAATGACTAAACTACAAATCAAAAGAAGGGATATTAGTTACATCACTTTTATAGAATCCTGAATGGTTTATTCATTATTATTATAAAAAAAAAATGTGTTGGACAATCTATTATATTAATTATTTAAAATGCTGTGAAAGTTTGCTGTGTTTTTTACCATATCTAAAAATTCACAAACCAATATTCATAAATATTACACACTATAATGGAATTTTTTTCAGTCTGTCAATAATTTTCCTCTGTAGGAAATTTTTTTTAAGTATATAATTTCCATATAACATGCTGTAATCAAAATATAAATAATATACTGTAGAACATAATTATAAGTTTTCACCCAAGTTTATACTTAATAAGATTTTTAGACAAAAATATAACAGAAACCTGAGTGTAAAGTGTAAAGAAATGTTATCCATGTTATCTTAAATATATGCTGAAGTTTCTTTCTCACTGTGATCACCATGGTTATTTTGCCATGTTTACCTATGTTATTTACATATGATGGGCCTACTTTTAAAATTCACTATCTGCCATTTTGGAAATCCAGACCAGCTTTTAGTGTTAACCTGACATAGAATCTGTTTGATGAAGCAAATACTTTCTGTCAGAGTAATAACTAATTATTTTACTATTTTTGTAAAGGCAACTAAAAACTAGGATCATGTGTCTGTTAAAGTTTATTCAGTTGGTTTTTTCTTCTAAAAATGGAGATATTGCATTTTGTAAGTAAGTTTGACATATATATTACAAGCTTTATTTATACTTGACTTTATGTGAATTTTTATGTGAATTTCACACTTATATTCATATTTAATGGAACAATATTAATTGTTAAAACTGAGTTCACAAGATTTATGTTGAACATGTTACCTATACTGCTCACTTGAAATGTCTTAAGATACTGGTGTATATAAATGACTCAGGCATTTTGATATAATTTCTTCATCTCTGCATTTTTCAATTGAAATTAGCATAGGGACAAAATTGTTTTGAAGGAATTGTATTGATAATTTTAGTCTCTATATATTTAATTAAAACCAGGAATATTATATTAGTTTTACTTTGCTAGTGTACTACGAACATGGTAACTCTAGCTTGTTACCCTACAGAGCATTTTCATAGTATAATAATAAATTGCTCAAGAACATAATTTATCAGCATATTTACCTCCCTTGTATGTTTAAAAAAAATAAACAATTATATTTTTAGCTACTCTGCATGTTAACTAATTATTAATGTAATTTAGTAACACATATTCATTAACTGGTAGTACTATACATGTGTCATCTTTGTATTTTTAATTGCTTTTTGGCCATCAGTAAATTCTTTATCTGATTTCCTATCATCTAGGCCTAATTAAATAATTAATTTAATTTTCAATAGCCTACTCATTTCTTTAATTTTAATTTTAAAAAAAAATTATAATTAACTCAATTAACTAATTACGTTGAACTGATTGGAGTGTAGTGCTTTTTAAAAAATAAATAACACACTTTCTTGTAGATTTAACATATATTTCAAAATAGAAAAGTTTAATCTTGCCTGTTTAGTTTAAATAATTGCGGGTGTAAATTTAATGTAGAATTTGAATTGTTATAATAGTTTGCTAAGGGTGATATTAATTTTAGCTCAATTCTAAAAATATATTTATCTTACTGTAATCATCTATTAAAATGATGAGTGATATACTAACATCCTGTAAGTGTAGTGTTAAAACTAAACTGTAAAAATGTGTACACTAAAAAGTCTACTGCTCTTTTAGCTACAGTAGGTATATGAGAGGTATAAGATTAAAATTGGGTAAAGTTTAATTTTCTATATTTATATATTGTTAATTTAATTGTAGGTATATGAGAGGTATAAGATTAAAATTGGGTAAAGTTTAATTTTCTATATTTATATTGTTAATTTAATTGTAGGTATATGAGAGGTATAAGATTAAAATTGGGTAAAGTTTAATTTTCTATATTTATATTGTTAATTTAATTGTAGGTATATGAGAGGTATAAGATTAAAATTGGGTAAAGTTTAATTTTCTATATTTATATTGTTAATTTAATTAATTTGATGCTAACAAATTAAGGAGTTTTATTTTAGATTTCTGTGAGGTATATATGTTACCAATTATTGAATAGATAATGCTATAGCGCTCAAGAAAATTCTCACATATTTTAGTCGGCAGATGATTATCAAAATAACTTTTGTATCATGAATAATATTACTAAGTGCCATAACTGTTTATCACATTTTATTGTAACACTATTTGTGTAACTTTTTATAATATTATACACTAAATATATTTCGTTTTATTTTTTATACAGTTTTTAGTTTGATCACATTAAAAGTTATATGTGAAATAAAAATTGACTCAAACTGTGTATGATTATTTTAAAATTTAGCTAAAGGTTAAAACCCTACTAAAACTAGGAATGATGAAACCACACATTTCTCAATAAATAAAGTAAATTCTACATTGTTTTTGGATATAAACATTGATTTTTTTCTAAAATAATAACTGGGCTTGGTCAACATTGAGTAGCCTATATGTTCAGTTAATCTAATCAATTTTAATTTACAAAAACAGCTTTTTTTAAACGCAAAATGATGGCTAAAATTCAGTTTAACAAACCCTTTTTTAAAAGCAAAAATGTACTAGATCTACCACACTTTTTGAACCTCTCTTGCCCTTTTACGTCTTGTTGGAGACTTCATAAAATCCGAGTCTTTCCTTCCTGTTAGAAACTTTGTATTAACTAAGTCTTTCCATCTTGTCGGAGACTTCATAAAAACAAATACTCACATACCCTTGCAATACACTGAGGTACCATTGATAACATTTACAACCCCCTTTGAATTTGCCAAATATATTGCCTTCATGATGATCATTGAAAAAAGAAACGGCAATTTTGTAGTATGTCTAGAATAGAATGCTTGAAATGGGCAGACCAAGTACAAAATCATATTACATTAGCCATTATATTTATGATTATATAAAATGCAAAGCAGAGAAAACTTTCAAGTCGTACACCATTTAGAGGGGTGACACCAAGGCAAAAAGTAGTAAAATATTTAGAGAATTATTTGAGGGGGGTGCAAATCGAAAGTTTGAAGGGGGGGGGGGGGGGTGTGCAAATCGAAAATTGAAAGTTTGTCCCCGGGAAGAGTCGCTACGCCTCTGGGGGGGGGGGGTGACACCCGACCTCGCTACGCCACTGGCTGGGGAGGTGGTATAATTGATCAATAGTTTAGGGGGGGGGGGATGATGTCCTGCTACCATATATCAAATGTGGTCAGTATAATGCAAAAGAGAAATCTTTAACAATATCTGAGGGAGCATTTATGTTGGAAGTTGTTGAGTGGGTCAGTGGCGTAGCGAGTTCGTGTGTCACCCGGTGCGGCACTTAATGGTGTCATCCCCCAGAGGCGTAGTAACCCTTCCCGGGGAAGAACTTTCAAATTTTCGATTTGCACCCTTCCCCCCCCCCCCCCCCCCCCCGTCAAGTTTTTCTCTATATATTTTGCTATTTTTTGCCTTGGTGTCACCCGGTGCGGTCCGCCCCCTCCTCGCTACGCCTCTGGAGAGGGTTCCTGTTGTATTGTGTTTGTGGAAGTAATTGAGTCGCATTGTGTTATTGTTTGCGAATTTGTGGAAGTTCTTAAGTTACTGAGTGTTATTGTTTGCAAATTTGTGGTAATTGTTCAGTCGCTTGGTATTATTGTTTGCATGTTTGTTGCGTTGTTTAGTCACATCATGTTATTGTTTACGCATTCAACACGTTCAGGAGTAACAGCAATAGTCCCTGTAACCACACTGCTGTGTGCTGACGTAGACCTTGGGTCGAAACGTCCATAGTATTTGTAACTGTCTTTAACTTGTGAGGTAACTAACACTATCTGTTTTATTATTAATATTTTCAAATATAAGTGTTCCAATAAAAATAATTTACAAAACAAAAATACAAGGAGCCTGAGTGAGAAATAGATGAAAAGAATTTTAAAAAATATAATTTTATAATTGTTATTGACATTCATTCAATTGTTGAGAAATTTTGAAATATTTATGATGAGCTCTAGATGGCAGATCTAGTCATGGTCGTCAGCAAAGCCCTCTAGGTTTAATGTGGTAAATAAGTTTTTTAAAATGTTCTTCTTCCAACTTTCAGCAAACGTTTTGTAGTCACTTGTCTGAGGATGAATGTAAAAGAATTCTTAAGGAGCATGAATAAAACACACCCTCTCATATCACAATGCATTTGTGTATTTTTTAAATTATAAAACTTATAATAAAAATTAATATAAATACATTTTTTATATAATGTAGGTGATATAACAGCATAGATCTAGTTAGCTTTAAAATAAATGAGTACAATTTTAAAAGTATCACATGAAATTTAAATTTTGCTCTGGCCTTGAACTATTTGAAGGAACATTTGGAATAAAACTGCGTGCACCAATTGTCTCACTTCAAATGAACAGGGCCTACCGGATTTGCTATAGAGTTTTAATTACTTTCTCGAATACACAGCAGGGGCGGAAATACAGTGCCGCCAGACCCCGCAATGCGGGGGGGGGGGGGGGGGGGGGCAAGGCGACCATAAAAAATTGTTATAGTAAAAAAAAAATTTCTTGCATTTTTGACTTAATGTTTGTTTTGTAAAAAAGATTACCGTAGCTGCTGTTGGATTTTCTTATTCTATAGACACCACTCCACGCTCATTTTTCCTTCGTTTTAAAACCACTGTGAAAGCCGAGTCCCCTTTCTCCTACAATCAAACTTATCAAAGATAAGCAAACGTTCAAACCACTTCCATAACTTATTTCCCTTTTTTAAATAGTCAAATAGTGATGCTCATGCTCCTTTTAATAGATTTGTACTAAACAAATTAAAAAGCAATTACTTCTCTTTATTGTTATTTCTTTATAAATTACTTACTAAAGAATGACACTGTATAAAAAGAAAATGTATTTTGAATGTATATGAATGTTTAAAAATTAGAACAGAAGCTTAAAAATGATGTCATAAAGTAAAATAAGCCTGTAAAAATGAAAGCATTAACGATACCATATTTTGAACTGTAAAAACATTCAAACAACATATAGGCATATTTCTACCTTCTGACAAATATGTCAACTATATAAACAAAATATAACTGTGGTATACCGTGGATCTGTAGTGTGTAAGAGTTTATAAACATTTAGAGTAACCTTAGTTACGTCATTTTAAGATACACAAAATTCCTCTATATGGGCCTAATTTCTTATATTGGAATGAAGGGAGATAATAAGTAGTGCAATTGTACATAATTTCTTGGAAAATATTGAATGAAAAACAATTTTCCAAAACAGATTTTCGTTTAAAAAAAAATTCTGGGCTCAACTATAGTGCGTGTGATAAGAGGATAATTGAAGGTCAGTCAAATTACCTTTCACATCTTTGGTAGCAAGCCATGCCTGAAAGTCTTTTTTTAACTCATCTAACAATGAGTTTCCAACTTAAATTAGAAAAAAAATGTTATTACAGCATAGGCCTATATAATTATAGATCTAGTCTTTATTGCCATTGTATCTTGCAACTAAATCATCAAAATATGAAACATAATTTACATCATTCTTATAGGTAGACTCCTCTCTATATAATTTACATACATGCAGCCATTGGTCCCATGCCATAGTGTCCAAGTAAAGATACCTGAGCTGTTCAATAAATACATTTGAGTTATGTAAAATACTCAAATTATGTAAAAATATAATTCTGAAACTCTAAACTGTTAAAACGTTTAAATCCTAAGTGCAGGTGCATGATGTTTTAAAGTATAGCTTTAATCCTGTAACTCCAAGTTAAACATCTCTTCTATTTAGTAACGGATATAGAATTTACATCTTTATAAAAACAATGTGAGGATCTTAACGCAATTTGAAACATTCGCATAAAATAATCAATGTACAGTTACGATTACTAAATTATTAAAAAAAAATTGTTTAAATTCCAGAATTTTCATTGTAAAAAACTAGAAACAGTAGCGTAAGGACACCATATTAAAAATTAGTCTTTGGAACAGGCGGCGCTTAACTGCATCAGGAGCTAAAGGGTTAATTAATTTCAGTTAATCGAGAAACGGCCACGGCCAACCTTCCAAAAGTCACGTAAGACAAAATATCTCACCATTTCCTCCATGGATCGTAAACTTTATCTCTAAGTTAGGACCAAACGACAGTCCTAAATGACACTGTGGAGTGCAGAGGCGTAGCCAGGGGAGGGCGGGGAGGGCGGCCGCCCCGGGCGCCGACCCTAGGGAGGCGCCAAAAGGGGTAAAAAAATAATTAAAAGCTAATTTTAAGCTGCATTTTTTAAATATAAACAGTCAAAGTAAAGAAATTTAACGGCTGAGAGCCTTTGCATACTGATTTAACTGCTTTCTACCTTGATTGTGTAACTGTAAAGCGTATATCTTTAAGAAACGATGACCGGAAAAACCGCTTTCCAGCTTTCCTAGATGGGGGGGGGGGGGGGCGCTTTTTCGAAGACTAAAATCGGAAAAATTCACAACGGATTAAGGAATAAATAACCGATATCACTCAGAAAAGAAACCCATTTAACTAAAGCGTATTTTACGATTGTGTAACATAATAAAGAGTGGCGTTTAAAATCCGCTCTACCATTTTTGTCCAAGATGGTGGGACGCTTTTTCACTAAGAAAAATCGCAGGATTTGTACTAGATCGGTTGCTAACACTTAATGTACGATTTCACTACCCAGTTTTGCTAAGTAATAACGCGACTCTCAACGATTCTCTCAACTTGATCGTGATAGATCAGATACTTTTACTTGATTGCATTACATCTTGCCTGGATCACTGCATTAAAGAGAAATAAATATAACGTATTCTTGTATCGCTATCCGATCAGTAAAATAGCAGACTGTTGGAGCGGGTGGATGGGAAGCGACACTCTTTGCCAAAATTTTAAGAGAGAAGAAAATTAGTATATTGTACTGATTATTACTTTGTTCAACCTAACTGATAATTCAAAATTGCAATATTAGCCTAATAATAACTAAATTGTTCTAAAGACACGACCAAAAGTAGACCAAATAAGGCTTGCACCTTCTACAAAATACACTCTAAAGCATTGGTTCTTAACTTTTTGGAGTATCGAACCCCACCAGTTTCATATGCGCAATCACCGAACCCTTCTTAATAGTTGTATCGTCCACAATGACAAAATCCGATCGTGAATCCTATGAGTCGGGTGTGTGTCTTGAGCTCCGCGGAAGCCCTGAGACTGAATTACCGAACCTCACGGGTTCGATGGAGCCCACTGTTCTAAGCTCTTCTGATTTTTTTTTCTACTTTTTATTCGTTTCGGCATCTTAAGGGGAATTTGATTGGCGTCCAGTGAAGTTTTAGGGAACGACAATCAGCGTAATTGTTAATTTTTTTTTTTCCAGACTGTCGCACACACAAACACACACGCATAGTATATATATATATATATATATATATATATATATATATATATATATATATATATATATATATATATATATATATATATATATATATATATATATATATATATATATATATATATATATATATATATATATATATATATATATATATATGGGGGCGCCAAACTGAAAGTTCGCCCCGGGCGCCGGCAAGGGTCGCTACGCCTCTGGTGGAGTGTGACCCGTAAGAGAGCACAAAACCTGAGCTTCCTTTGTTTCAGTCTCCATTGATAATATAACCCATTTTCCATTATTGTTTGGTGAAACTAGACCGCAAAAAAAAAGAAATTTAATGCATTAGAATTAAATGTTAATGTCCAACAACTAATTGCAAATATATATATATATATATATATATATATATATATATATATATATATATATATATATATATATATATATATATATATATATATATATATATATATATATATTGAATACTCACGCGTGTCGACCGCAGCCAGATCTATAGTGCAACCAGTGCTGCCAGTTTGTAATGTTTTTGGCGAACTTTTTGATATGTCCAGTACTATCAAAATGAAAAATAATACTGATATATTATCTTAAATAATATATTATTTAATTAATGAAGAATAGGATGACCGATCCCACCCACCTCCGTTTTCCTTTTCCTCTAAAAAAAACGAAATGAAATAGCAACACCCAACTATGATGTATGAAACATTGTTCATTAATATTTTTAATGGTTCTAAAAATAGATATTCGCAGATAAGGTATCTGTCAATTCCTGCTTTATTAACTTTGCACGCCTTTTTGTGCACTTGCTGATTAGTCAAACTAATGCAAACTTACTTAGTCCCAAAAAAAAAAATCATTATGCGTGAATCATGCGTAGAGTTACTTTTGTAGTTGGAGCTAGCCCCCACCCCCACGGTGATAGTTTTAATAGGTGCACACTTAATAGTAACGATGGTTATGTATAACATTTTAATAATACTGTTTCATATAGCATTGTTTTCTCTATAATTAGCAATTTACGTCATGGTGTCACTCCAACCCCTTGTCGGCATTGTCGATTTGTACTTATAAAGACTATTTAACTTTAATTAATCATTTATGGAACTGTCAAAAAAGCATTTTTTTCTACACAGTTTGCATTTTTTTTTCGCCTTGGTGTAACCCCCCCCCCCCCCCCCCCCCCCAAATGATGTCACCCGTTGCGGTCCGCACCCCCGCCCCCGCTATGCCTCTGCCCCAGCTTAAAATGTTTTTTTTTAAAATGTGTATCCAATTGGCGACCCCTTAAAGTCAGCGCCCAGGGCGGCCGTCCCACCCGTCCTTCCTTAGCTACGCAACTGGATGGTAAGGAGCACGACCGCTAACACGTTTCGTAAATTTGATTCAAACTTTTTAAAAAACCAGCCACATAGAATGTTTATCTCAAATTAATACAACCCACGGAAATGCTCCTTAAAAATCGTTCAATACAAGGGGATGGAGTGGATTTTTATTTAATTTGGAATGGGGATTCTCTTTACATCAAGGGGTCATCTATAAATGACGTCAGGCTTTTTTGGACGATTTTTACCTCCCTCCTCCCCTCCGTCACACGTCGTCACAAAAAAGCCAGGAGCCCCCCCCCCCCTAAAATGACGTCACACCTCAGCCTACAACCGACCTAAAAATTCCTGTTGAATTTTTCTTAAAAGATCATTTTCCCAAAATCTTGTCATAACTCTGTCAACATAGAGTATTTTGATCAATTGCTAGTACAATTTATTGAAAACGTTTTCTAAAACGCGAAACAGCTAAAACTCGTTTTCTAACATTGCTTTTTTACATTGCAAAAAAGTGACGTCACACCATCTGAACCACTCCCCCTCACCACACACCGTCACAAAATTACGGACCCCCTCCCCCCTACGAGTGTGAGTCCTTTTATGGACGACCCCTAATCCAACATGAATATTTGTTTTTAAGTGTTTTTTTTCTTTAGTTTATAATTTATTGTAATCGTAAAAGAAATGGAAAATGCGATTTTGACAAATCTTGACGTTTTACAATATTCCTGACCGTGACAAGGTTTGATTCTTTCAGACATTTTTATAGGTGGAGAGGTGATTGGGTGGGGGGGGGGGGGGAGCACTAGACGTTTCCGGGAATGGGGTTGCGCACTTCTTTACTTAATTTCAAAAATTTCCAATCCAGATATAAATAAACAAAAATATTTAATTAGTGAAATAGTAATTTTATTTAGTATGGAATCAATTTTAATTAATGGATAGACAAAAAAAAAACATAATAAAATGATATTTGTTCTTTTAAAGTATTTATTATGTATTCTGCTTCAATGTGCGACACAACAATTATGTTTTAAATCATAACAATATTTTTAAAAAATACAATTTAATTTATGTTGTAAATTATGAGGCTAAATATTTTAGCGATTTTAAATTAGGATAAATTGTGAGGGATTGAGAAGTCAGCGATCTAAGGTAAGGTCTGATATATATATAGTACAAAAAAACGGGATTCTAACCTTTAATGAAAAAAACCGCCCATTTTTTCTATTGCGTGGTAAACGCTTTCATAACTTAGATCTACTAGATCTGCAGTCAAAATAAATGAATACCTTTAGATCTGCCACTTTGAGTATCATAACCTTTCACAGCACAGATCGCCATTTTGAATGCGGACCGGTACACCGCGATGGCGGATGTTTACTTACTGAACGATCCGTGACGTCATATGCAAGGACTCTATGGGTCAGTCGAACTCATTTGAAAAATTACCCGAAGGCATGCGCTTGGTTTTATTGATCACTAGGGCCTACATTGTTGTTAGCAACGGCCCCACAGACACAACCATAATGGAATCTTCTTAAATGGAGGTTTATTTTACTGGTAGTCAACGTAATACAAATAATATGAGTAGGCCGCATGTATGCCTACCATAGCCTTGCCCTTATTGAAAAAAATAAATACTTGACTGTTAAGCTCACTACAGCCTTGCCCTTAACACTAATTAAATTTTTTTAAATAATACTAATAAATTAATTATACTTGACTGTAACTAGATCAATAAACCAAAAAAAAAAAATATATATATATCTAGAAGGCCAACACACCTATTTATTAAGCCTTAACCTCGAGTCTATTATTAGAGGAGGCCTACTGTTGGACATCGGTAATACAAATCAAGAGTATTAGATCACTAGATCTAGACATTCTACCACAATAATCAATTAATCATAATTGTATTTTTAATAACACTTAATTAATAGGCCATTGTTTAAAAAAATATATAAATAATATAAAAGATTTTTTAAAAATTCCCTATCTCAATCTCTGATATAGTATAGGCCTGGCCTATAGACTTACACAACACGGTTGTCCCAGCCATTTCTTAGAAGTCTAGAATACCTTAATTCAAAGCCTAGACTGGAGAAATACAGATCTAGAATATAAGGCAAAAGGCTAGCCTACTCCTTTTACTACCGTATAATTAGAATAATCGAGCTAGGCCATAGATCGCATGTTATGTCACTTCCGCTAGGGGAGGGGGATCAATAGAAAACGTTTCATAATTTTACGTATGCGCTAAAAAGATTTTCTTTAGACTATATATTTATATAGGGTCTACAACAATGCGGTTCTATTTGAAGATAGCGTGGGTAACTTTACACATGGTCAGACAACTGTCATTTTAGGAAGGTCTATGGAGTTATTTCCCCTAACACCAGCCGGCCCACACCTCTTTGTTTAAATATATTATGTTATAATTATGTGTGTGTGCAGTAGCGTACGCGGGGGGGGGGGGGGGGGGGGAGGAGAGCAGGGGCCATTTTCAGCAAAGTGGCGCCTTTTTGGAAACTTTTTAATCGCAAAGTTTTAAACAATGATATTTGTTAAAAAATATTTTTGGTCCGCACATCTGTGTAATTTGTAAATCACAAGATTTCTTTTCATGCAGCAATTAAGCAATATTGTACTAGTCTAGTAGTGTCTACGTTTACAACACGTATTAACAGCTGCATCAGTTTGCCATTCTAAAAATAACCATTACGATGCATTGCAATGTTTAAAAAACCTCTACGGGTAGTACCACTTGGCAAGAGGGGGTGTTAGGTTTAAGGCAACTGTATAATGTATTTGCTTACGATTAATTGAATTAGAAAATGTTATACATAAAACTTCACACATAATTACTTTATATATACAGTTTAAATCGTGTGATTAATTTTAAAAAATTACAATACAGAAACAAATTCAACTGATGTGGCACCTCTATTTAAATTTACTTATGAGCAAACTGCGTAGTGGTGGGGAAATTTTGACAAGGTCAACAACGTCATCACGATGAAGTAGTAGTATTCTTACAGCTTGGGCGATAGTGATTACGATTACAAATTATATGAACAGTTACAACCCCCGTCCCCCATGAACCCCTATATAAAAAAAAATATTGTCATATACCACTGCTACTTATTTAAATCTATTTCTTTAATATATATTTGTGTAATATATATGTATGTTTAGAACAGTCATCTAAAAACTGACGCTATATTCACTCTGAGTTGGTTATCCCCCCCCCCCCCAACACACACCTTACCACCACAATTCTTCAGAGCGACATTAATGTCATACCTAGGTATACACTGGGTTGGATAATTGACCTAAAGTGACCGGACAGTGGGGAATGAAGATGAACCTCCCCCCCCCCCCCACCAACACACCCGAACTGATCTGTTAAGTACATGTAGAAAAAATGATGTACCAAAGTACCATGCCGCCAGAAAATTAGCTTTTTAAACGTAAAACTCTGTGAATATGTGAATATTTTTTTTGCAATTACCAGTAAAAAGGTGTGTGATCAATACAGTGATCTAACCAATACCTATCACTATGTTAAAAAATGATCTTTAAAGAACACAAAGAAGCGAAGTTAATTAAAAATATATTATCTGAACTAAAAGACCGAAATTTACTATTTAGTTAAATGTAGGCTGTTATTCCGAATGTGTTTCTATTACACCGAAAAGCATGGTTTTATACCAACTCTGATTTTAAAAACTTTCATTATGCTGTAATACTTTAGCATTTATGATGACGATATATTAAATTATTATAGACAAAAACATTTTGTAAACACGAACAGTGTTAAACAATTTCATTATATTCTAAAGTAATTATTTATTTGTTTTGATAAGTATAATTAAATGTGTAGATATATACATATTTTTATTAAGAGAGTGATTATTTCCCCTATTTCACTTGTCTTAAATAATTCCCCAGGAATTATTATGTAAGAAATTTTTAGCGCAATTTCATACTGACTTTTTTACTTTCTCGTATATACGAAGTATAGAGAAAGTATTGTAATCGTGCACAAAAATCACTTGAAATTTCAACAATTTTCACCGTATTACTCCTCAGTCCTTCATCACATCCGAAGTATAGAGGACTTATTTTAATCGGGCAAAAATTATCAATCCAGGTTTATCAAAATTAAGAGGTTTTATGCGTAATCCAGTCTGAAAAACTGGGCTTTGCAATTCAGTCCGTATGTCTGTGTGTCTGTCCGTGTGTAAACACGATAACTTGAGTACCGTTACAGCTAGGTTGATGAAATTTCATATATAAGTATTTTATCAAAATCGTAGATCCGTATCAACTTTTGAGCGATTTCCGATAATCGGAAGTGGTACTTTTTCTACGTTGAATTTTTCGAAAGCCTATAACTTGAGTACTATTTCAGATAGATAAATGAAATTTCACATGTAAGAATAAGATCTAATTCTCTACCTTTTGTCAAATTTTGAGTAATTTCCGTTGACCGGAAGTAGTAATTTACGCTACTTCCGATTTCTCAAAAAACTAATGTAAATTTTTAAAGTACTAATAATATTGCGCACTATTATGCACTTTTTTATTTGGCGTTCAATTGGTGTGCAATCTTTTGTCTACGAGATTTTATTCTATTTTTAAAACTTTAAGTATTTAAAATGGATTAAAAAAAAAATTCATAAAAAACGTTTTAGTAACAAGCTTTTATGTAATGATGCACTAAAAAGTAGAAAATAAATTATAGACTACTATTTAAATAACTATAAAGAAAAGCGTGGGTCACTTTAGTATCTATTGGATACCTTTACTAATGTTAAGGAAGACACCCACGCTTTTCTTTATAGTTATTTAAATAGTAGTCTATAATTTATTTTCTACTTTTTAGTGCATCATTACATAAAAGCTTGTTATTAAAACGTTTTTTATGAGGTTTTTTTTCAGTACTTTACATGTTTTATTTACAATAGAGTTACATGACTAAAAACCATTGCGCGCCTACTGAACATCACGTTCAGTAGGCGCGCAATGGTTTTTGAACGCAGCCATTACGTGATGGCGCAGCTATTGAAGGTGATGACGCGTGTGGTGTGGTTGGCTAGACATGCCTACTAATTCGGTCCAAATTTTAATTAATTCATAAAAAATTAATTAGGCATCCAATTAAGTCAAATTTAGATTCAGATTGCATTGTCTTCATGTCTTGACCCACGTGCCAACTGTGAATCGTATCGGTCAAATAGAACTGTCCGAATTTTCACTCCTGCGTTTCCATCTAGACAGACAGACTGTCGACAGAGGAAGTGAGTTAAATAAAAGCTTGTAAAAAAAATTCATAAAAAACGTTTTAATAACAAGCTTTTATGTAATGATGCACTAAAAAGTAGAACATAAATTATAGACTACTATTTAAATAACTATAAAGAAAAGCGTGGGTCACTTTAGTATCTATTGGATACCTTTACTAATGTTAAGGAAGACACCCACGCTTTTCTTTATAGTTATTTAAATAGTAGTCTATAATTTATGTTCTACTTTTTAGTGCATCATTACATAAAAGCTTGTTATTAAAACGTTTTTTATGAATTTTTTTTTCAGTATTTTACATGTTTTATTTACAATAGAGTTACATGACTAAAAACCATTGCGCGCCTACTGAACATCACGTTCAGTAGGCGCGCAATGGTTTTTGAACGCAGCCATTACGTGATGGCGCAGCTATTGAAGGTGATGACGCGTGTGGTGTGGTAGGCTAGACATGCCTACTAATTCGGTCCAAATTTTTATTAATTCATAAAAAATTAATTAGGTATCCAATTAAGTCAAATTTAGTTTCAGATTGCATTGTCTTCATGTCTTGACCCACGTGCCAACTGTGAATCGTATCGGTCAAGTAGAACTGTCCGAATTTTCACTCCTGCGTTTCCGTCTAGACAGACAGACCGACGAGGAAGTGAGTTAAAAAAAATTCATAAAAAACGTTTTAATAACAAGCTTTTATGTAATGATGCACTAAAAAGTAGAAAATAAATTATAGACTACTATTTAAATAACTATAAAGAAAAGCGTGGGTCACTTTAGTATCTATTGGATACCTTTACTAATGTTAAGGAAGACACCCACGCTTTTCTTTATAGTTATTTAAATAGTAGTCTATAATTTATTTTCTACTTTTTAGTGCATCATTACATAAAAGCTTGTTATTAAAACGTTTTTTATGAATTTTTTTTTCAGTACTTTACATGTTTTATCTACAATAGAGTTACATGACTAAAAACCATTGCGCGCCTTCTGAATATCACGTTCAGTAGGCGCGCAATGGTTTTTGAACGCAGCCATTACGTGGTCGTGATGGCGCAGCTATTGATGACGCGTGTGGTGTGGTTGGCTAGGCATGCCTACTAATTCGGTCCAAATTTTAATTAATTCATAAAAAATCAATTAGGCATCCAATTAAGTCAAATTTAGTTTCAGATTGCATTGTCTTCATGTCTTGACCCATGTGCCAACTGTGAATCGTGTCGGTCAAGTAGAACTGTCCGAATTTTCACTCCTGCGTTTCCGTCTAGACAGACAGACTGTCGACTGTCGACTGACGAGGAAGTGAGTTAAATAAAAGCTTGTAATAAAAGCTTGTAAAAATCACATCTATAGCCCGAGTTCTCATCCCCCGTTGTTTTATATAAGAATATTCGAGAAAGTTTAAGGGAGATCACTCCCGGTTTATTTTACAAGAATTACAAAACAGATTGTATTACGTTCATTGTTTTTGGTTGTAGTGTGTATACATATTTTTTTTATTAGATCGATACAATTTTTGTTTTGTCGGCCTACATTGTGTGTTTTTTCTTATTTCTTCAGAGTGCTACTTTCAATTTATTTTACATCATAGCGAAGTAATGACATACAGCTAGTAATTATATATATAATACACGTATATAGAACGTGTTAAAAATTCGGCGCCTTTTTTGCTCGTTTCGCTCCCCCTACAAAGAAAACCTGGATACGCCTCTGAGTAATGTATAATTTATTTTCTACTTTTTATTGCATTATTACATAAAAGCTTGTTATTAAAACGTTTTTTATTTAAAAAATTTCAGTGTAGGCTAGGTTAAATGGTGCGGGCGATCTGTGCTAAGTTATGGGGAGGGGGGGGGGGGGGTATCAGTGCGGACGCCCGCGAAGACACGTTAAACTTAAATCTTCGCGCTGAGAATAAAAATCTGTTTAGCTTGTGTTCCTGGGCGTCCATCTCGAAAGCTACAACAACGTACATGTCTACATTGAAGCTCGCGCAATTGAATATCTACTGGATCTATTGCCTTGCGCTCTTCGGCGAGGTCCAACCTAGGACCACACCCCGTCCGGTTGTCGTAGCGCTTATTTAAATAAGAAGTCTTCAACAAGCGATAATCTCAGTTTTTACTGTCTTTATTTGGTCTCATGCAATGTATCAATACTGATACCATCTAGTTCTCATTAGTACGTATTGATAAGAGACCGTCCGGTTGTTGTAGCACGTTAAAATCAGAGACCATCTAGTTGTCGTAGCACGTAACTCCAGAGACCGTTCAGTTGTCGTAGCACGTATTTACCAGAGACCATTAGGTTGTCGTAGCACGTAATTCTAGAGTTGTCTGGCTGTAGTGGCACGTAAGTATGTAACATATCCGTTGTCGGAGCACTTATTTATTTAAGAAGTCTCCAACAAAATGGTTACATTTTTACGATGCCTCCAACAGATGAAAAAAAACGAAGTCTCCAACCAGCCTCAGGTATTTACCAGAGACCATTAGGTTGTCGTAGCACGTAATTTCTAGAGTTGTCTGGTTATAGTGGCACGTAAGTATGTAAATGTAACATATCCGTTGTCGTAGCACTTATTTATTTAAGAAGTCTCCAACAAAATGGTTACATTTTTACGATGCCCCCAACAGATTAAAAAAAAAACGAAGTCTCCAACCCGCCTCAGGTATTTAAACAGAGACCGTTCAGTTGTCGTAGCACGTATTTACCAGAGACCATTAGGTTGTCGTAGCACGTAATTCTAGAGTTGTCTGGCTGTAGTGGCACGTAAGTAACATATCCGTTGTCGTAGCACTTATTTATTTAAGAAGTCTCCAACAAAATGGTTACATTTTTACGATGCCTCCAACAGATGAAAAAAACGAAGTCTCCAACCAGCCTGTTATTTAAACAGAGACCATTAGGTTGTCGTGTGGGACGGAGTGGTCTAGCGGTAGAGAGCTGGACTGCTAACCCGTAAGTCCGGGTTTAAGTCAGTAGACCATCCCTGAGTCCACCCAACTCTGATGGGTACCTAACTCACGTTAGGGAAAGTAAAGGCGGCTGAGCATAGTGCTGACCACATTATCTCTTCATATGCCGAGGTCACAGAAACAAGTGAACTCTACTTCACTTGCCCCATAGACCGTCAGGTTTGAAAGGGAAACTTTACTTATTAGGTTGTCGTAGCACGTAATTTCTAGAGTTGTCTGGTTGTAGTGGCACGTAAGTATGTAAATGTAACATATCCGTTGTCGTAGCACTTATTTATTTAAGAAGTCTCCAACAAAATGGTTACATTTTTACGATGCCTCCAACAGATGAAAACAAAAACGAAGTCTCCAACCAGCCTCGGGTATTTAAACAGAGACCGTCCGGTTGTGGTAGTGCTTATTTATCAGTCGCCGTCCGGTTGTCATAGCACATTTGAGCAGAGACCGTCCAGTTATGTAGTACGTATTTAGAGCAGGTTAATAGTACGACTGCTGTAATTTGGCGAGCAGACTCAGTTTGAATGGTAGCCCCAGCAAGGCGTGTAGGCTTGTTTATAAGAATCTCCAACAAGACGGGAAGACTCAGTTTTTACGCAGTCTCCAACAAAACGGGAAGACTCAGTTTTTACGCAGTCTCCAACAAAACGGGAAGACTCAGTTTTTACGCAGTCTCCAACTAAACGGGAAGACTCAGTTTTTACGCAGTCTCCAACAAAACGGGAAGACTCACGTATGGTTTCCTTCAGTCCCGTTGTTGCTTACACAAACAATACATACATAGATCTAATATTTTTTTTGCAGGCCTTTCACTCAGATTCCCATTCTTATATGCTACTATCTTGCTCTGTAAATAGACCTAGAATAATATTAAAAGTAAGGCTGCTCAATGCTTTAAGACAGGGGTCTCCAAACTTTTCAGGCCGAGGGCCGCATTAACTATCAAATTTCAGTTCGGGGGCCAGTTTCTTCCAGGCATGTCTTTGATTTTTCTGGGCAAAGTTCCTCAGCCATCACCAACAAACGATTTTTCCGTGGACAAAAAAATCTCCACGGGCCGGATGAGAGGACATCGCGGGCCGCATTCGGCCCGCGGGCCGTAGTTTGGAGACCCCTGCTTTAAGATATAAAATGTAAGCACTATAGATAGTTCTACTACTAAATATTAACATGAAAGCAATAGTTAGTCTAATCTCTCACCCAAAATGGTATCACTCGGTGCGGTCCTCACCCCCGCCCCCTCTTGCTGCGCCCCTAATTCTACCACAATAGTAGTATTTGTATTTATAATAATACATAAGCAGCCTAATAGGCTATTCAGCCATTGTTTAGAAATATATAAATAATATAAAAGATTTTTAAAAATCCTTCTCTAATATAGTATAGGTGTGGTGAAGTAATGTGTATGAAAGGCGAATACGTGGAACGGATCACTGCGTGTGTGTATGTATCATGTAGTGAGACGCGAGGCCGGGTGTGTTGACGTGTCGGGTGACAGTGGCTAGGGCCTATGTTGTGAGCGAGAGAAAGGTGGTGTGTAGGGATGAATGCGGGGGGCAGTTGAAAGTTGGAGTGAAAGCAAACAGGTTGATGTGGGACTAAGTGGCGCGTTTAAAGAGAAATAAAGGATACTACTGTGCTACCTAGCCTCAATCGTGTTGGTTGTGCATTCTTTGAGAATCTGACACACTCACAATGGGCCTGGCCTATAGACTTACACAACACGGTAGTCCCAGCCATTTCATAGTAGGAGTCTAGAGTACCTTAATTCACAGCCTAGACTGGAGAAATACAGATCTAGAATATAGGGCAAAAGACAAGCCTACTCCTTTTACTCAGTGGGAGTGGGGCACATGATGCCTGGAAGAAACTTTGCTTTTACTGCCGTAGAATTAGAATAATTGAGGTAGGCCCTAGATCGAATGTTAAGTCACTTCCGCTAGGGCTCCTATAAGGTGGGAAAAAATCAATAGAAAAAGTTTAATAATTTTACTAAAAAGATTTTCTTTAGCCTATATATTTTTATTTATATAGGGTCTACAATAATCCGGTAGCCTACTATTTGAAGACGAGAAAAATGGCCCGTTGAGGAAGGGTACAACGGGCGCTAGGCTGATAGTGCTGTCTCTTTTCTCTAAACTAAAACCAACCCACCCCCCCCCCACACCGCCCCCCAAAAAACATGTCTACCGTCCCATTCAACGAAATATAATTATATACTTTTTCCAGTGTCCGCCCCCTCCCAGAAAATTCTACCCCCGCCCCCGAAAATTTCAAGTACCCCCACCCCTCTCCGGGGAGGAAAAAGTCTGAAAGAAACACTGGTGTCGCGCTTAGCCACTACCCGAAGAATTGCATTAAAGAAATTGCAAGAAAACCACTTTTTAGATTAGACACATTAATTAGGCGGTAATTTTATTATAGAGTATCGATGAAGAAATTTCTTTTGAGTTGGGGAGGGGGGGGGGGGCTCAGACGTTCTTACGCGGGGGGTGGGGCTTCGCCCCTACCCGAAGAATTGTATGCAAGAAACTCTTCACGCAAACCATTTAGATTAGACAACATTTCCTTTTTATTCAATGTTTACGCGATAATCAATGACGTCATTATATTACTGTGTGCACTTTCCGCCTTGAGATTATTTTCAACTCTATGCTAAATGTTGCGACGTCATACTTCGTTTTTCGAATTACTATGCAGGTTTTTAATTTGCTTGTGTTTTCTCTAGAGCGTTCTTGTCAGACAGAGCGTTCTTGTCAGATAGATAGACAGACAGCGAAACTATTATTTGAAGATAGCAGTGTTTAGCTATACACATGGTCAGACAACTGTCATTTTAGGAGGGTCTCTATGGAGTTATTTACCCCTAACACAAGTTGGCCACACCTCTTTGTTTCATTATATTAAATGTGTGTGTGTGTTGTTAGCCATAAAGATGGTTTGTTGACCACAGATTACACCTAGGCAAAAGCAAGTTAAAATGTGGCCTTCCAACACAGTCAAATTGAACCAACTGGTCATTTTAATATACAGCATAAAATATTCATAGGGGTGTAGTAATGATATATTTGTGTGTGGTGGAATAATTGTCAAAGTTGAGTCTATATTATTTGAAAATGTTTTAAAAGGAACACCTGTTAGGTGCTTATCAATGAGTGGACACAGGAATGTTCAACATACTTTAGCCCTGAAATTGTGGTGGACAGGAATAGCCTGTAGTGGGCACAGGATGAGTAGCCAACAGACTTTAGAACTGATGTGTAGTTGGCACATTAGTAGCCAACAGGCTTTAACCTTGATGTTGTGGTGGACACAGGGAGTCCAACAGACTTAGCCCTGAAATTGATCTTAAGGTTTTTGGTTTAGCAATTACGCTGTCTCTTTTTTCATTTAAAAAAAAATGTTATTGTGCAAAATACATTAGAAATGTTGATGTGCTTGTATTTAAAGTACACAGCTCAGTTAAACACCAATTGATCTCTTCTGTTCAGGAAAATTCGAGTCCTATCTATCACCTTATTTCATCAGCATGTTGGTGGTTGCTGGTCCAGGGCTGTTGATGGAATATTTCAGGACGTGCTCTTTTTCTCTGGATTATTTGTAGCACTTCCACTTGGAAGTCAAGGAAATCATTGTCACTTAACGTATCCACCTGCGGCATGATAGATTTAAAAAAACTCATTCTTGGTGACTCACACTTTTGTTCCTGGTGTTGCTGAAAACATTTAATTAGTTCATCTTCATGTTTAATCAGTTTGTCTCGTTTACTATTAAGGTTAAGTAGTTTAGTGACAGCAAGTTTCATTTGGGCTTCTTCTTCTTGCCCGTTCAATTCTTTTTTTACTGGGCCATCAATAACAGTTACTTTGTTAAAATGCACAGTTCTTTCTAAAGCATCACCAACATTGCAGTTGACACTAGTACCATGGAAAGACCTTTCAGATTCATCACTTTCCATGCCAGGATCTATATAACCTGGCATGGCACGAGACTTCTTTGCTGGTATCAGAAACATCATGTCCTCTTGAAATTTCCATTCTTTTTTGTTTGCTGATCCTCTGCCTGACTTTCTGTTTTTTCTCTTTAAAGCGTTACAGAATCCTCTAGTGAGCTGATCCCAAGTGGTTTTGGCACCAATGGTCACTCCTATAAAAATGGAAATAAATTAAATTATGATACTTAAGAATTGCTTATTTGACCTAGTTTGGAGTCTATAATTAAGTAGGTCGGAAATGACCGAAATGAAAAATAAGTTTCAATATGCCAAGTTTGCTCAGTGCTTATTTTATATTGAAATTATAAATAAATATATAATCTTAAACAAACAGGCTACAATACCATAACTTATTTTAACCATCGAATACTAGGCTATAGGCCCTATATAATAATAAATATTAAATATTGACTATTACTAAGTCCATTCATAGAGATTGTTTTTACTCTGCAAAGTGCATTGATTGGTTGAAGTCTCTGAAACAACAGCATACTAATTTGTTTTTAAATTAAATGTCATCAGGACTAGATTTCTAGATCTACTAGATTTAAATTAAAATCATCTAGATCTAGTTGAATGGGCTAGGCCTTGATATACTACGTCGCCCATCCTCCCCCCTCCTGATTTTAGGTTAACCATTTTAATATAACCATAGCATGAAATCTTATAGAGCTACTAAAATATGTCTAGATATTAGATAATATATAATGCTTAGATCTGTTCTGGTGACAAATTCCTAACTAACAATCAGACAAAAACAGCAGTGACGACAGCGCAAAAAAAAAAAAAAAAAAAAAAAAAGCGCATCGCATCATCGGATGATTGGCTTTGCTTTGATTGCACACAACCGCACCTGGTGGAGGTTGTATGATCTGTTCTATCTCTTCCCAAACTAGCTTTCGCTGCTCTTTATTCTTGTAATCTTTATTTGAAGGATCCCAGAGTGACGGACTGTTTCTTACAAGTTCGATAACGATCTTTTTATATTCATCCATTTTAATCGTTTATGCTCTGTTCTGTATCATTTACTTTGGGCCAGGCCTAGGCCTACCAAAATAGTAAAATGTCCAACTTCTCGTTTTACTCCTCCTCTTCACGCGTGAAGAGTGCATCGAGATCAGATGGAATCATGGTAAAATTGTTTCCAGATCGATACAATCTTTAGGCCTAAATGAAAAAAATAAAAATAAATAGATCTAGATCTATATGCTGTTGTGATTGTTAAATAGTATTAAGTACCAATCGAGTTAAACTTGTAACAGAATAAAAGTAAAGCTCATCAATATAGATAAAAAAAAAATACATGCATGTAACTAGATCTAGATTCTAGCTAGGTCTAGTTTTAATTTTTAATACTCCGAACGTCACACGTGAAGAGTGAAGCTAAATGCTAAATACTGAAATACGTGAAGTCGAAATTCACCTGTAGGCCTAGGCTTGTCTAAACAATATATATTATAAGGCACTAGATCTAGAATCTAGATCTAAAAGAGTTATGAGTAGATAATACTAGATATAGGCCTTTAAATGTAGATCTATTATTTATTCCAAAAAAAAAAAATTAGACCTAACCCAAATTTTGAAATTAAAAAAAAATACCGACCTGGTTATATAATTGAAGAGTATAGTCTATTATTAGTATTATCTAGTCTAGATTTTATTATATATGCCTAGAGGCGATATGGGCATTATGGGGTGGTATTCATTATTTAACTAATTAAACAGACCATGATGAAAAAATAATATTGATAGGCGTCTAGAGTCAAGATAGATCTAGAAAACTAGAGACAGATCTATTCTGTGTTGATCAAAAGCAGACTAGTCTAGAGTCAAAAGAAAAAAAAGTTAGATAGGCCTAAGTTTTTTTTTTTTTAAATATTGTTTTCTCGTGTGGTTTGCCAATGTTAAGGTTTTGTCGTCAATTACTCTAAGTTCAAAGTCCATTTATTAATGTTAGTAAAATTCATTAGGCCTACGGTGATTATAGTGACCACTAACCGTATCCAACATATTAATTATTTAAAAAAAAACATACTCTCGATCTATCTATTGAATAGGCTAGATTCTATTCTATATCTAGATCTATAGATAGAAGAAATCTAGATCTAGATTTAATTTAAATTAATAATAAAATATGCCACATATCTAATATATTCTATAAATACTATAATTCATTAAATAGTATGATAATTAAGGCCTAATTTAAATTATTATTAGCCTATTATTTTTACTGTAGGCCTAATTGGCCTAATACAAATTATAATACGTTCTGGTTTAGCTATTTGAAAAAAAATAATAATTAGCTGCAAATTTTAATGCATATATATATATATATATATATATATATATATATATATATATATATATATATATATATATATATATATATATATATATGCCCATATATATATATATATAGATCTATGTATAAAAAAATTGTATATTGTATTGTATAGGCCTATATTATATATTATATAAGGCCTACATAATACTATATATATATATATATATATATATATATATATATATATATATATATATACATACACAGCCTATATATTATACAGCCTATATAAAATATTTTACCTTTTTTTGTTCACAGCTTCAAAATGAAGACATGTATTTATCACTGTCTTTATCTGTTCATGCTTATGAACATAAGCATATTGTTTGCAATTCTTGTTGTGATACGTCTTGGAATTTTACTTATAACCAAAGGCCCCAGAAAAATGTTTAAATCCACACAACGTGAAAGCCCACCAACTTGCTTGATGGACCCAAAATTAGGAACACATGGATATCTTTACATTGAGGTACACAGTCCTTTCTTGAAACAAAATATAATTCCAATTTAAAAAATCGTAATTTTTAAAAATAAATAACAATAAATCTTACACAAAATAAAAATCATATATAATTTCAGGGCTGTTATAAAGAATAGTTATAAATGTTCAATGTTTACAAGTTTCTCTTTACTCTCCAATTTTCAGATGTCTGATAGAAGTATCTACCTCTCAAATAATTATATATTTCATTGTTACAAATTCCTATCAATTCTGTGGAATATTATTGAAAAAATAAGTTTTTTTAATACATTTTTTAAATCATGTATTTTATATTTTACAGTCATTCTACATTTATTTCCCCAGGATGTTCGAATTCATTATGTAAGTAAAGGTGATTCTGATAAACCACTAATGCTTTTGATGCATGGTTTTCCTGAATCTTGGTATTCCTGGAGGCATCAGCTGAAGGAATTTTCAGACAATTATAGGTATATATTTAATCCACACATCTGATATTAAATTGTAATTGCCTCAACAGTTAAAAACTCATTTCAGTTTTATAGACCATGAGTTTTATTATTAGCTTTTCTGAGGGATGGATAAAAAGCTATAATTTATGTTATCTCTGGTTAGTAATAAATTAATAATAATTTATATGATGTTACAATTCAGACTAACTTAAATAACATTCATCAAACAAGTAATATAGTAAATCATAGGATACTTAGTAATATTTAATTTTGACTCTTGTATATGAAGGGTAGTGGCTGTTGATTTAAGAGGTTATGGCGACTCAGACAAACCATCAGGGATATCTCAATACAAAATGGATAAACTAGTTAAAGACGTGAAACAAATAATCACAGCTTTGGGTATGGTTTTTTTCTACTGTTGCTGACCATGCATTTAAAAAAACATTTCTTTATTATTATTGTAAAAATTGTATTGAAAATGCTCTGTTTTTGGCAGGCTATAGTTCTTGTGTTCTTGTTGGTCATGACTGGGGGGGTGCTATAGCTTGGATATTTTCTGGACTGTACCCAGAGATGGTGGAAAAGGTCATTGTTTTGAACTGCCCTCACCCACATGCATTCAAGAAGTATTTACAAACTAACTGGGCTCAACTCAAAAAGTCTTGGTAAATATTGACTCATTTAATAACCCTTCTAACAAGTTTATTGACGGATTAAATAAAATAACTTAGATACTAAAATAAAATGAAAAACTTTAATTCTATCATAAATATTTACCAGCTATACCTCTGCTTAAATGTGCTTTTTAAATTGTTAAGAAAAATATTGTTGCATAACTTCATTTCCTTTCAGGTATATGTTTTTCTTCCTAATTCCCATTCTTCCTGATATCTATGTGAGGCTGTTTGATATGAAATTCTTTGACATAATTTTCCGAGGAACAAAGGGTGGAGTTTTGACCAATGCTACTACTCAAGAAGATGTTGATGCATATAAATACTTATTTTCTAAGCGAGGTATTGGTTTGTTAATAAATTTCTAAAAATATATGCATAATATTATATTTAATAGTAATAATAAGTATTTAATTTTAAAAAAACTAAAATGTACCTTACCATACTAAGTTATATGATTTAGCTGCATAAACCAGAATATCTTTTTATATTAAAGCTTGTTAGAGGGTTCCTAGTTCCACTTACACTGGGGGGGTAATTCTTAAGCTTATAAATGTGAGGGAGGATAATACTTTACTGACCACACAATCGGTTTGCCATAGCAAATTGAAATATGCCGACATCAACTTCCATAAGGTTTAAGCTGTTTTCGAAGCACACAAAACAGAAAATTAAAACTAAATTTTTTTTTGTAATTGTCTTTTAGGTTCCTTGACTGGACCAATGAATTACATTCGTGCAGCATTACTGTGCAGACCGGAATCTACAACTCGTGGAAAGGTTAAAACACCTGTTCTGCTGTTGTGGGGTTGTCGTGACTTAGCTATTGAGAAAGGTCAAGCTGAAAAGTGTAAAGACTACGCAGAAGACCTTACAATAAAGTATTTACATGACGCTAGTCACTGGGTACAGATGGATGAACCAGATACTGTTAACTTGTATATTAGAGAATTTATCCAAAAATAAAAGACAAATTTTGTATTATATTTTTTTAATTGAACTCCTAGTCTTTCATATAACATGAGTATTGTTGCAGACTACAATTCTTGTTAAAATTCAGTATCTGGAACATTTATGCCTAAATTGTATCGGTGAGCTGGATTTGCCATAAACTGCTTTCCAGTTGATTTTTAAAAAATGTTAATATTGCTTCTCTTGTTTGCATTTATACTGTATGTAATCAGTTTTTCCATGTAACTACAGAAATAAGATATCTGACATTTTGAGTATTTGACACCCTGACTTGTTTAATGTGTAAAACTTTTCTTTAGTATTGATGTGAACATATACATTTTGACAAAAGATTATTCAGCTTCATAATTATATTTATAACACTAATGGGTTATATTTTACCCTTTACTCATATTGTATAAGCTAAAGGTTATATATAGTTAAATTTCATGTTTTTAACAATAATGGAAGCAAATCTTGCCAACTATATGCACTATTTGTAACTGACATTAGTATCAAAGTTACAGTTTGCACCATCAGCTGTATATTCTAGACAGAACTTTTAAATCTTATGCACTTAGTAGTCAGGCATAAAAACCTTTCATAATTTTAGTTTAAAAAATGACTCACTTGTAATTATAGTTTCTGTCTATTTAGCATAATTCGCTATTACAGTGCATACAAATTACCAGCATCAATCATTACATATTTTCAAAACAATAAATTTATGACTGCATTTATTAAACTTTCTGCATATGTCCACCAAAGATATACAATAATTCATGAATCATGCATTAAATACAACATCTACATCATCACTATTAAGATTCACATACAACAATTCTCCAGAGACTTTAGGCAAGTTTTTAATGTGAGGAATTGATTCTGAAATGTAAATATTAAAAAAAGTTAATAAGCTGTATTTTAGAATTTTCTTTTGGTTTTTTTTATTTTCCAACACAGCATGTGTGAGCATTGATTGTAGTTTAAGGAAACATTTCAGTGGTATGTTATATAGTTATATAATATTTTAAAATATTTAGTTTCCTTACCTAAGTCATGGAGTGAGAATCTATCTGTGCCCTGGAAATGAAAATTTAAAGTGTAGCATAAATGGTCAAAGGGACTTAATGCAAACTGCATGTTTGAAAAACAAACTTCAACCCGCTATAAATTTAATACTGATTTAATTATAGATCTACAATGCAGATGTAAATTTTAACAATACTTAAATAATTTATATCTCTGTTTATTTTTAATTACTTCAAATTAGGCTTACTAATTGTACTATTTTAAAATTTACAATACATTTTATTATGTTTTAATTAAACAATTTCATAAGCAGAGAAACATTTTTAAATATGAGCAAATGTATTAGGGAAGGTATCTACAATAGTTTAAAACTTACCTTAATTTTAGCAGGACTTTGGATTACATGCTTTTGTTTTAATGTTTTGGGAGGATCAGATTCATAACTTGTACTAGCTGAACACTCTTGTGAAGGTGAACCCAGAGGGGCTGATAATTTGATTATTGGATCCAAGTGAGGTTTTTTTGGTTGTATTTGATCTGTTGAATTTGAAGAACTCTGGCTTTCATGTTCAGAACCTGACTTTGATTTCCTCTCTGAAATACCTGTGAATATATGTCAGCCATATAATTATATAACCATACTATCTATTCAAGTGTTGAAATGTATCTCAGTCAGGTAGATTCTACATGATATGGGTAAAGTCTTCAAAATGTAAAATACTAAGATTCTGACCTGTTATCTATTTAAACTTTTAAATAAAATTTACTTAAACATACTTGTTTGTTTATTTATATATCACCATTATTATATATTTATAAATTAGGCCTATATGAAATTCTAGAAATTTCACTGGCTCTTAAAATAAATGTTTTAAAAAATAAAAGAATGACCATAAATTAGGATGAACTGTCTGCTACTTAAATCTCAGCTTCCCACAAACAAAATACTTACATTCAAGAATCTCTGGAGGAACGAGAAAATATTTGCCTAGTGGACAATTAACACCATCAGATTGTACAGCATCCCCAACATACTGTGATTTGAATATTGCCAAATGCTGATTCAAATAGGCTTCACTGTTATAGAGGCTATAAAAAAAACACATTAACCTTTTAATGTATGGTAAAAAAAGATTTAAACATAAATAGTAAACAATAGACCTATCTTAATTGTGTAAATATTTTTTGTAATGCTTAAATTACTAGCAAACACTTATTCCATAGATTTGATTTTGTGGTGATATTTAAATGTATATTATGCTATTATATCATGATGAGAGCAAAACATTACTAGTAAGCCTGTTCATTTAAGAACAACCTGTTTAAATGAAATATTTTTCTACATATGAATATAAATCTTTGTAAATGTTCCTTATTTTAATAAATGAAATCTGGCAATAAAATTATAATTTTGTTTGCTAGTTTTGTAACCATCACATACTAGTTAGTATCTTCATGATTCCAATCATCACTGAATAGAAACTGTGCAAAGTCAACATCTGCAAACTTCCCTCCATTCTGTTCTGATAGAAATAATAAAGACCAAAATAGTGAAGATATTAAATAAATAAAAATAATCTGTACCAGTCTAAGTAAATGAAGAGGAGTATGTATATTATTTGAATTTAAGTACTTTATTATAGCTGGAAAATAAATGAAGCAGTAAAGCTATAAACTAATTAATCCTAACTAACTAATTAACCTTTAAGTAAATTCATTTTATTCAACCTGCCTATTCTGTTCAAACATAAAAATGTAACATCTCCCCCCCCCCCCCCCAAATTAACAGAAATAGTTATATTAATTAAATCTAGATTTTAGCAACTATATTATAATAAATTACTATATATGATTGTTACTATAGGCCTATAACTAAAGAAAGTATAAGCATTGTTTTTTATTAAAAAGGCATAATTGTTCTAACTAAAGCGTAACATTATTTAATAATAATATTTATTATTTAGACTAGAATCTAGACTTTAGAATACTAGAATAGATCTAGATCTAGTAGTAGATCTAGCAGTGAAGTAGTACTACTACTGTAGTGTAGTCAGTAGGCCTAGGCTACACCACTACTAACTACTTTCACTTTATTTAATATTTTATATTATATATTTATTATATAGTATATTGATCTACTCGCTACTTAAACTTATATTATTCATTTATTATTTAAGTTTAAGACTAAAGTAAAAGTTAAAAAGTTAAGTATTAAATTTAATAAGAAGTAGGCCTAATAAATAAGTAGATCTACGTTTTTTTGTTTACCCCAAACGACTGATGCATTGGATACGCAGCTTTTGGAGAACCAAGCTGTCTTATCTTTAAACATTATTATAAACTAAACGTCTAGACTAAAGTAAAAAAAAAAACTAAGTGACGTAGGACAATAAAATACATGCGTTTAACTAAATCTAATCTAACAACTAAAGTTTATTTATTAATTATTAGTAAAATATTAGGCCTAAACTAAATTATTTTCTATCCAGCACACAGAATAAAATAATTTATTTGTGTAAGTCTCATTTCTACTTTTTGATTGCTTAAAAAGCTAAAAAATGTAACCGAAAGATTACATTGAGTATCCAGTTTTGTTTTTAGAATATCCAAACAAAAATAAAATGACGTAGCTTTCGTAGTGTAGGCTGTCTAAAGAAGATTTAATTAATAATTGATCTAGTCTAAAAGTGTAATAGATCTATATATACTAGATCTAGCAGTTTTCGCTTCTGTGGAAAGAAATGGTAGTTTTACACTACACCTTTATTTTAATATTTTATCTTATATCAGAAGAGCCTAGATCTAGCTAGTATAAAAAATATAAGTTTAGTTATTATTTTAGTAGATCTAGATCTAGTAGTAGTTACTAGATCTAGTAGTTAGACTACCTAACTTTACTAGCTAGTCTGGGTAAAACTCCATTTTAGCGTATTTTATTCACCGCTTCATGTTCACCTCCAGTTTAGCGTATTTTATTATAAACACAACCGAAACACACAAAAACGTTAGGACAGCACTATAACTCCTTTTTTTTTTAATTTAATTTTTTTATGAATGTGATTTTTAATTAGAAAAGGAAAAAAAAACATTGTAAAAAGCACTAGAACTGCTCCAATTAAATATCGTGTGATTGTCAGCGGGAGAAAATCCTTACACGGTCGCGGGTTCACAGTGAGTTCACATTGACTTTAATTATCAGCATACGTCATAACTCGGGCAATAGCTGTTTGAAATTGTGTGGGCCTCAGTTTTGGGGTCATTGTAAGTTCATAAATGTTTATTTATAGTATCATGCCTGGGAGATACTTGTAACAATACAAACTTAACCGCCTTGCAATTGTGAGTTACGCTTATGTACTTCACCCATTGCCATGAAAATTCTAACATACACACACGAACATAACACATTCAATATTCTAAATTTGGATTTTTCTCATGTTTTGACAAAAGTAAATTATCAAAATCTAAAACAAAGTCAGACTCTTTGTTCTTTTTTATTCAATTTTATTCATTTGTTAAAACAAAAATACAATACAAATAAATAAATCGTGTTTTCCTAATGTTTTGGTGTGTTTCGGTTATCATAATAAGATACGATCAACTGGAGATAAACAAGAAGCGGAGAATAAAATACGCTAAAATGGAGTTTTACCGCTAGTCTGTAGCTAGTAAGCTACTCTAAATACTAGTATAGTAGCTACAGACTAGTCTACAGACAAAAAAAAAACTAGTACCAAGTAGTAGATCTACAATTACTCTTTATATTAATTATCTGCTACTACAAGTAGTACTACACTTAACTTAACACCATATATATAACTATTACCATTAAAACTAATAAACTATTATTAATTAATATTATTAGGTCTATAATCGAATTAAACTGGTATAAAGTAATTAGTAATTAGTAAGAGAAGTGAAATTGTGAGGCGAAAAGGCTAGGACAATGTAAAAACATTTGGTAGCATGACATATTTATTTATTTATTATTTATAAATTTTAAATATATTATTTATTATTGTCTAGCATTTCACTCCCACCTGATTGGTATGCTAGTGGGGGATAATATGCAAAGATGTTTGCTATAATTTTGCCAGCATCAAATTTACTTTGATGCAGACTTTAAGTAATTTCAATTACATTTTTATTTTGCTTTAAATTGCAGCTTTACTGCCTACATATTTTAAGTCTCCTGAATGATGGATCTTATGTGCTAATTATTATAACACCAAAATTATGTGCCAATGATTGATCAATTTTTTTTTCTACTGTAACGACTTTGAATACCGCCTTGTTCAAAGCTGATAATTTAAATTATAATTTAATGGAAAAACATGAGCTTATTTGTTATCTGTTACACTTGGTTTGGTTGCCTTTATACTTTATTTTAAAATTGTTGGAAAAATTCTTAAGTCAGATTAAACACTAATTTCTATTGATTTACTTTTCTTCATAATATAATCTCATGAAGCATATAATAACTACCAAACTGATTTGTTTATCTTTCAGGACTTTGACTCAGAAAATCTATCATACTATTTATTGGTGCTGCCATCAACTCTTATTGTATTTGTTATTACTGTTTTTCTTAATTGGTTGGGTTTGAAATTTTTCACCCACAACTGAAATGAGTCTAATTGAAAAGGTATATAATTAGAATATCTAGAGTTAAAATAATCATTAAATAGATTTTAGATTTAAATTAAATTACATTTTTTTCTATATTTTGGTATCTTGTAGCTAAATGATGTTATTTATCTCAATGGAAATTAAAGTACTCTTTCCTTTCTAGTGAAAGGAGTTAGACAATTATAATTATGCTAAGGTTAATATACAAAGTATCTTTTACATCAGGAGTGCAATTATTTTCTACTTTAATAGAATATTAGAATACAATATTGAATAATCTTTTTAAGCCATCACTTTTACCTTTGCCTGTTGTACAACGAAGGCTAAATGTTGAGTCACTTGTGACAAATCCTGTGATATGGACAACAATTTTAATTGTAGAGTAAGTTAGAACACATTTTTCTGTTTCAAATCTTTGAAAAAGTAGTTCTGTGTTCTTATTGTGCCTTGAGTTACAAGTAATAGAGTCAAATTATATTGGAAACAATAACACGTACTGTACACCATGTACAATAACATAAAATTATTTCTTCTTTCAGGGTTTTTATATACAGTTCCTATGGTATATTTATAAATTTAAGTCGCATTGATGGTCATGTCAGTTACGACTCATCTTCAATGGTTTTAATAATGGAAACAATAAAAGTAAGAAATATAAATAATATTTTATAAACATGTTAACCATTTTTCTTGATGTCGATTTTTTTTTCAACCTTTATTGTAATATTACTGTTGTTAAATCAATTTATATACAATTAATTTTCTTAGAAGGCTACTAAAAAGTGTGGGGAAAATTTGAAAAATATTCTTGCTTATATAATTTATTTCCATTAAAATTTTTCAAAATGTAGTTTTTGCTGGCGTTACTGATGGCTTGGCCAGAACTATCTATTGGATATTTGTCATCTATACGACTGAAACAGATCTTACCCTTCTCTCTGCCAGCTGTTTGCTATTGCATCAACAACAATTTGTCTGTTTTTATGCAGGACCAGATGGACCCTGCTACATTCCAGGTTAGTTAGAAATGGAAAGTATAAGAAGAAAAAAAAAAACACCATTATGTTAAAACATAGTAACCGTTTTATTTTTGTATTAGCCATTAATATTTTTGTGTGTTTTGTGTTCATTGTTATTTTCTATAAAACTGGTACATTATTTATTTTATTGAAATGTTTAAGAACAATTTTAATATTTGGATAACATTTACTTTGTGAGGTGATAAATCATCTTTTATGTTTGCGTTGGTTTTTTGCATATTTCCTGTTTAATTTTGGGTTTTTAATGCTTTACTTCTTTTTGATTACTATATGCTATTTTGTTGTCTTTCATTTCAATATGTACTGGACCCATTTCCGCACCACCATTTTGTGATAGATTTTGTTAAATAATTTATAATAACCATTAAATTCATAACAGTTTTATGTGATGCACGTGTGTAAGGAGAGTGCTAACTTCTCTAACACATTTTTAGTTTATTTTGCATCTATGGTGAAAAAGCAAAAAAACAAAAGCTTAAAAAATTTCAGTTAAGCTTATTAAAAAAAAGATTTTTTTTATCAATCTGCCTTTTAAAAGACCTATCCTTCACTAATGCTTTCAAATTAAATAATTTTAATTTTTGTTTTGTTTTCTTTAAAAATTAAAAGTATGTTTTCTAATTTTGAATTTATGATAGTTAAACTTAACAGATCTCTTATTGATATAGAACTGCTTTACTAAACATGTCTTTTAACACAAATAATGTTTTTGTTTGTGTATGACATCCTTTGTTGAGCATCTCAAGCTGTGCACACACAACAAAGGACTAATACATTGCTATGCTTTATTCAATGATCCTGCATTTCCTTGCTCATTTCAAAATATTGTTTTGCTTCTCATGTAACTGTAAACAAAACTATTGCAAAAATAATGTAAAAATGGTATTTATCCTCTAAGCATCTGAATACAATTTTTAATTAAGACAAAAAATAATAAAAACATTCTTGCAGGTATTTTAAAATAATATTTTTAAAATTACATTTCTCTTACTTTAATGAATCTGTAGGTTTTATGCAATCTGAAAATAGCATCTACTGCCCTTTTGTACAGAATAATAATGAGGAGGTACTCTACATTCTATCCATTATTAAGTATTGCAATTATCTAAAGAGCTTGTACCAGTACAAAATATGAGTATTAATTGAATTCAAAGTGTTACTTTAGTTCTTTATGTATATATTTTGGCTGCTGCTCTTAAAGCACAAGTAATAAGTTTTGGTGCACCTAAATGTTGTGGTTTGAATTGATTGTGCCAGTAATAAAAAATTATTATTGTGCATCAACTCAGTACACAGCTCACATATTTACATTTATTTAGCATTTTTTTCTTTCTTTAATAATAAAGTAATAAAAACTACATTACAGTTTTATTATCTACCATTAATTTTTTTGTTGATAAATAAGTACAAATGTCATTTGTAATCTCTTGATGACTTTGCTGTAGCGTTTTTGTTTTTCTTCAGGAAACTTCGCTTATTACAGTGGGCATCACTAGGCCTTCTCACTTTTGCTGGTGGTCTTAATAGGTAACTTTTTTTGTTAATAATTCAAAACTATAAGTAAGCTAACTTAAAGTAATAAACTACTCATGTATTTTATTCCACTTTGTGTTTTATTTTGCTGTTGTTATCATATTGTTAAACCTTTTTTTGTTACTTTTCAAAGCACTTTTGACGTCTACAATATTTTATCCCTTCTCTTAAGAAAATGTGCTTGGCAATGTATTAAAATTATTCTCTTCATTTTATTTTGACAAATTAGCAACATTTTGTATAATCTTGTAAAATTGATGTTATTGTTTCCATATTGAGGTCAATAATTATATTTTCACGCATATTCTCTTTCACAGTTACAGTGGTCTAACTGAAAAGTCTTTGTCCCTGCAAGAAATACATATCACTCTCAAGGGTGTAATAATGGCACTTCTTTACTGTGCTATTTCAGGCTTTGCTGGTGTATATACGGAATACATTCTCAAAAAAGATAGCAAGGTAGATTAATAATTTTCATTATTTTCTGACCCTTTCACTTTTTGCTTTTTCTACTTTGTAGAATTTTAATTAGCGATCCTAATATATAAAAGCCCATGTGCGCACTTCTCTCTCTCTCTCTGTCCACAAAATATTTTCCGAGGCTATGAGATCAGTATCTTGACGATATATAGAAAATATAATGATACAGGCTTTTGTTGAAAATAATATGTTGGATGTATTAAATATATAAATTAAATTTTATTTAAAGAAGGCATATTAGAATGTAGAAACACATTTTTAATTATGCAAAGGGTTTTAAAGTGTTTATGGTTGTGGCAAGAATGCTCTAGAGAGGATAAAAGTAACACAAAAAACAATAACATCACATGTCACATGTTTAAACTACATAAAGTACACTACACTAATGGTGTCGCTGATTTTAGGATGAAAATAGAATTAAATATAAAATGTTGAATATGATACACAATAATAATGATGTCATCGTCAATAAGATTCACTTCCATCATCTTCCAATTTTAGAATATGAAATGAACTATTTCATTCAAATTTGATTTAAATCTATAGATCTACTTATCAAGAAGTAGAATATACAATATTCGCGGACAAAAATAATAAAAAATAAATTAGTTTGAAAAACTAGAAATACTATTGAAAAGCCAGGTTTGGGAATCGTTTAAGTAACTTAATCATTGTGGGTATTTTATATGGTGTTTATATGACTAATAATTTATATATTTCGTTTAAATTTTTAATTGGTATTGGTAGCCTAAGTTATATCAAATTTTTTTGCTTCTTAACTAACATCATTCAATGTGTAGTAAATCATCATATTGTGTTTTGACCAATAATTATTTTATAAAATATTTTTCTCAAACAAGTATAACATTTAAAAAAAATATAGGCCTATAATTCATGTGTACTGACCACACTGTATGCTTAAGTCATAGAAACAGATGAACTTCTTCTGCTCCATGTGTCTTGGGCGAGAATCTAGAATAGATTATATATGCCGTCTTAAAAATTACTCACTGTTTGTTTCTTGCCGTCTTAAAAATTACTCACTGTTTGTTTCTTATTTTTCTAGGCATCCCTTCCTCTACAGAATTGCTATTTATACAGTTTTGGGATACTATTTAACTTTTGCATGTGGTATATACAAGGTGGTAAGTTTATTCGTGGTGTGTCCTTTTGTTTCATTAGATAATCATGTTGAACATTATATGTGCTAAAACTTTCCAAATGCTACCTAATTAATACTAATATATATTCTAAAAACGTTCTTTTTTTTTTACAAATATAAATCATTAATGGCTGGTATTCAGTCACAAATTGAAATTGTACGCTGGAAAACTATATTTGGAAGAAAGTGTTACCTTTACCTTTAAGAACTTTAGGTACGTGTGGGAACTCTATCCAACAAAAGCAATTACAGCAAAGTTCAGTTTAATTCTTTTTATCCTACTAATATGCTCTGTGTTTCAACAAACTAGAATATGTCAACGCTTATATTGACTGGTTTTATTTCTCAACCCCCCACATCCCTATAAAAAAAAGTGGAAGTTAAACTATAGGACCATGAAGAAAAAAGTGGAAGTTAAACTATAGGACCATGAAGATATTAGTGAAATATGTTAAAAATTAATTAATCAGTGTTCTGTGTTCAGTTACATTTACAGTAGTGCTAGCAGCCAATTCTTAGAAATAACACAGTATCACAATTTAGTGAAATCTTTTTAAACTGACATAGCAGTGATAAAAAAAATAATAAATCCCTATTTTCAGAGGAGCAGTCAAATTTCTTTCATGGCTATACAAAATACACCTGGCTGGTTATAGTATCTCAGGTATGTTTCTGTGTCAGTTTTCAAATTTTGACATTTGTAGGCCTTCATATAATTAAAACATATAAAATGGAATTTATTTATCATGAAAATGCGTAACCTTGAAAAATCAGATAAAACAAAATAATGTAGTCCAAACTAAAAAAAAATTATCATTTAAAAAGTGATTCAGTTAAAACATAAGTTTTTTGTTCACTGAGTTTAGTTTATAACAGTTATGACTACATATATTTTTTAAACTTTCTATCAACCATTTTTAATATTGTTATTTACAGGCTGTAAATGGACTTGTGATGTCATTAATTATGAAACACAGCAGCAACATTGTCCGTCTGTTTGTTATAACATCAGCCATTCCTGTAGCCACTGTGCTTTCCATATTAGTTTTCCAGCTGCAGCCAGGGTTTGAATTTTTTATTGTGGTTGTCATTGTGATTCTGGCTATTTATTTGTACAACTACACTCCATCTCAGATTAAACATTGATTAAAGTAATCACTTTAATGTTCAAGACTTTTTTTGTAATATATATACCAATATATCATTTCCTATTTATTGTTTATATATTTTCTATAAAAGCAGTGATTTTAATTTATTTTATATTTTGTTGTAAAGTAAAAATCCATAGTTTTGTTTTTAGAAAAAAAGTGAGTACATTGAGAGAACAAATCTTTGTTGGGATAGTCACAATTACATAATTACTGTACATAACTTTAAAAATTAAACATTGTATCTAAAAATTCAGTACATCTAATAATAAGTCTTGATTCCATTTACTGCTTTATTATGTAAATCAGAACAAAAATTTGACTTAATTTCTGAAGCATGAAGTACCAGATATCACAAGAATAAAATGTTTTTAGTTTTGAGAGATAAAGATGCCACAAGTTTTTACTAGATCATCATCTTGCATAGTTCCCAGCCTGCTTCACTTTTTTCTTAATGTTTTGTATCGAAGGAATCATACCAGACCAATTGTAGACTAACTTCACTGTTGCCTCCAGATTTGTTCTCCCCATACAGTTTTTTTTCTTGTTTTGGGGCCATAGTCTACACCGCATCTTTTTCTAGAACTATTAGCTGCAGTCTTGTAGGATATGTTGTGTTTTCTGGGGCACAGAGGCTAGTTTAGCAGGGACCAACTTTTAATTGTCTAAATATGTTGCTACACCCAGGGACCAACTTTTAATCTTCTAAACCATGGGTCGCGACCACCTGGGGGGGTCACAAAGGGCTTTCTGGGGGGGGGGGGGGGCATGGGGGGGGTCGCCAACTGGTAGACTATCAATGAAAAAAAAACAAATTTTTTTTAAGAATATCTGAAATTCGGCTTTACTAACATCACCGGAAATGAAATATAGAAGAAACAATGCGCACTGTACAAAGTTGTTCTCAGTCATGAGTCTATGAAACTTCAAAACTAAAACCTCATTTTGAAATGAGTCATTTAGAACACTCCAAAAAGAGACTAGACTGAATAGGAAGTTCTCACCAAGGAAACGCATCATTAGTGCAAAGCATCATATGAAGTCACATTAGAAATTGCCAAACAAAAAAAAAATCTCATCAAACCTTGCATTAAAGATACAATAAATATCTGTCTATTAATACTATATTCAGCGGCGTATAGCAGACATTTAATAAGTGTTCAAATTTTGAATGAAATCAAGCTTTCACCATTGTTTGCTTTTCAAGGTGATGAATCAACAGACGTGAATTCTTGTTCGCAGTTGCTTGTCTTTTGTGAAATTTATTCAGATGATATTGATGGAGTTGCTATTTTGTGAAGATATGAAGGAAACATTTTTTTGAACTGGATGCTTTAAATGGGAAAACAGCTGTGGGGTTTGTATGGATGGTATGCCATCTATGTTTGGGCTTTCAGAAAAAAAGTAAAAGATTTAGCTCTTTACAAGGGGAATACATTGCATGATTCTAAGGTATGCCATCGTCAGCAAAAGTCTTCCGGCTTCATTGTTAATAAAAGTCGAAAATTATATTAAATCTGGAGCCCTAAACACCTGTCCATTTAAAGAATTGTGCATGGACATGAATAAAGATCACTAGGTTCTGGATTTCTACACTACAGTACGCTAGCTGTCAAAAGGAAATGTGAATCATGTTTTTGAAATGATAGATGATAAAGTTGTTCTTAGATGTGCAAGGGAAACCAGACCTTTTGAGATAGTTCCACAACAAAGAGTGGTTGGAGAGAGTATAATTATAATACCTAGCATATATATTTGAATCAGGGAGATAGGCTTAACCTGTAGCTTCGTAGAAAATGAACGAATATTATCTCTTTTACTTTTCATGTTAATCTCGGGGCATTTTTATCAAAGCTGCAAAATTGGCAAAGAAAATTAAATCTTGGAAATATTGCCATGTTTAAGAAACTGCGTGGTAGATAAGGCTGATTGTGAGAAAAATAAAGAGGATTCTGGGCATCTTGAATTTCTTGAAAATGAACTGTAACGTTCTTTCCCTGAGCTGAAAGCAGAAGAATCTGCATCGACACGTTAACTATTTTCTGCTTCCCTTGATATTGCCAGCATTCCCGATGAATTGCAAGACCCATTCTAAAAAATGCGGAAAGATTTCACGCAAAGTGTTAAATGGTGTAGTATGCACCATTCATACCCAAACATGAAATTGATTGCCTTTCAAGTTTTAGTTCCTTTTGTCTGCATATCTTTGCGATAGATTTGCACTTTTCCAATTAAAAACAAAAATAAATAAGGTTTAGAATGACATGAGGTAAGTGCTAACAAAAACAAACCGCAAATGGTAAAGCTTATTGCATGTAATTTCACTCATACTACAACAGTTATCAAGAATAATTCATATGGTCTACTAGAAATCCTTGTTTTAGTTCTTATTAATTTCCTTTGACTTTTTTTATTCTATGGGGGTCGCTGGTCACTTACTTTTTATAGAAGGGGGTCGCCACTTGAAAAAGTTTGGGAACTATGTTGTATCATCCTGTGGTGGCCCTGCTTTCCTAATGTGAAGATTTCAATTATTTCTAGAAATGAAGAATGAATCTAAGCACACACAAAAAAACAGTAGAATGACTAAAATAATGCAAGCATCTGTGTTCAAAGCATGTGGACACTGATGTATGGGTCAGAGTTGTTGCCTCTTAAAATTTGCTGCCAATTTAAAAAGGTCAATTAAAAAATGTTAAGTTCCTAACAACTCCCACTTACCATGGCATTGAACTGCTGGAAAATGAGAGCAACAAATAGCCACTGGAAGAGGGAAATCAGTTCCATCAGAGCAAAAGAAAAAAGTAGAACAGTAAAAGCATAGATAAGTGGAAAGTCATAGAAAGAGTAAAATAAAATTTGGTTATATGTCTCGAAAGACTAAATCATCTGGAAAAGTGGGTGGTCCTAAAAAGGACCTGGTTTAGGTGAAACAAAAAGAAAAAGCTTTATGCTTTCTTTGCTGCTGGTGCCTTCTTTGCTGCCTTGGGCTTTTTGGCAGCTGCAGGCTTCTTAGCAACTTTAGGTTTAGCTGCAGCGGGCTTTGCTGGGCTCTTTGGCTTTTTAGGCTTGGCAGCAGCAGCCTTCTTGGGAGTCTTAGGCTTCTTTGGTGCAGCTGGTTTCTTAGCCTTCTTGGGTGATTTGGTTGCGGCTTTCTTGGCAGCAGCAGGCTTCTTGGGCTTGGCAACCTTCTTGGCTGGAGATTTGGGTTTCTTGGCTGCTACTTTCTTTTCCTTTGGCTTCTTTTCAACAGCTTTCTTCTCTCCAAGACGGAATGAGCCTGCAGCACCGGTGCCTTTGGATTGTTTAAGACCACCGGCTTTAACTCCAGCCTTGAGTGCGGCCTTGAGACGAGCGTTGACTGCAGTTGGGTTGTTTCCTACTTTGTAGTTGGCAATGATGTATTTAAGGATGGCCTGACGAGATGAGCCACCGCGTTCTTTCAGAGCAGTGATGGCAGCAGCAACCATGATCTTGTATTGTGGATGAGCAGATGGTGCTTTTGGCTTGGCAGCTGCGGCTTTCTTCTTGGGTGTCTTGGCTGGGGTGGCAGCGGGAGCTGGAGCGGCAACAGCGGCGTCAGACATGATTTAGAGTTGATAAAATGAGCGAGCAGTGAAAAAACAGCGGAGGAGCGTATCGTACGAGCGAGAGAATTCAAGTGAATGCACTGAGCTAGCGGCGGCCTGGTTTATATAGCGCCGCGCGGACATATCGGACAGCACCTACGTCACAGGCTCGCTCGGTTAACTTCTCGGTCCGTATGCTCCGCTGAAAATGGCCGTTTTGTGCTATATGACATAATTTGAAATTAAAAAACTTTTGAACAGAGCTGAGACAAAATATCGCTTTTGTATCAAAATAAACGGCCTTTCATCAGCTTTCTTTTGATATATAATATTAAAGAAGTTATTCTAGAAAACATTTTAAAAACACGTGTTTAGACGCTGATCGTTCGATTGAGATGTAGCAATGACATGCTAGAAAATTCAAAATAAATGCTTTAAACTAAATAAATAGTTGATATTCACACTTCAACATATCTAAAACTTCATTTTATATAAGTACAGCAGTCTTTTTTAATTTCTGAAGCCGTTTTTCATGCTTTAAAAAATATTTTTATCAATCTACATAGCACATTTGATACAACTAGAACCGTCAATAACCATCTTTGATTTCAAGAACTATAATTGACAAACACTTATTAGATAGATCTTTTTAGTTGTAAACAATCTTTTATTTTCACAGAATATAACAAACTAAAATTTCTAATGTTTTTTGGAGGAATCAGTTTTATATCTTAGTAAAATAACTTGTAAACATGATTTGTGAAATCGCCATTTTCGACTCGAAAACCTGTGACCTCCGTTTGGTGATAGCAAATTATTTTTCTTTTTCCTTCAATATTACTTTAATTTTTTTCTCTATAAAACATTTAAAACATGCGCAATGCAATTTAAAATATATTTTAAGCATTCATGTGAGTGTATTTCGATAAATTATTTAGTTTTCAAAGCAAAATTTCAAGCCCATATATTTGACTAACGTTGGAAGAATGCCGCCATTTTTAAGATTCATTCTAGATCTAGATCTATACTATAACAATAAAATGGTCTCTACATCGCAAATGCAATTTTTTGATTGTTTTACGGCATTTAATTAAAATGGTAAACTAAAGTATAAGATTTATCATGAGGGATGGAAAATAAGTTTGTTATTAAATACAATTATTGTTTAAACACACTAAAATAACGACAGCGTAACTATGACTAGATATAGATATCAACATTGTCTAAGTCGGTGTTATCGCAGATCTGCTTTTTACGTCTCATCAGCATTAGTCTAACCAGTTATTTAATATGCCCAAGTATTAAATAATCTAAATCTACCATTATACCGAAACTGCAATTAAATTAAATACGCGTGTAAGCTTAGTAATCGTACAGCAATCTATTAAATATAAATACATTGATTCACGTACAGAGTTTCTATCAGTCATCTCTTCGGAACGGGGATGCCCCCGAATTAGCCCGAACGAAATAGAAAAAAAATATTATATAGAAAATATTTATTGTATAGGCCCTACTTTAACCAGTGTCCGCCCTCCACCCCGCGGAAATTTAAGTGCCCCCCCCCCCCCCCTGGACACCAGAGGCATATCCAGGTTATCGGTGTAGACGTAACGAAAAGAGCAAAAGAGGCGCCGAATTTTTAACACATTATATAACCTATATATATATATATATATATATATATATATATATATATATATATATATATATATATATATATATATATATATATATATATATATATATAGTCCCATATATGCCTATATGGAGCGCAGTTTATTTTGGCAATTAAATGCTTTACTGACACGTAATGGATCCTGTGTTACAAGTGTCAAACAAAACAAATATGGATCTGTAGGCTATTTAGTACCTTCAAAAACTTCTACCTCTGGTTGTGTTGTTGTCGAAGTCGAATGCTTGCAGCTTGGAAAATGTCTCAAGTTCGGCATTATTTGGATTATGTTAGTTGGCGATCCACATCAGTAGCGTAGCGAGGGGGGCTTGGGGGGGGGGGGACATATGTCCCCGGGCGCCGAGCTTAGGGGGCGCCAAAATGGGTTGGAAAAATAAAATAAATTGAAAGGTTGAGGGGGGGGGTGCAAATCAAAATCTCGAGGGGGGTGCAAATCGAAAGTTTGAGGGGGGGGTGCAAATCAAAATCTCGAGGGGGGGGGGTGCAAATCGAAAAGTTTGTCCCCGGGCGCCGGGAAGGATCGCTACGCCTCTGATCCACATGGCAAGAGAAAGAAAAACAAGGGCGGCCAAAAAACATGGAGAAGATCAATAGAGAAAGATTTGAAGGAAAGAGGCCTGACATTCCAACAAACAGAGGTTATAGACGGCATGAGATAGCACTCCTTAATTGATGCCTCGTGCACCAATGCTCGCCGAGAGATAATGACAAATTACTAACTAGTTGAAACCAATCCAAAATACAACATTGGGGGGGGGGGCAACTATTAAAATAATAATATAGACTAAACTTTTTGTATTAGTGGCGAGGGTTATTCGCACAAGACTCGTCGCTATGTCGCCCAACCGGTCATAACACTACGTCTTCGTGATTATGCATTTTGACCTCTAAAATATTGCGCGGTGCTGCTCAGTTCATTCATAATTACGTTTAAAATAGAGGTGTCACATCCTTCTCGTTTGTTTCTGTATTGTACTTTAAAATTAAAATAAAAACATTCAAATAAGATTTAAGGAAATAGACAATAACACCCCTAGTGGTAACCGTGTTTCTTCCAGATTTTTTTCTACGGAAAGGGGGGGGGGGGGGAATTCGATATGTTTTATAACCCCCCCCCCCCCGCGAAGAGATGCTTGGAAGAAACTGGTGGTAACTCACTACCCGTCGACATTTTTAAATCCTCGTAAATTTAATGTTTACTTTTAGAATGACCAACAGCTCTATAGGCCTACGTGTTGTAAAATTAAAGACATTTTTAGAAACGATTCCACGATTTAGCTCTATTCTAGTATTATTAAATATACTGTATGAAAAAATATCTCGTCAGGGTGGGATTTATACCTATTTGCCGACCATTGAATACATTTATGATAAGTATGATTGTTTAAAATTTTTAGCATTTTAGTTAAATAAGTGTCCGAAAAAAAAGGCGCCATCTTGCAGAAAATGACCACAGGTGGAGAAGAATGTCTGGAAGAAGCACAGGTGACAAACTGCAGGTACGATAGGCTGCGCACAATAAAGTATGCATATCACTGCGAGTAAACTAAAAAAAAACTGTATACCATGGTATGTCTCAGGTTCTGCTCCTAAACACATTAAACCTCAGAGTATGACGATCATTAACATTATCAGTGATATTGCGTTACAACACAACCCAAAAAAAAAAACAAAAAAAAAACAACAAAACAAAACAACACACAATGCAACACAAATGCTGATGTCATTCTTGTAACATCAATAAAAATTTCTTAAAATGTAATAGATGTATTTAAATGAATTATTATAAGGGGAGCAAATAACATAAAGGTAGAATTTATATTATTTTTTTTCAAAAGAAATACAATTCATATAAAGGGGAGAGCAAGGTCAAATGATAGAGCTTACGACTTCTAGCCCGAGTTAAGGTCCTGAATTCGAATCCCGGTCTTATTAGAGTCCATAGGACGTCCCTGAGTCCACCCAACGTTGATGGGTAGGTCTACCTGACTTACATTAGGGAAACTAAGGCAGCCGTGCAGTGTTTCTTCCAGACTTTTTTCTCCGGGGGAGGGGGGGGGGGACTTGAAATTTTCGGGGGGGGGGGGGGGGGAAGGGGCGGACACTTTTAAAAGCATATATTTTCTATATAAATTTCATATCGTTCGGGGGGGGGGGGTAGACTTTCTTCGCCCCCCCCCCGTAGAGATGCCTGGAAGAAACTGTGCAGCCGTGGCCAAGCATAATGCTAACCACACTTTCCCCGGTATGCCGAGTTTATTGAAACAGATTAACTCTACTTCATCTGCTCAATGTGTCTTGGGCACTAACGGGGAAACGATGATGATGAATTAAAATAAAATTGTATTAACAATCATAAGGGTGCAGGTATATTGTATGATAAATACACGTCGCACATTTATATTAGGCGCCGCTCCCCCTACCACGAAAACGTGCTTACGCTATGGGGGATGGGGGTTGATATATGTTCATAATAGCTTCTTTAGTAAAATTATGCACTTTGAGTCACTTGGATGGTTTTTGATAATATTATTAATAATCTTTGCATTTTATTTTGGGTAACAATAGAATTAAAGCCAAAAACAATTTGGCTAGATTTAAATTATAAAATTATAACTCTAGGCTTGACTTAAGGAAATAATAAATTTATTAAATATTAGGCTATCTGATTTAGTATAAAATTAGCAGTAAGACATACTAAATAAATGTAAAAAATCACATGTGTGTATTTTTGTTTTCAAGTAGAAAAATTTCGACAGTAGGCCTAATGGTTATTTTAAAATTAAAAAAAAAGTGTTAAAATTGCTTTTTTTGTGTTCCGACTGTAAGGCGTAAGAATTTTTCGAACTCTCCATTAAATAAAGTGTGAAAATTGCTGAACGTAAACAGAAAGTGCTTCTTGACTGTTTTCAATGGTGTACCCGAGTGTACCGCCAATAACTTTTAGATCTAGATCTAGAGTCTAGAAGTAGACTCGGTCTTTATAGATTACTCCAACAAAAAAAAATATCCTTGATCTTGATCGCTATGTCTCAAACTATTCAAACTTGATTTACCCTCTTATGGAATACAGCAAAATAAATATATTGAATTGCACGTAAAACTGTTCCGAGTTTATTTATTTAGTAAATGTTTATTGTTTAGGCCAGGCCTTAGGGGCCTTAGGCCTACATTTTATTTTTAATGATTTTTGGCTTTTGGTAATCTATCGTTTCAGGTACGTAAAATCGTCCGTGACTAGTAATGTGAAAAACAGGTGACTCCTTAAATTTTAATAATTTTTTCACATTTTGAGGAGGATTTATGTTTTGAAAAACTAAGTGACTACGCGTCTCGCAAAGCGTGGCCCCTAAAGAATAGACTACGTGTCTTGCAGGTTTGATTTGCCATCTGGTAATTGAAAATGCTTATTTTTTACTTCATCACATCCGCTGTGGTTGAGTCAACTGTGTGCCAGCTGTAGTCTGAAGTTCATAGACCCGGAGTTCAGAGTTCGAACCCGGGGTTAGCTAGTTCTTTTTTTTTTTTTTTACATTTTTTAGCGCAATTTCCATTCTGGAGAGTTGCGTTTATTAACTCGTCTTTTCTGGGAATGGATGGATGGATGGATGTGTGTCCGCAGCTTTAAGTCGTATCTCCTCCTCAACGAAGCAATATCGAGGACTAGTTCCAAAAGCAAATATGTTAAGCAAGTTACCAGGATGAACATAGGCCAAAAAAATTCTGGGTTTCTTTCATGGATTTCCCGGAAAAGCAAAAAAAACTCGAACAAATGCAGTTTTTGCTCCATATCTCAGCAACCAGACCACTAAGAGACTTGAAACTTGTACCAATCGATTCCTGCCATAATTTAAAGCAATATTGCCGAAGAAAGTTTTCAAAAATATCCTTTCGTTCGGTCACAAAATTTTTTTTAATATATTTAAAACTGAGCGTCTTGTAGGCCTAGTTTTAATTTAAACTGAGCGTCTTGTAGGCCTAGTTTTAATTTAAACTCAGCATCGTGTCGGTTTTTAGCGCAAAGCACTGAGGTTCGAAAGGATTTTTTTTTATTACTTATTTACTTATTAATTCAAACGTTATTTTTGTACCCTATTAATTTATTTATAATTTATATGAGAGTGACAGGGAGTTACAATTACAAGGTTTTGTTTCGCGAGGCCTAATAATTTTTTCACATTTTTTTATCCAACCACACCACACGCGTCATCACGTTCAATAGCTGCGCCATCACGTTCAATGGCTGCGTCATCACGTTCAGTAGCTAGGCGCGCAATGGTTTTTAGTCATGTAACTCTATTGTAAATAAAACATGTAAAATACTGAAAAAAAAAATTAATAAAAAACGTTTTAATAACTAACCAATGGTTTTACTAACCCTGCTCTTGATTTACGCTACGACAGAGCTATTTTTAGATAACATAAGGAAATTGCGCTTAAATGTCACTAGACTTTTTAATTAACTTGTTTTTCATATTGAAAATATGACGTAGACTATGATTCTTTTTTTTTAATAAAATTTCAAACCATCATCACTGGCGTGATTGCTTGCCTTACGTTTACTATCCCGTGAGTGGAAAATCCCACCACGGCCCACGGTCGCGAGGTCACTGAATTCAGCAGGCCTAAAGCATACGTCATAGACGTTCACACGAGATCATCTGTCTTCACTTCTCTCTTCCTCCCACCCCCCCTCTCCCCTCAAGGAAATTGAAATTCTTTTTTAAAGTTCACATAGGATAAATAATATAGACTTAGATCTACTATCAAGCATGCTAGATAGCTAGGTTTAAAGGTTATAGGACAGTTTGATTTAACTAGGCTGCTGCTAGATCTAGGACTATCATCTGACCCATCTGACCTCACAAACTTTCCTTGACACTACACTGTACTGTTTTTTTACAAGTACTAGACTCTTAGGCGTTGAAATAATATAAATACACTTAAACTCGATCTAGATCTATGTCAACATTAAATTGTTACCACAAAAAAAATCTTTTTTTTTTTAGATCGCGTGCCACCTAGGGTAAAGATTAAGCGTAACGCGGAGCGAACTGCTCAAAGGTCTTCCGTGTAACGCGGGGCGAACTGCGCAAATGCGGCCAAAATGTTTCCTTGTTTCATTTATTAGGGTTGTCGGTATCGGCCGAGATCGGGGTAAAAATATGACCCGAAATCTCCCATTACTTTCTGATTCTGGGCGCACGAGATTTGGTTTTGCATACTAATAAGTTTTTAATTTATGGTAATTAATTAAGTTTAAAAGGTCATTTCCTAATATTAAATGAATAGTAGAATGGTTTTCCAGTTGTTTTGATGGCTTAGCGATCTGATTGCATGCTGTCTCTGCTTTGATCTTACCGCTGTATAAAGGTTAACTTCAAATGCGTTAAAAACGTGATTTTTGAAAAGTTTCTATTTAGATAATAAAAGTTTCCAAAGCAGATACATCCCATTTTTATAGAAATGATATTTATTTTTGGATATTTCGATTTGACATTAGTAAATACTCATTTGAAAGTAGTCACCGTAAGTAGGTCACGTTGCCCCCATTGACGCCAATGTTATATTTCTTCATCCCGATCTGTCGGCTTTTAGTTTTGATACACTAACAACAGTATTCTTATGTAATGTACAAACAAATCCCCTATTTGTTGTTTTAAAAATATTTTAATATACCTGTCTTTCATTTTTTTAAACTCTGGTTTAAAAACATTGATCAGATAACTTCAGTTCACTTTTAACAAAATGGCTTAAAGATGGACTCTACTTCACCTGCCCAAAATAATAAGGCAATTATATGCACATTACAGTGTTCAAGTCATTTACTTTAGATTGCTAACTATGTAGTTTTTCAGCTGAGGCTATAAGGACCAGGGTCCTTATAGCGGCTGTGGCTTTTTCGGATACCAGCCAAACGAAAATGTTCTTTCGGAAAGTTTATCCAAATTGCCAAACATCTAGATCTATAAATATTAAACTTCTTTAGTACTTTTAGTGTCAATTTTCAAAGTAACTAATATATCAGCTGTTTTTTGTTTAATTATGGAGGAGTTATAAAAATTATAAGCACTAGACTAGGCATTTACATAACATTTAAAATGTAGATTAACCACACTCACACAACTGAAAACCATTTTTACTCTCCCGTATACAAAATATAGAGGAAGTATTGTAATCGTTTTACACCTCCGTCGGAAAATGTCATTTTGCAAATTAAATTATATCATTAAAATGACAATAAAAATACATGCTTTGAAATAAAAATGTACAATTTTTATTGCCGAACAAATAATTTTTGTTTTCATATTATAAAAGTTAATTACATGTACAATCCAAATTGATCCCTTCCAGCTTGATTATTTATATATATATTTCCCATGAAGCTTCCTAAAACATAGCTCTATCTATTAATATCAATAAAATCACCAAACAATGTCTGGTTAAGAACATTATGAACGGTGAAGATTGAATATGCCTCTTGCTGTAAAAATCTGATTTCCTCTCAATAGACATTGGGATGTGCATTAAAATACATTAAAATACATACAAATCTCTGCCAACCACTCAAACACATGCTTTCTTTGCATTGTATTTGGCACATAAAATCATGTGACGTTTACAAAATTTTTTTGGATCCAAAGCCCAAAAACTCAATAATTTGTCTTGGAGGTGATTTCCCTCTAACTGACTTACTTAAATTTATAATATATTATATACCAGCAGTAGAATTAAGTAAGAAATACTGGTGACCAGGTTTTATAGTTCTCAAAAGCTTTGGGAAATTGTCTGTATGCTCTTTATGTTATGCATATAAATAGAGGCTAGTTGGCTGGATGCTCTGTATTTTCATATACAAATAGGCTAAGTCTTTTAAGTCTCCTCAAACAAAACCTGCATTCACCTATGGTCCCCAAGATAGGCTACAGCTGCTCATGACTTAATGATCTTGTTACTGCATATTAATAGGAGTACAGCCATCAATGTGTTGAGCTGTGTTAGCTGCACATCTGTCAGAGCTAATGCTTTGAATTATTGGTTTAGTGCAGGGAGTTTTGATCAGTCATCCACTTCTCCTGGGATTTTATAAAACCAGAGGGAATATATGTGAATCCATCAGTTCATGATATTATGGCTTTCCTACTCTAATTTTCCACCAATGTTTATGGCAGTATTGTAGTGTAGTTTTTCAAAAAGTTTACAATTTAAAAAAATTTACTTAACAATTTCATTTCAGGACTAGTTAAACAGAATAAATTGTACATAGTATTTCAAGTGGAAAATGGTTATTACAATAGATTCCAAGAAATGCCTGTGGCTATGTATAATTGTTGGAGAGTGAGTATTTTCTTATATTTACAGTTATCATATTTTCAATAAAATTTGCTTTTTGTCCTGCATATTGGAAAGTTTTTGAAAATATACTTTTTATATAGGCATACTTTAAATAAAAAAACTTTAAATAAATCATTACTTACTCTTAAAGGCAGTTTCCATTAATCAAAAGTTATTTAAATTTTAACATCAGTAACTTGTTTCAGTTTATTTTGCATTTTCTTTCTAATGTCTAAATATAGTCTAAACTAAAGAATCCATACAGACAAGGATTTAGAGTTCAATTTTTTGTACACATTTTTTTAAAATGATTCATCAAGTTTTCATCATTTTTCTAAATTATTTTGTAATCATTAACAAACTAATGCTTTTTCTTCTTACTCACAACTATCGGTATTCACACCCTTGCTTTAAACATATTTTTAATTATCTCTGTTAAAAAAAAATGAAACTTAATTATCCTAAACTCCTTAATTAGATCTGGGTTGTGGTTATAGTCCAGAAACTAAAAGCAGATTCACTGTTTATAAATTGGGCAGTAAAACACATACCATTTTATTGCATTATATGTTGAACTAATCAGCAAGCTTACCTGCAGTTAAGAGAGAGGGGAGAGTAAAATGTGTTATCCATTCTATACATAGGGAGAAACATATCTCTATATACATACATTTGCAAAAATCAAATACTTATTTTTTAAAAATTATTATTTTATCAGCTCCCATTTCATAAATATTATTAAATAATGAATTGTATTTGCATTTTTTTTCAAGTGAAGATTGATCAAAAGTATTCCCATTGCTCTAAAGACCATTAACATAGAATAATAGTTAAAGTTGACCAGGGTTTACTTATAAATGATGCCACACTTTGATTTTTACAATCAGCCCCCTCTATAGCCACAAGTAATCACAAAAAGCCAGACACACCTATCTTAAAATGACGTTACCCTGCCAATTACCATGATTCTAACAAAATATTGTTCTTTTTTAACCATGCTCCTACCCTTCTTCATTCATCATCGGAAAAGTCTGCCACCCCCCCCCCCCCCCCCCCCCCCCGGAATGTGATGAACACCCCCTACACATATTTTGAATGAACACCCCCTAAACATGTTCTCAATGAATGCCCCTATATATATTTTCAGTCATGCTGCCATAAAACAATACATAGACTAAATTTTCTAACCATTTACCATACATATTTTATTCAATACTAAAAATAACACAACTGATACATTCTAAATGACACACATTTTCAATCTAGATTAGTTTGCTGATCATACTTTTCTCTTTTGAAATTTGTTTCCCTACTTGAACAGTACACTAGTTGGTATAAGTATTTCATTACCCTGTCCACTGTGTTAGTGGCTGGGGTATTAAAAAAACAACAAATTGTACTGTTTTGTACAGCCTAGACATGTGTAGCATATCAGGACAGCTAGGAGTGAAATTAGTATTCAAACAAAATTATAGGACTCAGTAATTACCATCAACATTATCATCAACATTTTCATCAATATTATCATTTTCATCAACTATTCTTTTCTCAGGCTTAGTCATTTATAGTTAATTTTTAAATTCATGTACAAACATCCAATTTAACCTAAGAGTTATCTTAATTACAGTTATACTTACAACATATAACGGTTCCATGACAAATGATCTCAGGACAAATGATCTCAGACAAAATATCTCAGACAAAATATCTCACGGACAAATGATCTCAGGACAAATGATCTCAGGACAAATGATCTCAAGGACAAATGATCTCACGGACAAAAGATACCAGGACAAAATATATCAGGACAATTGATATCATGGACAAATTATCTCAGACAAAATATCTCAGACAAAATATCTCACATCGAAATTTTAATAGTATTTACGATGACTTTAGTTGAACTTTTTTTATTGACTGTTAATATGGTTTTGTTTACTTTTTTACGTATAATAATTGTGAATAAAATGAATTAGTGAAACCTAACAAACCATCAAAAGGTGTATTAAGCAATTCTAGTAGAATTTGATTTGAAAAAGTAAAAATTAAAACAAACTTACTCTTTAGCCTGAAAGGTATAATAAATGATAATGTATAAAACAAATAAAGTAACGGTAGCTATAGAACATTAATGTTCATATCACGCGAAATATCTTTCAAAAATGTGAATGGGTCTTAAGGTTCGTAACGTTAAACTATTGTTTTTATTACATTATCAACACAAACATAACGTGTAAGTTTCTTTTCTCGTAGGTACATCGTTATGATCACACCTCTCCAATACTAGGTGATCATCTATTGTGTGAACTCTTGCTCTACATGTCCTAATTTCACATTTCTAAATCTCTTTGCCTGCGTATGGCAAATATAAATTCACCAGAAACTAATGTCCTAATAACTTTCTGCGAGGTAACGAAAGAGACCATAGCAAAGCAATCACCATTAATACTGCTTTGTTACGACATACTCAGCTCCGCGATGACCGCTGTCGATTAAATAAGCATTAGTCACCTGATCACTAAGGTGTGACCGACGCATTACAATGGACTTTATATGCTAGTCGTATTGTCCATGGAGGGCGGATGTCATTCCATTAAGGAAAGCGGGCTGCCACCTTGATACGAAGGTGTGTCTTAATTGTTATTCCATCCCCTTTGATCTAGTTTCGTCCACCTGACGTGGTAGGATTGTCTCACGCTTGTCAAGCACACCTACGCTGTCTTTCGAAATTATTTCTTTAATCTTGGTATACTACATTACTAATACTAACCTTAAAATGTTTAGTGCAATATGACAAATTTATATGGCAAACATTTCTTACAATTATTATATAGGCCTATAAATAATATTAAACATAGTAAACAGAACCATAAGACAGTCAATACAAAAAAATTCAGATCAACTAAAATTATCCAATACACTATTAAAATTTAGGTGTGAGATATTTTGTCTGAGATATTTTGTCTGAGATCTATTGTCCATGATATCATTTGTCTTGATATATTTTGTCCTGGTATCTTTTGTCCGTGAGATCATTTGTCCTTGAGATCATTTGTCCTGAGATAATTTGTCTTGAGATCATTTGTCCGTGAGATATTTTGTCTGAGATATTTTGTCTGAGATCATTTGTCCTGTCACCCATATAACATACATTTATTAAACGTATTCCTAGAGTCCTGATGTATGGGAGCTATGGTGTGCTCATAGACCTGTGTAAAATTGATGGGGAGATTCCATTCCTGACCTCATCCTCTGTTTTAATCACAGAGATAGTTAAGGTACTACTGGTATTCACTTATTACGATTCAGCTAATCAAATTGAACTTATTTAGTATTTTATATAATCTTGATGAGTTCAGATGTTCTTAATTAAAAAATTGGCTTAATTGGATCTAATGTGGTTAATTATTGATAATTTAAAAGATTACAATACACTTAAATCATATTTTCTAATTAAAATCCTAAAAGTTTCTCCAATTGTGATAGAGCCTGCATGTATGAAAGAGCTTGCATATGCTTTAAAGAAGAAAATGTTTAAGAAAAACTTGGACTGAATTTTGCAGATAGATTCTCTAATGTAGTTTTATATTTCTCAGCGTGAACGTAATATTTTTTTTTCTTGCTTCAGCTTGTCATCTGCTTAGTGATACTTTTTCCTGATTATATGGACAACCAGTTACCAGCCCTTAACTTTCGTCTTGTGCTCCCATTTGCCATCCCTGCGTTATGCTACTGTCTAAACAATAATCTAGCTGTCTTCATGCAGACTCAGATGGACCCAGCTACCTACATGGTAAATCTTACACAGTCTTCTCAGTTAGATTTACTTCTCACAGAAATGCATTTGAAAGTTTTTTTCAGCATTAAAAAATATAATACAATTCGTTCACATTTACTTTTTGAAAAGTTTTTTAAAAATAAAATTGATTGTTTTAGACTTTGATAAATGTAGGCCTATTTTAAGCTCATTGATTAGTGGTTGTAAAACCTTGTTTTCAATTTGTTCAGTACTTATTTTAATAAGCTTTGCTGGATTTAATATAACAAGAATAATCTTTTAAAAGTAGATCAGACAGAATATATAGATAGTTGTAAATATATTGTGTCTTTTTTATCTAAAACCTTTCTGTATTTATAGATTAAATAATATTTGTTTTTTATTGCCTGTTGAATTAGATGTGTTTTAAATTTTAGGTTTTGGGAAACTTGAAAATTGTTACAACAGCCATTCTCTATAAAATAATTATAAAAAAGTAAGTTTCATAAAAACATTTAAATAGCTTGAACTACTTAGGTTTACAAACTTTTTGTATATGTTTATATATATCTATATATATATCTATTACATAAAAATCAAGTTACCTATCTGATAAAGCTCTGTTATACATTTTAAATTTTTTAGTTATAATTAATTTTTCTTGATAACACTGTATGAGCATTATTTTAATGCATTTAAAAGAATGATTTTCTAACTGATGTTTTACATAATTATTTTTTCAGGAAGTTTAGTACAATGCAGTGGATGGCAATAGCACTTCTAATGTGTGGTGGAGTTATAAATAGGTATTGCTGAAAATAGTTTTTTAAAGACCTGTAATACCTTTAATTATCATATGGCTCATTTACTTAGTGTTTCAACTTTAGAATTAACTGTAACAATATTATAAATACTCATTTGCTTTATTTTTCTTTTTTATTCTGTAACCTTAACAAAAAGCTAAAAATATTTTAGATTTTTTAATGCTTTAGTATTTTTCTCCCTGTTTTAAAAACTAACATTAGACAAGTTAAACAGCATGTTAAAAACACCTCAAATTTAAAACAGCTAATGGCAGTGTTCATATTTTATAGTGAAACATTTAACTTATGCCTTTATATTTCAAAGTAATTACAATTTAGGTTGTTGTTTTTACATGCTATTTAACATTGTACAAGGCTGTGTGATCAGATGACTTTATTAAAAAATAACATAACACCAAAAGAAATTGCATTTCATTTATACATAAAAATTATGAAGTAAGAATGAAAATTAAGTTTGATCCCCGTGACACAAAATTATCATTTAGCTAATAAAAATAATTCTATTACAAACCAAGATGTAAAAGATCGCAACTTTTTTGTTGATTATTTATTTAATCAATTTTGTACTTATAATCAGACAGAAATGCTGGTGATCAAATAAAAAACATCCCTCCTTTGCAAAATCTTTTTTTTTGTAGTTAACTAATTCTCTTTTGTATAACCTTTCTAAAACCATAAGAAGCTCATACTGATTTGTAGAACCGTTCATTTTTCCTCTACAAAATTTTAATTCTATTACAAAAATTATTTTCTGATTCCACAGCCTTGATTTTATTACCCTACCACTGGGGATTTTTTATTTTTTTATTGGCTACATTTTATTCGCTATCTTCCAAAAATTGAGAAAACGTTAACCCTATAATGTCCATTTTGATTCTAAGGGTAGTTTTATTTAGCTAGAAAAATTAAACCCCTGGATCTTCTTCTGGAATTGTCAAAAGATTTTCATGCAGTTCTGATTTGAAATACAAATTTAAAATACTTTTAGCTGCATTTGGTTTTGTTGTTGAGAAATTAGGGCATTATGGGGTTAAACTATTTTTGTAAGATTTTTTCTAAAGCTTCAATGGCATTGCTAACCTTTCCTATATCTTACAGCTCAGCTGCCTTAAAGAGCAAAACCATATCTTTATCAGAAATCCATATAACCTTTCTAGGCTTGGGTACCCTTTTATGTTATTGCTTTATATCAGGCTTTGCCGGTGTTTATACTGAATATATTTTGAAAAAAGATCTTGAGGTAAGTGCATTATGATTTTTTTCCTAGCATTTGCATTCAGGTATACACATGAAACTATTTAGCACTGAACAAAAATGGTTATTTTATTATAAGATGTTTAATTCAAAGCTAGTTCTCTGTTGTACTGATTGTCACATAGGTAGATTAGCTTGACATAAAATGTGTGATGGTATATCTTATCATTCTGTATTATTATTTTGCAGTTGTCTATATTCTATCAAAACGTGCTCCTTTATTTGTTTGGAACAATGTTCAACTTTCTGATTTGGCTCGTACAAGCTTTTCAGAAGCGTAATGCTGCAGAAAATAGTGAGTCCATATAGTTCCTCTATAATTAATTATACTGATTATTCATACTTGTTATTGAACTTTAAACATTACAGTTAGCCCTAGCAGTTGTTTGGTGTAATATTTTATGATTTAATGAAGGAGCTTAAGCAGACAATTAGATAAGCTATGTTAAGCTATGTTAACATTGGGAGCTTGGAAGTTTTTGTTAAATATTGTCTGGTTAAAAAAGGAAATAGTTGGCACAATATGGACAATAAAAGAGAGAAAATTTGTTTGTTTTTATTTCCACTAAGTGAGGGTTGCTTAAAAACAGTCAGTTTTAGTGTAGGTAGTTTCTAGGATTTATTAATTTATCTAAATAATGGTAAGGGATAGCACAACTGCAAACACAAAAGTCTTGAGTTCACATTCTGGGCTTGAGTCTCTAGGATGTCTTTGAGTCCACCTAGTACTCGACTCATGTTCCGGAAAGTATACAGAGGTCACAGTAACAGGTGAACTCTACTTCATCTGCTTCATGGTTCCCCTGGTCTGAAAGGGTACCTTTACTACAATGGTGGTGAGTAATTAAAATAAATCTCCCTTACAAAGCTTACATTTTTGTCAACCCATTTTATTTTCAGACTTAGACTACTTCTACATCTTTCACGGTTACTCTATCTACACCTGGACGGTTATAGTCACACAGGTAGGTCTACTCTTATTGAGTCATTTATAAACAATAAATAAAAGCTACAAATAATATGATTAATGTACTGAAAAATTGGGTTTTGACAAGTTAAGTAAATGAAAATTTTTAGTAAAAGTTAAAAAAAAAATCTCTGTGTTTATTTAAAGTTTATATAACATTTAAATGTTTTAATGTAGAATTAATTTTTCCTGGTTGCATTTAAGATTTTAGTTATATAATTCATTATTCCTGGTTGAGATATAATCAGTTAAAGTAAACTAAATTGGGTTGTGAGCAGGAGAGACTATCATTTTTGCTAGTTGCTATTTTCTTACAGTTGGGCATTAAAAAAGTTTAGTATATTCAAAGTTGAAAATTAATAGAAAATTAACCGAAAAATATGCAATAAATTACAATTGGCAATTAGGGCTGTATGTATTTTTACAATCCAAGTTCTAAATGGAATCAGGAAGTCATACTCTATGTCTCCACACATATTCCTTTAATTTTGGGCAGAATTAGAATTGCTGGACAATACAAATATATAAACTTATAAAAACAAATTATTAAAATAAGAAATACCCAGATTATTACAGTCTTTTTCTACTATTGCTTAGTTGAATCGTTATATAAAAATGCCTATATTGCAAAATGAGACTATTAATACAGGATCAACTTTTTTTTTAATAACTTGATTTTGGAACAAACTGCAACATTTGTTTTGAGGCTGCTGCCAAAACTATCCTCTTAAATTTATATCTTGCACTGTTTACAGTCAACTACTATCTATATTTATGTTTGCTATCAGCTACAGTCCTACATTTATATCTTTCACTGTTGCAGTCAACTAAAGCCCTACATTTATACCTTTCACTTCTTGCTGTCAGCTACAAAACTAAATTTATACCTTACATTGTGCAGTCAACTATAGAACTAAATTTATAATTTTCTTCTTCAGGCGGCCACTGGAATCATCTTTTCCTTTATAATGAAATACAACAACAACATCGTCAGACTCTTCATTATAGCCGCCGCCCCTTTGATTGCCACCGCATTATCTTATGAAATATTCGGCCTGCAAATCCACTCCGAGTTTGCTGTGTCAGCTGTTTTTATTCTAGTAGCTGCAGTCATGTACAGCTACAGAGGAAAGGAAACCAGTAAAGCTTAAAATCTGCTTTCTTTATATTCACCTGGAATTTCTGAACTCTGTCAACCCACGATCACTATTTAATTATTATGTGCATTAATTTTTAAAAAAAGCAAGGCCTTGTTTGGGTTTTGTAATTAATTTAAAAAAATTAATTGCGTACTTGCTGCAAAGACTGTGCTAGCCCAGGCTATCTTTCCTGTTACATAAAATGTGTTCACTATCAATATTTAGTACTTCTACTCTAGTCACTAGTATTTATTTAAACAATTAATTATGAAAATGTTTATATTTTTTTATTTGTTGTATTTTTCAGCATTAATTAAAAAAATCAAATATGCTTGATTTACTGGTGATGTGTTAGATAATGCATTGGTATGTTTTTACCATGTAACACTGAGAATTGTTTTATTTTGAGATTATGAAATGCTAATTTAATCAAAATGTCTAATAAGATTAATTTTTATTGGAATCTTGTATTTAGATGGATCTGTAAAAATAAATAAATGATGATCATCTTTTTGAAATCACAGTGAGAAAAAATGCTTTAAATTTGTAGGAAATATATTTTGTCATTGCTCTCATTCAGTAATTTTTCTGATATAATAATCATTAACAATTTTCTATGGTATATAACATTCTAAAATGAGTTGACTACATTTTCTTGTGAAGAAAGACCCAATGATTCTTTTATATTAAGTTAATTTATTTCTGGATTGAGGTTGTCATGTTTAAAATCACACTAGATTTCTTTATAAGAAATATTTTGTGGTTATTTTGCTATACTGCCAATGATATGAGCTTGAACGTTGTGTTCACTTAGATTGTTTTATTTTATTAATTTATTAAAAAATCATGGATCTCAAAACAGCATTAAGAATAAAATACTTTAAAAAAATATAAATTATTTATTTATGTACACAAGTATTTGTGAAGAATGAATCACAGAAAACCACAGAATAATAAAACTTATGGTGTAAATAAAATTCTTTGTAATATTTAGAATCTTTTTATTTCCAGTGAACCTTTGTAAATCTTATTGTAAAAGCTAATTGAGAATGTTTTAAACGGCAATTCTCCCACATAATCGTTAGGAATATGTGACTCGTATGTAAACCATAAACCTAACAAAAAATTGAGAATGTATTAAACAGCAATTCTCCCTCATAATTGTTAGCAATATGTGACTCAATGTAAATCATAAACCTAACAAAAGAAATATGTTTTTTGACTGCTGCTCTTTTTTCCCCTCCTACTTTTTGTTTCTATACTTCCGACTCTTATCATGTAGTGGAAACAAAATTTGTTGTATTTTAAAATTTTTTTTTACGTATTCAAAAGAACCTGAGATTTGTTACATATATTATTTTTTTAAATATATTCATAAGAACCTGATATATTGGAACACTATTATGTTGCTGTTTGCATTGTTTTAAAAGATTATTGCAGATTATCTCAAAAGATACATTTTGAATCTCTTAAATATTTGGATTTCATTTGCACAAAGTATTTTAAAATTATTTTTATGCTATGGCTCAATAGATACTTACGTTTTTTTAATTGTAAGTTGGATGATGAAACTGAAAAAGAATTTTGACAATTCAGTTTTGCTCAATTTTCAAATACATTTGAATGCAGACAAGTTTTTTCAGGCATCTCTCTGGGGTTGGGGGGGGGGGGATATACTCAAAGAATCAAATATTAGAAAGACAATGGCTAACTTTTCTGTCATCATCAGGCATCTAGATTTTATTGCTAATGTAACATTTTTGGTCAATAAATTGATAGCACAGTAGTTGAACTTATCTCATTGTTTGGTGACTTAAGATATTAATTAAACCTCACATATACTTGCTTAGAACTACTTACCTCCCTTTGCTACTTATTTTTTTGTGTCATATCACCACAAATAAAGTGCTTTATCAGAAATGTGGAGGTCCCAGTAGACACTCATTAAAAGTGGGGAACATTATTTATAAAGGACAAATAACAGTTTGATCCATATTTTAGTTTTCATTTAAAGTTTAATCTTCTACCAAAAACAAACAAACTAGAGCATTTGAACGCTGCAGAAAAAAATTAGTCTTAAAAAGTTCCATTTCAGTTATTTAAAAAAAAATCCTCTTAAATAGTTGATAATGTTGTAACAAACATTTTGACTGGTGAAATTTGTAAAATCAACAGAACCACAAAGACAACACACTTGTTGGTGTGGCCATACCAATTTCATGTGGTTGTGCTCAGTCCTAATTTTACCACAGTACTAGGTGCTTATTTAAGTACTTTGTCCTAATTTTGCTGTCAACTCCACCATACTAACCACTTATTTAAAAGTGAGTGATCTGTAACACGTTTGTTTGTTTCCTTATTTATAAGATTATTTTATCTGTAACAATTTATGTTGTTAACTTTAGTACTGTTTTCTTTCATACAAAATTGATGGAGATATTTAGAACACAATTCATCATTGTGGGGCACAGACTTGCAACTGCAAGGGTTACCTCTGCTATTTGACATATTGCCATCCTTTAAATATAACATCACACCCACCAGCCCGAAATGTCAGATCTCCCTAATGATGAGCTTCAACCTTTCCCCCACTTCCTCGAACAAAGAACAATACTTATTTATGGAAACAGCAATTTCTTTTTAAACATGAGTAATATCAGATATGCTGATCAAATTTTTTTTTGATTACCAAAAACACAAAATAGCTGTATTAATAAAATTTTGAAAATTAATTTTTTAAATGTAGAAGTGTGAAATCACACTCCATGAACTTCCCACCACTGGACCAATGTTCCCTCTAAGCTGCGTGGTTGCGCGACCGCGCAGTAGTTTTGAGCTGCCGCGCAGTGTTTTTATAAAATAAATATTTCCTTGTATAAGACTTTTAGAACAGGGCCCACAGAAAATACATTTTGCACACTAGCTTTTCTCCCTTAGAGAGAACATTGCTCTGGATCCCTTAAAACTTATTAGTGTGTCATTAGTTTATTGGAAAACCCCTTATCACTACTCTGCCATTTCTCACCACCAGTACTTATCACCTATATCACATCTTGTACTAATCTGTTTTAATTGTGGTATACTGTGCTCATTCATCATTTTTTTTTCTTGTCACTCTGTCATTATTTAATTTAAAATAAAATAAGCCGAGCATTTTTTCTTTACTCTCTTAAGTCATATAAAAAACCACGGTGAATTTCATTTTAATTTATTATTTTAAAAAATTGTATTATTTATACAAGAATTTGACTGTTGCTTATTTTTCTGTATTACTGTATTGTATATTTATGATTAAAGTCTGGCTGTTTGCATATATGTAGTTGTTTGTTATAGAAGGTTAATAATTTAATATAGCTCTTGAATTCAGCTTGTTCATTTATTTGCTGAGATTGTCTTCATTTGTGAGTATAATTTTAACATTATTTTGCTTCAATTAAAGATATGCTTTGCCCATGTGTTTTTGTTAGTTTTAGTACTATAACATATAATAGAAAGTTAATAGAAAAAAAAAAGATATTTGAAAGTACACATTTGGCATCATGACAGTCCGTCTTTACCCCCTCCCCTTTGGTCTTTACCCCCACCCCTTTCGTCTTCACCCCCTCCCCTTTCGGAGAGGTGCCACAAAACACAGCATGTGTGGCGTCACAATCCAATGGGGAAGGGGTGGGTGGGGGGAACGTGTTCTTTTTAAACAAATTTCGGCAGTTTTGCAGCTTTTGTTTTGAAACTTTTTTTTTGTAAATTGTAATTATTGATCAATGTTCCCGATCTTTCAGTATTAAAAAGTGTTCATCGATATTTACAGCTCAATCAACTAGCAGACAATTAACAGAAGCGGGTTATTTTTTTGGGTTACTTCCCCTTGTGAAAGGGAATCAACTTCATCTTTTAGTTTTAGAAAGACATTGGTGTATAAAATAACTATAAAATGCAAATTTTAGGAAAGGTGTAAGAAAGGGAATAGAGGGGGGGGGGGGCACTGAATTGTGAATCCCATCAGTTAGAACCATTTTGATTTCAATAGTCAGTTGTGTGGGGTTTAGAACCATTCTGATCTCAGTTTTTCGAGATACGGATCTACAGTGTATTGCTTCTGTTGAGAAACGACGTCAACAGAAATACAGAAGCAAAAAAAGATAAAAAAACATTTTAAAAATTTTACAAGTTTGTGGGCTGTGCAATTCTTTGACATGGTATTTTATTAGAAATAAATTCAGTCAAGGTATTTCAAAGGTAAAAATATGTCAAGGTGTTTAAAATAGTTATTAGAAACCCGTCAAATAAGGGGAAACAAAAGCTATCTTGATAAGATTAGCTGAATCACGATGCTAAGGACTGATCAGAACAGATGGAATCTGGAATACAGATAATCTACTACAGTGTTTCTTCCAGACTTTTTTCTCCGGGGGGGGGGGGGCACTTGACACTGGTAAAAGTATATGTTTTCTATATAAATTCCATTTCGTTCGGGGAGCGGTAGACTTTCTCCCCCCCCCCCCCCCCGAAGAGATGCCTGGAAGAAACTCTGATCTACTGGATTCCCTGCCGAAAAGAAATGATCAGTGCCCAAAGAAGCAAAACCATGTCATGAACCGAATTAAAAGGATCCGCCCAAAACCAGTAGGATGGGACGTGTGGTTGCGTCCATGTGTTCCACAAGTGATCCACAGGAAAGATGATGTGATGACCATTACAGCCAAACGGATCAAGTTTCGTTTCTTCTGAAGGAGCTGTCGACGAACGCTAACACGGATGCACATTCTAACACATTCACACCAATATAAGTAGGCGCGCATTATGTTTAGCGCACCACGCCATACATATATTTTAGCACTAATGTACACACAAAGTAAACGCAATATTCCGGTACATTCGGTAATGAACACAAGTGTGTGAACGCCTAAATTTATTCTAACCTTTTGGCGAAGTTTTGTGTTTACATTCAAAGTTACAGTATCAATCAAGTAAAGCCATCACCTTCATATAAATATTGTCTAAGTCACCTTTATCTTGATTTCATGTTTTGAGTTAATTGAAAAAATACTGACATAAGTCTAGAAATCTAGTCGAGAATCTATATATGTCACTACTCACTAGACTATATGAGACTAGTTCTAGATCTATAATCTAGATGTAGATTCTTTAGATCTAAATAGGCCTACTACGGCTATTTCCCGTCCTAATATAGATACTTGGGTAAATTATAATTTAAACTACTCCCCCCACCAACCCCCCACCCCCCACTTACTACTCAAAGCAAATGACTATTAATATTATGGCTACTGTGATATGGCCGTAACAATATGGCAGGTAGTATCACGTGACAACCCCCAGAGTAAAAGACAACAATAACATATAGACCTAGATCCATCTAGGATTTCTCGCCTCTCGCCCTTCAATAGGGTAGGCTGTTAGGGCGCCTCAAGTAGGCTACTTTTGATCAGCTTTCTTTCCTTCGTCATCTTCAGTGTTAAACCTCTCCTTCCTCTAATCTTGTTTTCCAGGACACTGTTAAAAGTATATATTTTCTATATACATTCCATTTCGTTCGGGGGGGGGGGGGGGGGGGGGGGGGAGAACGGGTGGGGGGGGGGGGACAGGGGTGGGGGTGGGGGGCGGTAGACCTTCTTCGGAGGGACTCCCGAAGAGATGCCTGGAAGAAAATCTGAAGTTCAGGTCTGGACCTTAGGCCTGAGACGATTGCTCACTGACAACTAATGTTTTCGTTTTCGTAACCCTAAACAACCTTTAGACGCTTTGTTTTGAGTTGTGGTCATGTTTTATAAAGACACTTAAAGGCTCGACGGATCCTAGAATCAGCTAGGAAATGGAAATAGCACTTGAATCCAGAACGCCATTTTTTTTGTGCAAACTGTATTAAAATCAAAACTTCTCAAATTCGGCTAGTCCCACACATCGTTATTTCTATATACCTAGCAATTTGCCCCCCTCCCATATCGCTTGGTCCCTAACATTCAATGCATGCACTTTTTTTCACAAGCAATATAAAAATACACAGTTAATTTTTCCCATCTGACAAGTTTCTATAACATCATTAAAATTCTTGCTACCCATAATAAAACAACTGTTTTGGTGATGTCGTTGTCCTATTTTTACCCCTAGGATTCACAATGGGATTTTTCTGGAGGCTTTGGAACTGTTTAGTAAATAATTCAAGTAAGTTTTACTAGAACGTTTTTGTATTGACCAAACTATGACAGACGCATCAACCGAAATAAATAAATAGAAACTTTCGATGACTTAACTATTTAATGAATATCTAATTTAATTTAACACGTCGCACAGTAGACGTATCTTAAAGGATATACACCTTAATCTCTGCTCACACGTACACGCATATATATATATATATATATATATATACATTATATATATATATACACATATTATATATACACATATTATATATATATATATATATATATATGTAAGCCCTGCTAGGGGGGGGGGGGGGATACCTTAAAATCTACCTTACCCTTCCCTAGGCTTATCTAACTAACTACTGTCCGGTCAGTGCAAGCCCGGCTAAACCCAGGCTGGTTAATAACCTAACCTTAGTCTAAATTAAAAACAAAAAACTTTAACAATAATATAAAATTTATTTCACAAAATAATAAATATGGATCCAAAAGTTATTATAAAAAAACCAGAATCTAGATCTAGACAAAACACTCAAGACATAGATCTACAAAACAAACAGAACTCAACGAAACAAAACACCCAATTTCGGACCACCGTCCTAGAAAGAGGAAAAATAAGACAAATCAATTTAAAATGTAAAAAAAGTCATACACAAGGCAGTAAGCTGACACAATTGTCAGCCTAAACAAGAGGCTCTCATAAATGAAAGTAAAATCTACAATAATCCATGACTAAACCCAGGCCATCGTGCTACCACGTGGTCTGGATAAAACAAACATTGAAACTTCTCAAAGTCGAAGTGACTAAATAGATCTAGTATATAGTCACTTTGTATACAAAATAAGCAAACAAAAATATGGAAAACATAATAAAACACTATAAAAATAACCCTACGTTACCATACACCACATAAACCTGACACAGAAACTCTTCAACACACAGGCCTCGACATTCCAGCCGAATGTCCCTCCATGTCGACACACCACATTCACGAACAAAGAAACCAATACTACGAACAAAGAAACCAATGCTACGCACAAGAAAATAGTCCCTAATACAATAATAAGTAACATTCAGGACATAAAGCAAAGTGGAGCAACAATCCGAAACAAAGTTTGCATAAATAATAACATTAAAATATAAACAAGACACAATAACCAGGCTACAAACCATTGTAAAATCAAAATCATATCAGCGCCATAATAGCGGACTACTTAACTAAAAACCACAACAATCCTAAAAGGAACACAAAAAGCGACATTCGCCTTCTTAGTTACAAATAATTATAATAACAGATAAACACACTCCAGCCGCTCACATACACGCCCCTTAAAGCTTGCGGTCACCGCAAGCTAAATAACTTGAAAAAAAATCAGAGCCCACAGGGCATAATCATAAATGTTACAAAAATACAAAAACTTTGCACAATCACAATTTTGCAAAAGAACTTGCAAAAAAATCAGCCCGCAGGGCACAATCATAAATTTTACAAAAAACAAAATTTTGCAAAAAAATCAGCCCACAGGGCACAATCATAAATGTTACAAAAAACAAAATTCTGCAAAAAAATCAGACGATGTGGCTGTAGCAGCCGGCGGTACAACTTTGACCGGCCTTGGGGAGGGCGGTTGAGTCTTGGGAGGCACATATCTCCTAATCTGTGTACTGGCCACCCGGCGGGTGCCAGAAGGGCCATCTTTCTTTTTAATGGCGTAACCCCCGCCGGTGATCGGAGGTAATTCGACAACGACATAAACTGTCGGGCCGTCCCGGTCTGCCATTTTGCGTCTGCCAAGTGGGGGTTGTCTCAGAAGGACCAGGTCGCCTATGGCCAGTTCAGCTACAGGTGCCTTTTTGACCTGTTTGTCCTTCTTGCTTGACTCTGTCTGGGGGCATGCCCCAGCACCACCACCCGGTGCCTTAATTAAGGATGGGTTATGTGGAACCATTGCCTCTTGTTCCTCAGATTGGTCCACCTTTACACTGGTTATGCTGGCGCGTAGGCAGGATGTTGGGCCTGATACCACTGACGGATCTGGGTGAAAAGGGTGGTCTAATGGCTGTACCACCTTGTCGTCCTTCATTCTGGGGTCTCCTTCCGTCGCCTGAATAGTTGGTACACTCTTGGCAGGCACCAGAGTCCTTTCGCAGGGGCGTAGGACCTTGTCCCCTCGCCATACCTTCGGTGTCACTTGATTCCCTTTGGGCCCATATTTCTTTGCCATATGGCAATGACGGGCGAGGTGACCCCTCTGGTGACAGTTATAGCAGCCCTTTGATTGGACCTCCGTGCGCTTGCGAGGTGCTTGGCGCACATTGGACAATTTGGTGTCCCGCGTAAAGTGCTTCAGCAGGGCAGCAAGCTGCTCTGTGAGCCTGTTGACTTTGTCCTCCAGCTTGGACCTGAACGAACATTGTTCCATTGGCCTGGCATTTATTGCTGCCACGTAGGCAGGTTCAGCAAGAGGGTCCTCGTCTCCAGACCATCGAATGGCCGCATCCCGTATGGCCAGGAAGGGGATCTTAGGGTCCCGGAAAATCAGCTCGTGCAGATGGCGTCTGACTGTGGCCTGGCTCAGGTTTTCCACAAACTGGTCTCGAAGAAACCCTGCATCAGTCTGTGGGACCTGCAGGGCACTCTGCCTCGTAACCAGGGTCTTGAAGGCCCTGTGCAGTCGGTGCGAGTAGGCCCTCACCGACTCGTGTTGGCCCTGTACAACCATCTGAAACTGGGCCATGAGCTGCGGTACTCTCCTCTTCTCGCCGTACACCTCTCTGAGGAGCCTGAGGGTGGCTTCGGGGTCGTGCTGCAGGTCGTCACCCCTGCAGCTCAGCTCCTCTCTCACCGCTTCCCCCAGGTACTGCCAGAGGAGGTCCTTCCTCTCTTCTACTGAGAGGTTTCCCCTGGCCCTCCAGAGGGACTGGACCTCTTTGATGAACCGGTCCACCTCATAGCCATGGCTGTCCCCATGGAACCTCCGGATTAGGATCTCCCTGGGTGGAACGATGATGATGGTTGGTGCCACCTTCGCCATCTCGTCCGAATTGGGTGTTTTAAACAACAAACGATTCCTACACTAAACAAAAATTAAACACATATGGTTCCATAAAGGGCCTATCAAGAAAAAAATTTAACTAAGCTACATCTAGCCCTAGCAAAAAAACAAAAATTTAACTAGACTAAAGCACTGACCCCACTCGTGCTACCAATTTGTAAGCCCTGCTAGGGGGGGATACCTTAAAATCTACCTTACCCTTCCCTAGGCTTATCTAACTAACTACTGTCCGGTCAGTGCAAGCCCGGCTAAACCCAGGCTGGTTAATAACCTAACCTTAGTCTAAATTAAAAACAAAAAACTTTAACAATAATATAAAATTTATTTCACAAAATAATAAATATGGATCCAAAAGTTATTATAAAAAAACCAGAATCTAGATCTAGACAAAACACTCAAGACATAGATCTACAAAACAAACAGAACTCAACGAAACAAAACACCCAATTTCGGACCACCGTCCTAGAAAGAGGAAAAATAAGGCAAATCAATTTAAAATGTAAAAAAAGTCATACACAAGGCAGTAAGCTGACACAATTGTCAGCCTAAACAAGAGGCTCTCATAAATGAAAGTAAAATCTACAATAATCCATGACTAAACCCAGGCCATCGTGCTACCACGTGGTCTGGATAAAACAAACATTGAAACTTCTCAAAGTCGAAGTGACTAAATAGATCTAGTATATAGTCACTTTGTATACAAAATAAGCAAACAAAAATATGGAAAACATAATAAAACACTATAAAAATAACCCTACGTTACCATACACCACATAAACCTGACACAGAAACTCTTCAACACACAGGCCTCGACATTCCAGCCGAATGTCCCTCCATGTCGACACACCACATTCACGAACAAAGAAACCAATACTACGAACAAAGAAACCAATGCTACGCACAAGAAAATAGTCCCTAATACAATAATAAGTAACATTCAGGACATAAAGCAAAGTGGAGCAACAATCCGAAACAAAGTTTGCATAAATAATAACATTAAAATATAAACAAGACACAATAACCAGGCTACAAACCATTGTAAAATCAAAATCATATCAGCGCCATAATAGCGGACTACTTAACTAAAAACCACAACAATCCTAAAAGGAACACAAAAAGCGACATTCGCCTTCTTAGTTACAAATAATTATAATAACAGATAAACACACTCCAGCCGCTCATATATATATATATATATATATATATATATATATATATATATATATATATATATATATATATATATATATATATATATATATATATAATATGTATTTAATTCACAGGCCCCGAAGAGAACGGCAAATGCTGCGCACAAGGTAAAGCTATTGTTTATTTTTTAAACAACATACAGTACCTGGAGAATCTAACCCCCCCCCCCCCCCCCCCCGCCCCCGTCCATTAGCTACTAAAGACTAATTTGCCATTAATTTAAATATTTAATACATCTTTCTTTAATCAATACTTAACATTTGTATGTAGATGAGGTCAATATAAAACAATATGCTTAAATATATATATATATATATATATATATTTATATATATATATATATATATATATATATATATATATATATATATATATATATATATATATATATATATATAATCGTCTGTATGTATTCAGATAAACTGAAAGAGACAGAGGAGCCCTCCTGGCAGATGGAAATGCTTTGTTTGGTTGTCGCGATTCAAGCCATAGTTAATGTTTACTTGCGTAAGTATTATATACATCACAAAAGCCATCTCATTGTAGGTGCGCCATTTGGCTATTGCAAGACATTATAAACAGGTCTTAAAACTAGGAAACTGAGTTAAGGATTGGATAAATTAAGTATCTAATTTTTTTAGTTAATTGATGTGTGTTACAGCATTTACACGGTATCGCTTTACATTTACACTTATTTATCAGAAGAAACTTACAATTACCCAAAGACGAAACTTCTGTTTTTACGGGTTTTTAAATTCGATACAGATTTGAAACAATATAATTGTGAAATTTTGATAAAAAAATTACAATTTTAAACAAATTACTTCGTTAATTTGATATTTAAAAAATATAATTTAACCAGTAATAAAGCGAAGAAGACAACCCGGGAACGGCAGCCAAAATGCCACACAGCCAAAGACTTCACTAGCAGAGATTGCGGCGGATGGCGGTTCTATTGGCTCGTTGGATCAGTTCCTTATGGAGAACAACGACCTCTCAATCAGTCAGGACAAACCCCAAGCTTCATCCACACCAGCAGCTAATGAACAGCTTGGTTCTCCATCTCTCAGTGAGTAATTGTCTTAATTGTAGTCTAACACAGCATCAGCTAATGAACAACTTGGCTCTCCATCTCTCAGTGAGTAATTGTCTTAAGTCTAACACACCAGCAGTTAATGAACAGCTTGGCTCTCCATCTCTCAGTGAGTAATTGTCTTAAGTCTAACACACCAGCAGCTAATAAACAGCTTGGCTCTCCATCTCTCAGTGAGTAGTTGTCTTAAGACTAACACGTGCAGCTAATGAACAGCTTGGCTCTCCATCTCTCAGTGAGTAATTGTCTTAAGTCTAACACACCAGTAGCTAATGAACAGCTTGGCTCTCCATCTCTCAGTGAGTAATTGTCTTAATTGTAGTCTAACACACCAGCATCTAATGAACAGCTTGGCTCTCCATCTCTCAGTGAGTTGTTGTCTTAAGTCTAACACACCAGCATCTAATGAACAGCTTGGCTCTCCATCTCTCAGTGAGTAATTGTCTTAAGTCTAACACACCAGCATCTAATGAACAGCTTGGCTCTCCATCTCTCAGTGAGTAATTGTCTTAAGTCTAACACACCAGCATCTAATGAACAGCTTGGCTCTCCATCTCTCAGTGAGTAATTGTCTTAATTGTAGTCTAACACGTGCAGCTAATGAACAGCTTGGCTCTCCATCTCTCAGTGAGTAATTGTCTTAAGTCTAACACGTGCAGCTAATGAACAGCTTGGCTCTCCATCTCTCAGTGAGTAGTTGTCTTAATTGTAGTCTAACACAGCAGCAGCTAATGAACAGCTTGGCTCTCCATCTCTCAGTGAGTACTTGTCTTAATTGTAGCCTAGCTAACGCACTTGCATCTAATGAACAGCTTTGCAGTCCATCTCTCAGGTGAGTTATTCTAATGCACGGGTTTGGTAGACCATCTATCTATAAGTAATTGTCTGAATTTTAATGATATTCAAAAAGACAGAAAAGATCAACGTGTTATTCAACTGTTGGGTTGAAGGGGTGTTTAAAGTGTTGTCACCAGAGCTATTAAATACAACAACACAGTGACAAACAAATCATTATTGAGATATAAAAAAAAGAGTAGTGGCAGTCTAGTAGACTTGGGAAATTGTAGTTGTTAGCGGGCTCATATCTGTTGGTTGTATAGTTGCATTTCACACAGAACCTATTTTAAGATTTCTACTATAGATGGCCCCTACATACGAGCGAGATACTACTGTTCACTTTTTGCCAACTGTATATTCAGCTACATACCAATCATTCTGTTCACTCTGTCATTTATTCCTTTCAGGGAAAGCCAAAAAGATCTATGAGGCCAAAATTCAGTCATATGTCACAGGTAATTAGTATATATATATATATATATATATATATATATATATATATATATATATATATATATATATATATATATATATATATATATATATATATATATGTATATATAGTTTGTGCACGTGTATGTGTTTCAAAATATGTATGTTGTGTATGTGTTTGTCCGTGCCTGTCCTTGTATATATGTGTACATACAAACACTTGTATAGCCTCCATTATATTATTTCCTTCCTGAACTTCACAGAAATTGCTAAAAAGACGGCTGACTACAGCATTCCACAAGTTCTTCTAGGTAAATGTTGTCGATGTTTTGTGGATGTGAAAGTAAATGTGGATGATGATGTAATGTGGTGTGTGATTGTATACTACCTTCTTACATTAAACGGTTTTCTCATCAAAATGTAATATTAGGGTAAGGGTTTTGGCTATAATTATGAGTGGTGCTAAGTTTAAGTTAGGATATGTTCGGGAAAGAAGAAGCATGAATCATTACTTGGCCGGTCTACTTGTTTGGTGTTCTATAAAATGCCTTGCAAAATCATGATTTACCCTGAGATTTTTTTTTACTCTGCCATTTTATTTCAGGCATTCTATAATTCTATACCGGTAACATAAATAACACGTTTTCTCAAGGGAGAAATGAGATTTCAAATTGATACTTTAAAAATAAACGAGGCAGGAAAAATAAATATTTTATAGCGCAGTGTAGAATTTACTCACAACTTATGTTGTCTGCACTTGTTTTTTAAATTTGTATCACTTGCTCATATACAAGCATGTACTCTCTCACGCACACACACGCATGCAAACACTCAAACACATACGCATGCACACAAACACTACTTAAAGAACCTTTCAAATTAACAATTACTTTTTTCAATATTCTCAGCATGGGATATTATGCATATTGCCAAGGAAGGTAATATTTTAAAAATATTCTTTTTAAAACTTTTGTATTTCTAATTACACACACACGTACACGCACCTATGAATACATAAATCAAATTAATGAAAAAAAAAACAACTGAAAATCATGACAAGAATAAAAAATAAAATTGTTTCTCTTTGTTTACGCATTGCTTATTTACCTTTTAGGAAACATTTACACTTTTTGGATTTTGGCTATTAGTTAAAATATGTAATGTTTTATGTAATGTCTCCGTGTTTCTTTCAATAATTCTCCTATTTTGTTTTTAAGCCCCAGCTGACTCCTCTGACCTGAATCTCTTATTATCAATAGGTAATACAATATATATTTGGTAATTAACTATTATCAATAGGCAATACAATATATATTTGGTAATTAAATATTATCAATAGGTAATACAATATATATTTGGTAATTAAATATTATCAATAGGTAATACAATATATATTTGGTAATTAAATATTATCAATAGGTAATACACTCAAATCTGATAATTAAAAACATTTTTAATGAGTGGTTCTTTCAGGCATTGCTTTTGATGCGAATCCACTGCTACCTCCCCCCTTCCACGAGCACACCCATCGCCCCCCTCCCTTCCACTATGAATAAATAGAGAAAATATACAATTTAAAAGAGGAGGAAATATACTCCAGCCATACTTAAATTGCCCCCCCCCCCGAGGTAAAAGTCCCCGCCTCCCGCTAAATGTCTGAGTAAAAACCTGTATAAAACTCACATTCAGTGTTTCTTCCAGACTTTTTTCTCCGGGGGGGGGGGGGGCACTTGAAATTTTCGGGGGGGGGGGGGGGGCGGTAAACTTTCTTTGGGGGGGGGGGGCGGACACTGTTAAAAGTATATATTTTCTATATAAATTATATAAATTTCATTTCGTTCGGGGGGGGGGGGGGGGCGGTAAAAAAATTTCGGGAGGGGGGGGGGCTTTGCCCTCCCCGAAGAAATGCCTGGAAGAAACTCTGCTCACATTATTTCTGTTTTTGTTGTTGTTATTGCACCATCAGCCTAGGATGATGTTCTATTTGTATGCATCGTGTCTTTCTTTTAATAATATTCGCACAGACCGCGCCAAGATGTAAAGATCGTGTTGTAACGCTAGTCATGCATGCTTTCTTATTAATTCCTGACTTGGCGAACCGTACTGTTTGGCTTAAATAGGGAGGAGGGGGGGGGGGGGAGAGTTGGGTTTCGGAAGCACTTGGGTTTCAAGCTGGGTTTTGAAATTCATTCTAAGAACTAACTAGTCCAGCTCTAAAACTAATGTGTCAATTATATTTTTGTTTCTTCCCTACTGTATTATTGATAATAAAGTGTTCGTTTGTCCTATTTAATATAGGAACAAATAAATAATTTTCAGCAGTTTGTATTTTATAAAATGCGATATCGAAGTTGTTCAGAAATATTATTAAATGGGAATTATTAAATACATAATATGTAGACAGCTTTTATAACATTTCTTAAATTTTAGAAAGTTCGCAATACATTTTGAAATTACCTTTGCCAAAAATTCTTATTACCTAGGACCAAAAGAAATTTTTACTTTTTTTTTTAGATTTGACATAACACCTTTTTATAATATTTCCGTCTGTTTTCAGTTTTCTAAAATAATTTTGTTTTTGAATTCACAGTTGCCATGCCGAAAATTAGCCTCTTGTTATCAAAAGGTAACACATTTTGAAATTAATAGCCTATTTAAAATATTTAAAATACTCATTATTGTTTTTTAATTATAAGAGTTATTATCATTAATGCATTATAACAGTTTTTTAAAATATTTTACGTTTTTTATCCTTTTGTTTATATTGAAAGACTTTTTTTTTTTACTTGGAGCTGTAAATGTAACGTTTGTCATAAATCAAATTAATTTCGAAGCCGTCGTTAATAACAGTAATTTTTTCAAGAACATTTTTTTTTAAATTTTGACATTTTTAATAAATATCGCTCTGAGTTACTCTAACACGAATTTTTCAAGAATGTTTTTCACATTTTCAATTTAACATACTTAATAAGCAATGCTCAAGCCCTAATTTTTTAAGAACTTTAAAAAAAAAAAAATTCAAATTAAACAAACAAATAAATATAGCTCGTACACTAATGTTCAAGAAAGTCATTTACCTTGTTTCTGCAGCTCTGTTGCCTGACAAGATGAAGAAAAGTCGGAGTTAACCTCTCCAGCCAATGTAGCCCCAACCTGGATAATTGTGTTTAGATCTTTGATTTCATCTCTCTGGATTCTGTTTCAAAGTTGATATTTAACTTACTTAACTTTTTTAAAAAAAAAAGCAATAGCAATGCGTGATACAAGTGTTTAAAATTTGTATATAAAAAAATTAATTTGCACTCGTTTTCAGAGCGAGCATCTCAATGTAAAAATGTGTGGATTAGAATTGACAATGTTTCTAATGGATAAAGTACAAAGACTCCTATAGTTAATATTTGGTTGTGTTTACAAGCTTTCAAATGGATTGTTCAAGAGATTTAATTTGACGAGTGTCTTATAACTGGTTCGTCTAGTTTCAAAAACATTAGCCTACATTGGTAAATTAGTTTGGAGTATGTTAGGCAGATGTCTTTATAGTTAACCTTCACGACTTTCTGACTAGATACTTTCTTGTTACTGACGAGTTACTGACTGGCTAGTTACTGAGTGACTAGTGACTGAATGACAAGTTACTAACTAGTTATTGACTGGCTAGTTACTGAGTGACTAGTGACTGAATGACAAGTTACTGACTAGTTATTGACTGACTAGTTACTGACTGGCTAATTACTGAGTAACAAGTTATGTCTTGGGTGGTTACTAGTGTTTAAAGCCACCTTGCTTTATTCTGAACATTTAAAAAATTATTTCTTCTGTTCTATATATATTTAAATTGCTGTTGGGCCCAACCATGATTTATGTGTGGCGATTCATACATTTAGATGGTCTAAGGTAGGCACAGCTGTTGATTTTAATTTAAGGAGAAGTTGTCTTAATTGGAATAATTTTAAGATTGTTTTGTTTTAATAAAGATATGATTACACAATAAATTTCGTTCTGTGTTTATATCGAGAAGTAAAAAAAAAGAATTTTAAAACAAAAATTAACATTTGTCTACCGACATCAGAAGCTGTGTTTAATGAGATTAAGAGTTAATCTCTCATCTCATTGATTACAGCTGGTGTTTGGTGTGTGTGTGGGGGGGGGGGGGTGGAAGTGAGAACAGATAATGACATATGTGGGTCTCTAGAACAAGCATTAGACCTGTATCAGTTGGGCTGGTTCTACAGCACAGCAATGAGGTCAGCCTGGGCAGCGTTTGGAAACACTCGAAAACTCTATTCCACACAGTAACCAGTGGAGTGCTCATTGTCCGCAGTAACCAGTGAATAGAGTAATGTCCACAGTAACCAGTGATCTCAGTCAGTGTCCACAGTAACCAATGATCTCAGTCAGTGTCCACAGTAACCAGTAAACACTGACAAACGCAAAGTCCCTACTAGAACTACTTTTAAATGTCAAGTGATATTAAATTATATATACGAGCCGGCCCGCGGCATAACATACGCCGCTATTTAGTTGTTTCTAATTTTCAATAATTCATAATTTGTGAATTCGACAGTACCAACGCTGACACTGAAAATATTTCTTTAAAACACTATAAGTAGCTCGTTAAGGACCATAAGCCCCCCCTTCCTTCCCTCCCCCCCCTCCTCCCCCCCCCTACGTTTAAAATCGTTGGCTCTGCTTGTAAACATTTAGAGTGAACACAGCTCACTAAAACCATGTAGGGGTGGGGAGGTAGGGAGAGCGTTTGCAGCTTGTTTTCTAACGGCTCGAAGAAGAGAATTATATATATACGAGCCGGCCCGCGGCATAACATACGCCGCTATTTAGTTGTTTCTAATTTTCAATAATTCATAATTTGTGAATTCGACAGTACCAACGCTGACACTGAAAATATTTCTTTAAAACACTATAAGTAGCTCGTTAAGGACCATAACCCCCCCCCCTTCCTTCCCCCCCCCCCTCCCCCCCTACGTTTAAAATCGTTGGCTCTGCTTGTAAACATTTAGAGTGAACACAGCTCACTAAAACCATGTAGGGGTGGGGAGGTAGGGAGAGCGTTTGCAGCTTGTTTTCTAACGGCTCGAAGAGGAGAATTATATATATAGATATATATATATATATATATATATATATATATATATATATATATATATATATATATATATATTTATATATATATATATATATATAATATATATATAATATATATATATATATATATATATATATATATATATATATAAAATATATATATATATATAATATATATATATATATATATATATATATATATATATATATATATATATATATATATATATATATATATATATATATATATATATATATAATTTTTACATCCCCCCCTCAAACTTTTGATTTGCACCCCCCCCCCCCTCAAACTTTCGATTTGCAACTCCCCTCATACTTTTTATATATATATACCGAGGGGTCTATGGGGGGGGGGGGTTATGACCCCCTACCCCCCCCCCCCCCCCCCTGCCTACGCCACTGTGGTACTGGTAGTGAGTGTATAATGCATGAACTTTATGATATAAGTATTGTTAATCTCCAGTTCGGCGAGATGTCTATAGTTGTAGCCTAACTACCTAGATTCGGTTTTTGGACCGTCGATGCGAGCCTGAGGTATGCAGGCGGCAGGCATGTCATCCTGATGCGACGCAGTATCCCGTTGACGCTGTTCAGGGATCGATCTATAGGCTACCGCTACAGGTATACTCCACATCTGTGAGGGGATAATACTTGTGTCATCGAGGATTTCTATAGTTGTAGCCTTCCTGGCTAGATCGCTAACGTAACAGTCTGAATCATGCAGGCGACAGGCATGTCATTCTGCAATGCGGCAGGACTGTCTACTGATCTCCTAGGCTACATCTATAGTCAGAAATGTATTAGTAGGCTAAGTACATGTACTTGTGCTGCTCTAAGTTTGATAGCATTCACGTAGAACGTGGGTGTCTTTATATTGTGAATATTATACTAACTTCTGTGATAAGAAAGAAGTGAAAGTAATCAACCGAATTGATGAATCTCAGGTTATAGATACGTCATACTCTTTGCCAAGCCAGAGAAACTGTAAGAATATGGTACTGGTAGTTCTCAGAAGCAGTAATTCTTACATCTTCCAGCTAGTACGTTAGGCGCCTGCAAATTTTGGTAAGTAAAGTTTTTTCGTGTTTACAAAATATCGTGTAACACATCAACTGAAAGCGGAATCCCGTCCGTGCAGTTTAATCAAGCAACTATTGTCACAAATCGACCGTTGTCACGTTAGTGACAGCGTTTTACGGTCTAGCCATGACTAAGTTAGCTAGCTGTCATCTGCGGATGTGCAGCCATTCGTTTACTAGTGTGTTCCCGGCATTACGCAAACAGAGCAGCGTTGTCACCGTCATCGTGGAGTCAAGCATTTGCTTGAATGAATCTGAGCATCTGCTTCTCTGCAGCAGATGTTTAGTACATGTTTAATTGTTGGGTTGTGTGGCTTAGAACTTTGGTTGACGTGGTGGCGTCACTCACTAAAGAGTTTAGCCTATATTGGTAACATAGCAACAATTACAGCTTACAGCATATGCAAATATGTTTTATATGCAAGCATAGGCTATATGTTTGTAGTGGAGGCTATGTTCTGCGATATGTGGAAAACACGGTAGTTAGTGGTGTGCTACACGTCAACGTAGAAGCTTGCTGTTTTGTGGGACACAAGAAACAGATGAAACTTGTCGTACACAGCTGTTGTTGTAGTGCTGGTGTGGTGTGAATGTCGGTCAGTGGTAGCTTTTGCTGACTCATGCAGGCGTGTCGAGCAACCTGCTGGTGTTTTCGTAGTGCCGTGGGGCACAGTTGTCACGCTGTGGTCACGTTGTGGTCACGTTGTGGTCACGATGTGGTCACGTTGTGGTCACGCTGTATTCACGCAGTGGTCAAGTTGTGGTCACGCTGTATTTACGCTTTGGTCAAGTTGTGGTCACGTTGTACCGTCCAGACGTGACAACATTGGCAAGCAGGTTTCTGCGGACATTCAGCGATCAACCATCGCTGAAGGTTGAAATATCTACATACTAACCAAATAAAAAGATCACGTCTACATAGCAACCAAGCTATAAGAACAAATCTACATAGCAACCAAACTACAAGAACAAATCTACATAGCAACCAAACTACAAGAACAAATCTACATAGCAACCAAACTACAAGAACAAATCTACATAGCAACCAAAGTACAAGAACAAATCTACATAGCAACCAAAGTACAAGAACAAATCTACATAGCAACCAAACTACAAGAACAAATCTACATAGCAACCAAACTACAAGAACAAATCTACATAGCAACCAAACTACAAGAACAAATCTACATAGCAACCAAACTACAAGAACAAATCTACATAGCAACCAAAGTACAAGAACAAATCTACATAGCAACCAAAGTACAAGAACAAATCTACATAGCAACCAAACTACAAGAACAAATCTACATAGCAACCAAACTACAAGAACAAATCTACATAGCAACCAAAGTACAAGAACAAATCTACATAGCAACCAAAGTACAAGAACAAATCTACATAGCAACCAAAGTACAAGAACAAATCTACATAGCAACCAAACTACAAGAATAAATCTACATAGCAACCAAACTAAAAAAACAAATCTACATCGCAACCAAATAAGAACAAATCTACATAGCAACCAAACTATAAGAACAAATCTACATAGCAACCAAAGTACAAACACAAATCTACATAGCAACCAAAATACAAGAAAAATCTACATAGTTACTAAACTACAAGAAAAATCTACATAGCAACCAAACTACAAAAACAAATCTACATAGCAACCAAACTACAAAAACAAATCTACATAGCAACCAAACTACAAGAACAAATCTACATAGCAACCGAAGTAGAAGTAAACATCTACACAGTAACTAAACTAGAAGAAAATTAACAACAAACACCTAATTACCACCCCATCATCCCCCGCCTGAAGGAAATAGAAAAAATATTGCATCGCAAAAATATTAACCATCCTTACATGCGAACATGCGCATCAGTTTTTTCTTGCATTAATAGACACAAACAATGAACGCAACATTCCGGAAATGAGTAGATCTATTGTTTTGGTACCCTTGATGGGTTCTAGCGAAGGTTAACATTTTGTTACCGGTGACACCAAAGCTCATCTAGATCTACATAGTCATTTGATTGCTTCATATCTCGGTTAACTGTTGATTTATTCACTGTCAGGTTGGTTTTTTCTCAGTAATTTTATTCTAAATTTTTACAGATTTATCTAGATCTAATTTCTCTTGTATTTTTTATTCCCATATTCTAGCTTCAAATTTTAGATCTAGATCTAGATTTTAGATCTAGATCTAGATCTAGATATCTAGTAGTCTACTCAGATATTAGACTTAAGATTCTAGATCCAGATCTGGAATTTGTTCTAAATTTTTAGCTCCATGAGTTTTCAGCTCCACGAGTTTTCGGTTATGCCTACATAGGCATGTATAATTGTCCGATTAAGGGTGTGAGGCTATCGTTTTGTATTTATTAATGAAAATGGGTGATTTATTTGTGACCTACCGAAAAAACACACCTAAAATGGTGGATCCACCTCCCCCATCCACAAGTTTACACTTTGAACAAGCCCCCCGCCCACTACCTCGCAGTTGCAAATTGTTTTTAGTTGCTATAGTAAATACACTCATTTGAATATTGAAAAAAATAAAAAAATTAAATGCTGACAATTTTTGGAATGGAATAAAAATCAAATTATAAATTATGTATCTTTGAGATTAGTTGCTTTATACATTACCAGGTAATGATTAGGGAGAAACTTGTTACTTTTTACACTTGAGATAATGGCAACTTGTTTGGTTAGAGATTTATTAAATATGAGATGCTGAATACTTAATAGTTAGAGAGTTGATACCAGTGGCGTAGCCAGGATCGTCTCAAGGGGGGGGGGGGGGTTTCCAATTTTTACCCGGGGACAAACTTTCGATTTTTGCACCCCCCTCAAACTTTTGATTTGCACCCCCCTCAAACTTTCGATTTGCACCCCCCCCCCCCTCAAATTTTCGATTTGCACCCCCCTCATACTTTTTTATATACCGAGGGGTCTATGGGGGGGGGGGGTTTAATGACCCCCCCCCTAACCCCCCCCCCCCTGCCTACGCCACTGGTTGATACATTTGAGATAACAGCTACTGTTTAGCGACAGAATTGTTATATTTTAGATTCCAAATACTGGTAAGAAGAGACTTGTAAAATTTAAAATTCCAGCTACTGTTAAGTAACTTAATGACGTGACTGACGGTCAGTAGACCTTCATTAAGATTACTGATTAGCACAGATTAACTGAGCTTCAAAGATGCCCTATTATTTTCCAGCTTAAACATGAATTTGTTTCAACTATGGATTTGCCTGGCCGAACAATACGGTGATATAGGTAAGTTTGAACCCGTTAATGCTTGAGTTTACCTGTAGGTGGTAAGTTTTTAACCCTGTAATGCTTGAGTTTACCTGTAGGTGGTAAGTTTTTAACCATGTAATGCTTAAGTTTACCTGTAGGTGGTAAGTTTTAACCCTGTAATGCTTGAGTTTACCTGTAGGTGGTAAGTTTTTAACCATGTAATGCTTAAGTTTACCTGTAGGTGGTAAGTTTTAACCCCTGTAATGCTTGAGTTTACCTGTTGGTGGTAAGTTTTTAACCCTGTAATGCTTGAGTTTATCTGTTGGTGGTAAGTTTTAACACCTTAATACTTGAGTTTACCTGTAGGTGGTAAGTTTTTAACCATGTAATGCTTGAGTTTACCTGTTGGTGGTAAGTTTTTAACCCTGTAATGCTTGAGTTTGCCTGTTGGTGGTAAGTTTTTAACCCTGTAATGCTTGAGTTTACCTGTTGGTGGTAAGTTTTTAACCCTGTAATGCTTGAGTTTACCTGTAGGTGGTAAATTTTAACCCTGTAATGCTTAAGTTTACCTGTTGGTGGTAAGTTTTTAACCCTGTAATGCTTAAGTTTACCTGTTGGTGGTAAGTTTTTAACCCTGTAATGCTTGAGTTTACCTGTAGGTTGTAAGTTTTTAACCCTGTAATGCTTGAGTTTACCTGTAGGTGGTTAGCACTGATCCCTTAATGCTTATATCTTTTTGTTGGTGATACTTATTAAACCCTTAATGCTTGAATTTATTTCCAAATGTGTAAACAATTATTGTTGTCTCTCTGATTATTAACACGTATTCTACTGTACAACCACTGCCAGGCCCTATTGTATGTATATCTATCTACGTATAGCAACCGTATGTAGATCTATCTACGTATAGCAACCGTATGTATATCTATTAACACCAGGATTACCCCCAAAACCAGAAGTGGTAGAGGTAGAGGTAGAGAAACCATCAATGCTGCTTACCTTTTTATTGGCATTGAACGTCATCCTTCTCCTCATCAATTTGGTTTTACTGTGTAAGTATGCTTTTATCTAAAAATAATACTTGTCCGTATTATGAATGACCATGTTTAAAACTCAGGCTTATTAATTTAAGCCAAACCGAAAAAACGAGTTAGGCCTCATTAATATCAACTTGAAACACATTCAGACTAGAGCTTGTAGAATTCTAATCAGGAATGTAACTAGACGAAGTAAAGCTGCCGCCAACATCCAAATGGCACCCTATAATTTAATTTAACCACGTTTCTCATCGTTTCTCTTTGTATGTATCTATGTATGTATATCCACCAGTTTGGTGTTTCTGGGTGCGAAGAGGTATGTTTATATTATTGTATTTTTAAATGTTCACTTGCTGAATATATTTTATATATTGAGTTCATTGAATTTTTAATGTTTGAACAGTTTTGTAGATTTTGTTATTTTAGAGCGATTATACCAGAAAATTAAATAAAACACGGTCCCATTTTGAGCCGACATTAAACACCCCACTCCCCCACCACGCGAGTTTTCACATCGATACAAAATGTTAGCGATAAATTAACCACCAACCCCTCCCAATGATATACACACAATTCTAATAAAATAACACATGCCCTCATGAAAATAAGGTATTCTTGATAAGTATCTGACTTTCTTTCCATAGATAAGTTTCTGACCTCCCCATAGATAGGTATCTGACCTTCTCCCCATAGATAAGTATCTGACTTTCTCCCCATAGATAAGTGTCTGACTTTCTCCCCATAGATAAGTATCTGACTTTCTCCCCATAGATAAGTATCTGACTTTCTCCCCATAGATAAGTATCTGACTTTTTCAAAGATAAGAAATCTGTCGTTCTTAAAAGGTGGGAGTGTAGTAGTATTGTAAGGATTGGGTGTGAGTGTATTAAGATGAGATTAAGGATTGGGTGTGATTGTATTAAGATGAGATTAAGGATTGGATGTGAGTGTATTAAGATGAGATTAAGGATTGGGTGTGAGTGTATTAAGATGAGATTAAAGATTGGATGTGAGTGTATTAAGTTGAGATTAAGGATTGGGTGTGAATGTATTAAGATGAGATTAAGGATTGGGTGTGAGTGTATTAAGATGAGATTAAGGATTGGGTGTGAGTGTATTAAGATGAGATTAAGGATTGGGTGTGAATGTATTAAGATGAGATTAAAGATTGGGTGTGAGTGTATTAAGATGAGATTAAGGATTGGGTGTGAATGTATTAAGATGAGATTAAGGATTGGATGTGAATGTATTAAGATGAGATTAAGGATTGGGTGGAAGTTTTAGGATTATGGAGATTGGGTTTTGAGTGTATTAAGGTGATATGTAAGGATTGGGTGGAGTGTATTCAGATTACATGTAAGAATTGAGTGGGAGTGTAGTTAGGTGAGATGTAATGATTGTGTATTAGGATGGTGAAGATTGGGTTTTGAGTGTATTAAGGTGATAAGTAAGGATTGGGTGTGAATATAGCAGGGTGAGTTGTAATGATTGGGTAGATGTGTATCAAGGTACAAGCATCTGATACCATTTTTCTTCTACTTTAAATCCACAGTAAAAAACACGGATGCTTGTTTGGAGCAGAGAAAAGTTACAGTAGAAACAACTGGTAATTTTTTTTGGGTCATAAACACTGTAGATGTATGGCTTGTTTATTAAATAAATATATATACCTTATTACAGGGGTTCCCAACCCCGTGCCCGCGGGAGCCATGGCGCCCTCCGAACGATTCGTATGTGCCCGCCTCTCACTATTCGACCGAGACAGAATTTATTTCATAAACATTATTGAAAGGTTGAAGGGGATGGAAATCGAAAGTTTTGTCCCCGGGTGACGGGAAGGGTCGCTACGCCTCTGGAAGGAGTTTGTCGTTTTAAAATAGGTGGTGCCCGCCACCCTACCGATATTTTAGATTGTGCTCTAGAGTAAAAAAAGGTTGGGAACCCCTGCCTTATTATATATGAATCGATATGTAAATAAACAATATATTTTATTTCTATATATCATTAGGTTTTATATTTGCTTTTTCAATTTTATTTGTAAGGTTTTTAAATAATGATCAAATCAGGAAAAAGTGTAATACATTTGAACATATAAAATACATCTTAGTACATAAGCTAACAGGTGTGAAATAAAAAAACACGAACACGTGACCAAAGCCAAAAAGAAAAACCGGAAAAACAAACGTTACAATATTTTTAAAGCCTGACAGTTGACGGATAAATGTATTAACCAGCAGATTGTAGAATTTTCACTGTAGTACATAGCTCTTCCAGAACCGAGGTGCTTAAAGATTTTATACACTGGCTTTGGTAGTTATAAATCTGGGTTCAATCAGGTTCCTAAAGTAAGACAAGCATTGCACGTGGATTATTTTTTCACAATAATTGTATTTTGCACTATTCAATGTCAAAACAGAGAAAGTATTATATATATATATATATATATATATATATATATATATATATATATATATATATATATATATATATATATATATATATATATATACGTATTTTATATCACACATTATTTACTTCTAATGTACTAATGATTAAAATTCACACCAACAGGTTCCCAAGCTAGTAATGAAAGCTGCAGTTGCCTCCCTGGTAATTATATTTGTTTATTTTAGAAGTTATACAAAATCTTTGTTAGATGTACAACATATTTTGCTGTAGGGCTACACTAGTACTAGAGTGCGAATCTCTCTCTGTGTGTGTGCATTTGTATGTCTGTGTGTGTGTTAGGCCGTGGCTGGAAGTTCGGCCACTTCTCGAAGTGCCATAAAATATCCTGGCCAACATATTAAGATGTGCTACCTGTATTGCAAACTGTATCCGGATAAACAAGTAATCATCATGAACAAGAAGAAATCAGTTTTTTTTAATCAGCCAGAACATAGCTACGACCTTTTTTTCTGACTGACGTATCGCCCCATGCCTTTTCACAAAAATAAACTTATTAATATTCATTTATAATTTTCTAATAATTTTTTTAAAATCACGACAGGTTCCGAACCTAGTGTTGAAAGTGGCAGAAGCCTCGAAGGTACTTTATTTTGTTTATTTTTTTTAAAGTTAGTTGTCTGTACAAGATCTACAACATTGTTACTGCTAGACTCCTATAGCACTTGAAGACAAGCATTGATGGTTCTTTCTTTACGGTCTTTCTGTTTTGCAGTTATATTTTTAAAAAAAAATTTGTGGTAGTGTTGATTTAGCTTGAGTGCCATATAATGTTGGGGTTTCCTAATTTCCGTAATGATCTGCATTTATTTGTTTCTCACAGACAACAAAACTAGTGTCGAAGTCTGCACTCAAGGTGATACATTTTAAATTTTTTTAAACATCATACACCAACTTTCATATATTTAGTGTAAATCGTATAAAATTCAGTAGTTTAGTACTACTTTAATCTTACAACAATTGCAATGGGAAAAGGAAATATTCCATTATACTTTTTTTGTATTAAAAATAGGGTTTAATTAAGTAATTGATTTAAATTGATTTTCAGTCATCTTAATGTACCTTTATAAAAGACATGCAAAAACTATATATATATATATATATATATATATATATATATATATATATATATATATATATATATATATATATATATATATATATATTCAGAATCCAAAGGCTGCCAAACCATGGTTAAACACTGCGATAAAGGTAAAATATGTTGATTATCATATATATGTATGTGAATGTGCATGTGAATATGCATATGGATGTTAATGTGAATGCAACTATGAATGTCTATTTATTTGATTATGTCGAAAGTCTTGACAAACATTTAAATGTCATTATAAAATATCTGATAAATACATTAATACCTAATTAATTTCCTAATGAACATCCGTTTATCCACAGCAAGCCAGACTGATGATGTCATCGTAGGTAACACATTTTAAAAATTATATCTGCTTTACAGTTAGTTTATCAAAACATGTAGCTGTTTTTTTTTCATAACTGTTCTTTTCTAGTTAATTTAGCAAGTTAAAGTTATATAATCTAAAGAACAAGGCAAAACTTCTGGGATGAAATAGGCACACAATTTCCTATAGTTTAAGTATAACACATATACTGTCAAGGCGGAAGGAATGAAACATATAATTATGTAATGTCATACTTAAGTCTGTATCTGTATTGGAGGGGGATGTCACTTAAGGGCGAACCCTAAGAAGATTTTATTGTTCAACATAATGAATTTACGAATGAATGAATTTTTTAAATAAATTGAACATTCCCGAAGGATAAAATAATTTGCCTTTCAAACTCCAACGACGTGAAACGAATTATTTTCAAGAAATCGCTTTCCGTCCAATAAGTTATAAGATTCCATTCTCTCTTGGTTCTATACTTGTGCTGCCTTGTTCAGTTTGTGCTTTTAACATGGCTGTGAATACATAGATCTGATTGAGGTGGGGGGGGGGGGAGGGTGGGTGAGAAATCACACTTGCGATGAATTCATTGGTCTAATGGGGGGGGGGGAGGGAGTCACAGTTTGTTGTGAACACATAGATCAGTTGGGGGGGGGGGGGGGATCACACTTGCTGTGAATACATCGGTCTAATGGGGGGGGGGCGAGGGAATCACACTTTGATGTGAATATATATATATATCTGATGGGGATCACAGTTTGGATGGGGTAATGTTCGTGATATTGTGGTGTATCAAATCGTGTTGTAAGCAGGAGGGTTTGTATACGATCACAGTTCCTGTTCCTGATATTGTGTTGTATCTAAACATATTGTATACGATTACAGTTCCTGTTCGTGATAGTGTGTTGTATCTAATCATATTGTATACGATCACAGTTCCTGTTCGTGATAGTGTGTTGTATCTAAACATGTTGATGTGCCAGACTAGGGTATACACATTTTGTTTTAAATCCACAGTTGCCACCCCTGATGATGCTATCTTAGTGGCTAAAGGTAATGAAATAAATAATAAACTTAAGTATAAGATTGGTTTTTTAAGTTTAATCGTGTGCTTGTTAGAATATGAGCTATCATCGCGGATATTTCTACAGCCTGGGAACTATTGCTGGTGTTCTAGATTTTATATATATATATATATATATATATATATATATATATATATATATATATATATATATATATATATATATATATATGGTGACAGGACAAATGATCTCAGGACAAATGATCTCAGACAAAATATCTCAGACAAAATATCTCACGGACAAATGATCTCAGGACAAATGATCTCAGGACAAATGATCTCACGGACAAAAGATACCAGGACAAAATATATCAGGACAAATTATATCATGGACAAATGATCTCAGACAAAATATCTCAGACAAAATATCTCACAGCGAAATTTTAATAGTAATTACGATGATTTTAGTTGAACTTTTTTTATTGACTGTTAATATGGTTTTGTTTACATTTTTACGTATAATAATTGTGAATAAAATGAATTAGTGAAACCTAACAAACCATCAAAAGGTGTATTAAGCAATTGTAGATTTGATTTGAAAAAGTAAAAATTAAAACAAACTTACTCTTTTAGCCTGAAAGGTATAATAAATGATAATGTATAAAACAAATGCTGAAATGTTTACACAGTATTTCCTTCATCTCCCACCCACAGTACTAGCCGCCCTCACGCTCACGGCCTACCTAGTCAAGTCATCCCGTGGACGTGCCTTGATGCTGTAAACCGCTGATGCTGCTGGTTCTGATGGTGGTTGTGATGTGAACCCTGACATAGATGAGGCTCAATTGCTTTTGAGATAAACGTCTTATAGTTTAGATTTCGATTTTATTTAGTCATTTTAGTTAACTATTAAAAAATAATAACTATTACTATCACACAAAAATAGTGTGAATATTCGTGACCAAACAGGTCAGGACCAAAATGATCACTAGTTTTCAAAAGTTCTAGTCCTTATTGTTAAAATGTGCTTTAAAATAAACAGTTTGGTCTATTTGTTACCATGTTATAAATATTAGCCTACTACTACCATCAAACTTAGAATTAGGTTAGGCATTTGTAGGCCTAGTTGATTTCGTAAAAATACAATCTCATAAGCCTAACTATTAAATGAGCTATTTACATTAACAGTTGTTATGTTTATCAATTTCTATTATACAATGTATAACGTTATAGTTAGCTTTTGGTATTACGTAAAATTATGTTGTAAAAGTTAAAAAATACGTTCTTTGTTTTGTGATATGAAATTGAAATTACCTTATAGTAGTGTTTAACCCTTTATCTACTGACGGTACTTATAAGTACCACTTTAATTAAGTGCCTGTATAATTTTTAATTTAATACGAATTTTAAAAATTATTGGTGTAATTAATAGTATTATCTCCCCTGAGTAGCCGGTAGTTGGAGGGATCGATGTACTTTGAAAATTTTTGGTATGGCGCCAATTTCAATGTCTTGCTGTATCGGTAGTTTACAATTGTTCTGTAACGTTCTCACACACGTTTCTGATTTCCTTTTGTTTTACCTTATTCTTGAAGTATTCATCCCCAAATATTTTTTATTGGCATCTCCAATAGTCAGGCAAACGTGTTTAACTTCTAGTTATACAATTTTAATGAATTTGTCTTTGTATTAGATCGATGTTTACAAGTGGACTTATAAGTACCGTCAGGGCACACGGACATTTTTTTAGGATTTTTAGGAAATTGCAGATTTTTGATGTGGAGTGACATAAATATTATTTTGATAATTAATTATCGAAATGTACTCAAAAAATGATATTTACACATTTATAAGAAAGTTAGCATATGGTTTACATAAGAAATATTGTAATTACATGTTGATTTCTAGTAGTAAAAGAATAACAAGAATAAAGGTAGCAGTTGCTGGCTCGTTTACTAGGTTTAGTATACTTCATTTGTATACCAAAGCCTGGTTCTAGTTGTAAGATTTAATTTGTTAGTTATATTTACTGCAATAAACTGTCTTGCATACAATAACTAGTATTTACGTAATGTATATCTGTAGACTAGTAATAGTCGATACTTCTGCATATAAAATAGATATCTATGGTAAATTTTAATCCGTCACCAGGAAACAGTAGGCCACTTCGGCTATCCTAAACACATTGAGCTCACTTCTATTTATGAACTTTACACTGTAGTGTCGACTTGTCTTAACATTCTAGTAGGCTACAATTTTACTAGTATTACTAGTAGTTGTGTACTGAATGACTAGGCTTTTGTTTGTTTATGCGGCTCATTGTAATAGCTATTGGAAGCTTCCAGCAAAAGCATGTTCAGTGCGGCAACCGTTGCTACACCAGAATGACCACAGACAAGAATGAGGGAGCATGACATGTCGGCAACTTTTGCTGTATTTGAGGTCTAAGATGTGTTCCGATAGAAAATCCAATAAAAATCGTACTCAAAATATACTTTTGTGCTGTATTTATGTGTGAAAATTACAAAAAATGACGGTTATAATGATTGCCATGTTATTAGTTAATAAATTGTATCGTTTGTTCGTGTTTTGTAAAAAAAAAATTTTTTGAAAAAAATGTCCTACATTCCTGACGGTACTTATAAGTACCAATATCTGTTTGGGCCATTAAAAATTTATGAAACGAAATTTCCTTCGACATATGCTTTAAGTATGCCAAAAGCAATATGATAACACATTGGTTAAGAAAAAATGTCATTCAGAACATAATTCCGTAAATAAAGGGTTAACCTACTTAAAAAATCATATATTTTGCTACCCTGAAACCATCGAGATGTTAAGGTATATTTTGAGTTTCAAATGTTGCTTGTTGAAAGCCCAGCCATCATTATGTGTTGTCTAGTGTTCCGTTATAAAATATTTTCATAAGCCTATTAATTAGCCAATTAGCACTCTTGGAAGTGCATAGGTTTGGGCACAAAATACAACTATTTGAAATTGTATGATGCTCTCAAGTAATACTGGAAAGACAACTGCTTACACCACACTATTTACGGTTTTGAAATGGTAATATATCTTTGAAATATAAACACGATGTACGTATGTGTCATACTTCTTAAACTATTGAAGTGTATTTTATAAATGTGTTTAATGAAATGGATAAAAACGTGTTCTGTAGAGAGGAACTTTCATATGTCTGCTACATATGGCAATTTTTAAATGTGATGTGATATTTGTCAAAAGATCTAGGTTCTAAGTAAGTGCACAGAAATTAATTGAACATCGTTTGTATTGCTAACTCTTGTAGGGACTGCGTTGGTTTATTTTTTAAATTGAAGTTCAATCAGAATTAACATAAGATAGCACCAAGCTATTCATTGCAAGGAAACACAGTTTCGTATGTTTTCCTGATGTGCATTCAATAAAGAGAAGGATCAAGTCATAATATTTATACAATCATGTATAGATTAGCATTATTATATGATTTTTTGTCTTCATGATATCAGAAATTAATTACTCAAACTTACTAATGTATTTAGTATTTGTTTTAAAAAGCATCAGTTCTATAAATAAAATATTTTGTTTACTAATTTTCTTTGTTTATTATTAATATTTATTATTAATTTGTGTGTGTGCAGTTATCATTTGGTGGGATATAGATCAACTCGCCACTGACTCGATGGGATATAGATCAACTCGCCACTGACTCGATGGGATATAGATCAACTCGCTACTGATTCTATGGGATATAGATCAACTCACAGCTGACTCGATGGGATATAGATCAACTCGCCACTGACTCGATGGGATATAGATCAACTCGCTACTGACTCGATGGGATATAGATCAACTCACAGCTGACTCGATGGGATATAGATCAACTCACAGCTGACTCGATGGGATATAGATCAACTCGCCACTGACTCGATGGGATATAGATCAACTCACAGCTGACTCGATGGGATATAGATCAACTCACAGCTGACTCGATGGGATATAGATCAACTCACAGCTGACTCGATGGGATATAGATCAACTCACAGCTGACTCGATGGTATATAGATCAACTCACAGCTGACTCGATGGTATATAGATCAACTCGCCACTGACTCGATGGGATATAGATCAACTCGCCACTGACTCGATGGGATAAAGATCAACTCGCCAATGACTCGATGGGATATAGATCAACTCGCCACTGACTCGATGGGATATAGATCAACTCGCCACTGACTCGATGGGATATAGATCAACTCGCTACTGACTCGATGGGATATAGATCAACTCACAGCTGACTCGATGGGATATAGATCAACTCGCCACTGACTCTATGGGATATAGATCAACTCACCACTGACTCGATGGGATATAGATCAACTCGCCACTGACTCGATGGGATATAGATCAACTCGCCACTGATTCTATGGGATATAGATCAACTCGCCACTGATTCTATGGGATATAGATCAACTCGCCACTGATTCTATGGGATATAGATCAACTCGCTACTGACTCGATGGGATATAGATCAACTCACAGCTGACTCGATGGGATATAGATCAACTCACAGCTGACTCGATGGGATATAGATCAACTCACAGCTGACTCGATGGTATATAGATCAACTCACAGCTGACTCGATGGTATATAGATCAACTCGCCACTGACTCGATGGGATATAGATCAACTCGCCACTGACTCGATGGGATAAAGATCAACTCGCCAATGACTCGATGGGATATAGATCAACTCGCCACTGACTCGATGGGATATAGATCAACTCGCCACTGACTGGATGGGATATAGATCAACTCGCCACTGACTCTATGGTATCAACTCGCCACTGACTCGATGGGATATAGATCAACTCACCACTGACTCGATGGGATATATATCAACTCGCCACTGACTGGATGGGATATAGATCAACTCGCCACTGACGTGATGGGATATAGATCAACTCGCCACTGACTCGATGTGATATAGATCAACTCGCCACTGACTCGATGGGATATAGATCAACTCGCCACTGACTCGATGGGATATAGATCAACTCGCCACTGACTCGATGGGATATAGATCAACTCGCCACTGACTCTATGGAATATAGATCAACTCGCTACTGACTCGATAGGATATAGATCAACTCACAGCTGACTCGATGGGATATAGATCAACTCGCCACTAACTCGATGGGATATAGATCAACTCGCCACTAACTCGATGGGATATAGATCAACTCGCCACTAACTCGATAGGATATAGATCAACTCGTCAATGACTCGATGGGATATAGATCAACTTGCCACTGACTCGATGGGATATAGATCAACTCGCCACTGACTCTATGGGATATAGATCAACTCACAGCTGACTCGATGGGATATAGATCAACTCACAGCTGACTCGATGGGATATAGATCAACTCGCCACTGACTCTATGGGATATAGATCAACTCACAGCTGACTCGATGGGATATAGATCAACTCACAGCTGACTCTATGGGATATAGATCAACTCACAGCTGACTCGATGGGATATATATCAACTCGCCACTGACTCGATGGGATATAGATCAACTCACCACTGACTCGATGGAATATAGATCAACTCACAGCTGACTCTATGGGATATAGATCAACTCACAGCTGACTCGATGGGATATATATCAACTCGCCACTGACTCGATGGGATATAGATCAACTCACCACTGACTCGATAGGATATAGATCAACTCGTCAATGACTCGATGGGATATAGATCAACTTGCCACTGACTCGATGGGATATAGATCAACTCGCCACTGACTCTATGGGATATAGATCAACTCACAGCTGACTCGATGGGATATAGATCAACTCACAGCTGACTCGATGGGATATAGATCAACTCGCCACTGACTCTATGGGATATAGATCAACTCACAGCTGACTCGATGGGATATAGATCAACTCACAGCTGACTCTATGGGATATAGATCAACTCACAGCTGACTCGATGGGATATATATCAACTCGCCACTGACTCGATGGGATATAGATCAACTCACCACTGACTCGATGGAATATAGATCAACTCACAGCTGACTCTATGGGATATAGATCAACTCACAGCTGACTCGATGGGATATATATCAACTCGCCACTGACTCGATGGGATATAGATCAACTCACCACTGACTCGATGTGATATAGATCAACTCACAACTGACTCCGTAGGATCTAGATATAATCACTATCTACATGGGGGAGGGGGGAATTTAGATCTACTTACCACTGGCTCAGGGAGTCAAGATGATTAACAGACTCACTATTGATACCATGACGTGTTCGGTATGTGGCCTTTAATTATTTACTGGCTGCTCTAAATGTAAGGGGAAAATGTAATTAGACTTTATAGACATTTTTATCAGTCTCATCATCAATTGAAACTAATGATGGCAGGTATTCCAACATCTCCAGAACGTCCAATACAACAAACGGACCACATAGGCGTGCCCATAATGGGCGGGTATGGAAGTCTGATGTAGTCCCAGCCTTAGACTACTTCTTCGTTAATGATGATAATTTCTCAAACCCTTAAATCGTGTCTTCAATGTAGCCAAACACTTATATAATTTTTTTTTTGCTTTCTGAATTAATGATGGTTATTAACGGTGGAATTATGTTATGGAGTGAGTTAACTTTACTTCATATATATGCTGAAAATATACAGTTAATAAGACATTATTTTCTCAGAGGGGGTTCGATATATATTGATCACTCCTAATGGAAATAAAATAGGCCTACATCTCTATTTTAATTTTTAGTTTAGCTTTTCTTTCAAGATCTGTTTGGGTTTTTAAAAATTTAAAGTATTTAATAAAATAGTTCTTTATCAAAATCATGTGAACCAAAATTGTACAGTTGTTAAAAATACTATCGAATTCCATATAAGGACGTAATTAAAATTAAAGTGCACACTAAACGGTAGGCCAATTTTCTGACGTGCGCACCATTTTCTACAATCTATTTTTTTGGCATTTGTAAACACAAAAAGTGACCACCATATTCCGGAAATGAAAGTTTTATTGCTTCTTTTAATTGAAATGTAAACAGTAACATGTAGTTTTATTTTTACAAACTATTTCTGCCCAGATCTACACCAATATTAGTTAGTATCTCTAGTTAAAATTATACTAGATCTAGCTCATCTATCCTTGAGTTTTTCCCTTACAACTTATTGATTTCTAGATATAGAGTCTAGACTAGATCTAGATCTAGACTAGAATCTCTAGATCTAGAGTAGAGATCTAGCCACTAAGTTTTACATCACATGACACAGTGACCTAGTCTAGAATAGTCTAGATTCCTAAATTTAACTAAAATCTAGATTTAGATCTTAGATCAAGATTCTAGATCTAGATTCTAGCTAGATCTATATCTTCTGTTTCCTCTAACATTTTCTAGTTCTAGATTCTAGAATTTAGAAACTTTGTCTAGGCCTCCTAAGTGAAGTCGGCTGAAGACTTCTAAATCTAGATCTAGATTCTAGATCTAGATCTAGTAGCTAGTCCTTTGTGAGTGATTAGGAATTTATGCGTTTAGGTACCAGTTATTTTAGTTATAGACTAGATCTAGGCCTATTCTATTAGTTTTAGTAAGGTTTGCAAAATTAATTTTTTTTTTAATTTTAAATTATTAATACTTTGTAATTTAGAATCATTACTTTTGTGGTGACATGTAAGTTTAGTAAATAGTTTTTATAGTTATGTAGTAGATGTATATTCTAATGTAGCTTCAGGATATTTGTGGCTACACATTCATTACAAAGACAAATGCATACTAAGATTTTAGTTTTGTATTATAGCTACTTAGGAGTCATCCATATGTGGTGTGAAGCTTTTTTTGAAGATCCACACATCCCCCCTCCCCACCATCACATATCGTCACAAAAAGCTCGGCGGGCTCCTTAAAATGACGACACACCTCAGCCCACAACCCCCCCCCCTCCTCAAAATCGCAGTTGAATTTCTTTTAAAATATAGATTTGTTTCTAAAATATTGACTTAGCTCAGTCAAAAGAGAGTATATTAATAAATTTGTATTACAATAAAAAAAACAACAAGTTTCTAATATCAGTTTTTAACATTTTTTAAATGCAAAAGTGCGACGTCACACTATCTGAACACCCCCCCCCCCCTCCCTTATCTCACATCGTCACAAAATGACGATCTCTCTCCCCCCCCTCTACCTAGGAATGTGATGTCACACTGAATATTTGTATTGCTAATATAGCCAGTTACGATGTTTTAACTTTAGCCCAAGCATTATACCCTGACACTACCCAATCTATTACCCTGGTCATCCTACTTGACATTACCCCTACCACAGGTCAGATTACTTAGTTACCCCCTGTATAGTACCCCCCCCCCCCCCACACACACACACTAGGACTACCCCCACCCAGATGAGATTACCCAGTTACCCCCTGTATAATTCCTCTCCCCACCCCCACACACACAAACACACTAGGACATTACCCCCTCTTGGCCACTAGGACTTCCCCCCACCCCCGCCTGTGCATTATTCCTAAATCTAATCCATACACTAAGCTGAACTCTAGTTGTGAGGTAATGTTAATTTACATGGATAATTGACAGGGGGTTATTGATCTGTAGATAATGACGGGGTGGTATTGTACATCTACATCACCATATGCCAAGCTTGTACAAGTTTTGGGTTTGTTTATGTTGTTTCGCTTGAGTGAACATTAAGGTTAGGTCCAGGAGAGAACAAAGGTTATGTCAATTAAATTAGGGTTAGGTTTAGGTTAAAAATAGGTATTGAAAATAAAGTGTAAGCAGATCAAAATATATCGAGAAATGTTTAATTTTCCAATTTGAAAAACTTTTGTTAGATGTGAGAGGAAGTCAAGATCTGCGGACACACATATACCACTGACACGCCCCATCAGCTGACGGCCGAGAAGATTTGAGATGTGAGCCCTTATTCTACAGCTTCATTGCCATGGTCGCTCCAATCATTGCATGCCGTTTGCTGTCCATCAACAAATGGCCACGCCCAGGAAATTCATTACTCTGCATTCGCTGCTAACATGTTTGGTCGTGCTTCACTTCCGCCTAACGCCAGCCATGATCGAACCAGCTGTACACAAACCCCAGACTAGAACTAAAGTTGGGAAGAGTTGTCCACCTGGTTACTATGGAGACGCGTGCGAGCACACCTGTCCGCCAGGGTGTGACGGCACCTGTGACGAGATAGGACGGTGCAAGTCCTGCTCTAGACCCGGCGTCCAGCTGCCGGAGTGTCACCGGAAATGCCCAGTCGGAGAATACGGTCGGAACTGTGCTGAGACTTGCAGTGAGATGTGTTGGAATAAGGAGTGTGACGTCATATCCGGGGAGTGTCTGAGGTGTAGTAAACCCGGGTTCAGCTTACCCTCCTGCTCGCGGGGGTGTCTGCCTGGAACTTTTGGACCAGACTGCAAGAGTCTGTGTCCCCTGGTGTGTAGGGAGATGTGTGACCCAGTTAACGGCACATGCAAAGGGTGCTCACACGGCACGGGCCCGCTGTGCTCGATCAACTGCGCCAGTCAAGCGGACAGGGAGGCGTGCAGGCTGTACTGCCCCGGCAGGTGCTTGACCTGGTGCAGCACCAGCACCGGCCGCTGCAGCGTCTGCGTGCCGGGGTACCAGCCGCCCTTCTGCAACAGAACCTGTGACCGCGGTTACTATGGCAACGCGTGCAGCCAGCCGTGCTCCGAGCTGTGCCAGAACAAGACGTGCGAGCCGGTGAGCGGCGTGTGCTACGGGTGCAGGGACGGGTACGTGGGCAGGAAGTGCAACGGTCGCTGCATCCAGGGGTACCACGGGCAGGAGTGTGACCTGCCGTGCTCGGAGATGTGTTTGGACAAGAGCTGTGACTTCATCACGGGGGCGTGCCACTCCTGTAGGCCCGGCTACACGGGGATGTACTGTGACCAGCTGTGTCAGGCAGGCATGTACGGACACAACTGCTCCATGGATTGTCCGGACTCGTGTCTGAACACATGCGACCCCGTGTCTGGTCAGTGTCCGAACTGTGCGCCAGGATTTTTTGGCACTGTGTGCAACGAAACATGCCAGGATGGATTCTTCGGTTCGAACTGTTCCGAGATGTGCTCAGTGAACTGCGTCAACTTCCTGTGTGATGCCGTCAGCGGAATCTGCCTGGATTGTAAACTTGGCTACAGAGGTCCTTTCTGTGAGCAGTTGGTCTCAAACTTCAAACGGTACTCACAGCTTGAGCTTGCAGGTTTTATACTGCTAGGCTGTGTGTCTATAATCATCTTACTCGGTGTCACCATGTATTACTTTAAGCGCAAGGACCAGCCTAAGCTAAGCAAACGTAGCATCGAGTCCTCGAGTGATGATGCTCTCAGCGAGGAGGGAGACGACTCCATCCCGAAGCTTCTCATGCAGTTAAAAAACCAACAGAAAAACTCGGCCCTCAAATCTAAAAGCGATTGTAACATATTTATGAACAAATCTTCCAGAAAACCTGGCAGCTCGCCGTCTTCAGAAAACCTGGCAAAGACCACGTCAAGGTTGAGTTCTCAGTCCCGAGAGGGGAACAGCAAACTGGCCAGGTACATCCTGAAGCATGGGCGCACCTACACGCCCGCCGACGCCCCGTTCTCTAGAGACGAACGTCAAGAGCTGAAGACCCCGCTGTCGCCCCAGTTTAAAGCTCGGCACGTCACACAAAAACAGTCACCGCTGTTAACGACTAAAAAATTTTCCGATCCCATTCTCTTTTCAACCAACCGGCTTGTATCTAATTCACAAAGTAAACAGCGATTCACCGACACTCGGGTACTACCCCACCCCCTACCTAAACCAGCCTCACCCACTGAAAGCACCCTACCCCACCAGCACCATCGCCGCTCCCTCTCCAACTACGAAACTCTGTCAACAACTTATGGGGGTAAATTTCTCCCCAACGACCAAGGCGCATGCTCCGACACTGAAATGTCCCTGTACAACAGCAGACGGAAGGTCTCAAACAGCCCGCTGTACAATTCTTACGTCATTGACAGGGTTTCACAGATAGCGCTGCACAGCAACCCGACAGCCAGCGAGGACAAGAAGGTCATCTTGTCCGAGCGCATGTCCTGCTCGCAGTCCAAGGCCACGATATGCACCACCATGTCCATGATGGCTCACCCGTCGGACCCTAAAAACATGATGCCCGACCAGATGCAGATGGTCTTGACACAATCCATCAGGTCCAACATTACTAAAGAGGCACGAAGTACAGATTCTCTTTACGGCGTCTCGTCTAAGGAAGTTTTTCTAGAAAATTCCGCGTCTTACGGCATTAACGATGGAGCTATGCAACAAATTCGGACGTCATTAACAGGTAGTGTCAAGTCTCACGGCACACCTTTACCTGCAGATTCTGGCTTGAACAGAACACCTGCCGCCACTTCTCACACTAAACCTGATCTACGTCGAATGATCAGTTCAACTGCGCGCGCGTCTTCCTTTTACAATAACGCCGAACTAAAAGGCGTGGTTTCCGAATCTTTCACGGCCCACAGCAAACCCAGTTCAAATGATAAAGATTTGGGCTTCGAAGTGTGGCAGGCTAACGTACACAGCGAGGTGGGTTCCAGAATGTCACAGCCAAGTCTGAAATCTGTCAACAACTTACGCATGCAAAGCATCGGTGAGACGGAACTCAATATCGCCAGGCCGACACCCACCCATGTAGAAAGTGCAACCGTGGGTGGGGCTGCCCTACCCCAGGGTTCTGGTCCCGAGTCTGCGAACATTCTAGCGGACTGCCACAGCGGGGTGCTGAAGCCAAGCCCCGAGAGACACGTTGACACGCCGGTCGGGTCAAAAGGTCAGTCCTACAAGGACGACAGCTCCCTGTCGGGGGAGACAAGCAGCACGGACGTGTCCTTCATCTCAGGCAACGTCGCCCTGAAGGTCCCAGGTTCGAGACACGCCGACTCCTACGGGGAAGACGTCAAACAATCCAAGTCGACCACCCAGAGCTACTTAACAGAACGGGCCAAACAGTACCGTAAGATGTCACCCCCCAAGTATAAAAACCTCAACTCTCTCAAGCATTTGGTCTCCGGGGAGAGAATTGATTGGTCAGCACAGGACGACGGCCACACGTCCAGTAAAAACTACCTGGCTAGTAAAGACAGCTCCACGCTGCAAGAAAGCAAAACCGACCACAACCTACACCCGGCGGCTAAACTGGAAGCAAGTCACGCCCCACATACCACCTGGGCTCGACCTTCAGCCTCGCTGACCTTGAAAGGTGACGTGGTGAGCCCGAGGTTGATTCGCTGCTCCACCACCCGCCAGGTGTCGCCCATGTACAACCTCAAGGGTCTCTCCCAGCTGAACGCCAGGCTCAAGCCGCTACCCACCCCGCCACCCGAAGGCCGGAAGACGCTCAGACCGATCAAAAAGACGTCCAGTATCTCAATGAGCAGCGCCGTGTCCGGCCCAGACCCCAATGATCCCGAGGACTGACCAGTCACGTGATGAAACTTGCTGTCCCCATTGATGTTTAACTTCAGTCACTTTAAACTTTGTAATATTTTAATCAAGATTTTTTTTGAAAAGTTATAAATAAATACTCGGAATATATTAATTTTAATTTTGTTCTTTTCTTATTGTGACTGAAAAAAAAAACAATACACAGCTCACTTCCCAATTAAATTGATCTTGAAAGATTAAAATTATACTTGTATTGTGAGATCTAATCTATTCTAACACTTCTGAAAACAGCCAGCAGTTTACCACGTCTCCTTAAAATTTCTTTAGATATAATTACCGAAACAATAGATCTTTGCTTAAACACTTTTCAAAAACTCATACATTAACTAATTCTTGGTTTATTTTCGATACTACTATTATCCCACCACCCCTGCTAGGGTCAGCGCCAGATTTGTAAATAGTGAAGTGACTCTAAAGTAGCTAATTGCAGAAACAAAAATTCACTAAGAATATCAACATTCGTGCTAATTTGCAAACAACTTGAATAGCATGCAATTTTTCTCGTCAATACAATGTTGTCTAAACAAATTTCTTACATGACCACTATTCTGTGACATTAATTTGTGTGCTTTCCCGTTAAGTCTAATAGAAAACAAACAGCGCTGTTAGTAGCCTTGAGTTTGAATCGCTATAGCCCTAATCCCACTGTACCCTAATCGGAACCCTAAAATAAAGAGATGGAAGTTGTCCAGTTTTCTGACTTTACTGAAGCTTAACGATTTTCTACTTAAACAACAGACTTAGGGGAATACACCAACATTTTGATGAAGCAACATTTCTGACAATAATAACACATATTCATGTCTAGTTTTGGCTTTATTGAGACATATGCATTGACATCAAGTATTTACACATAACTGTAACATTCATCTCAGTAACAGAGAACAGGCTATATGGCTGAGTTTCTGCGGTTGTTGATTTCAGTTTGTGGGATACATATATAAGAAGCATGTACAATATATAACACATATCCAGGATAGGGAGCAGTGTTTCTAAATGGACATTTATATTGAAAATATATACTTTTACCAGTGTCCGCTCCCCCCCCCCCCCGAGAATATCAAGAGCCCGCCCCCCCCCCCCCCCCAGAGAAAAAAACTCTTAAAAAGAAACACTTATAGGGAATGGGGGCTGGCACATACAGTGAGGGTGGTGTGGTCGTTAGCCTGTAGGTCAGTAGTGTCACCATAAGATGGGGAGGTATGGACCAATTAAAGTGGTGAGACAAAAACATGACACACAGTAGACTGGTTTAAGTGGGTGACACCCAATGATCTGTTAGTTGTTTACTATGATTTTAGTGGTTGTCACCCAGCTGACTAAAGGTTTATGAAGTATAGTTCTTCTGTCTCAGTAACCACGGCATAATGGGAATCACGTGGTTAGCAATATGCCCATACGTCTTAGTTTCCCTTACATACGTCAGGTACAAATCTGAACAGGGTCGACAAACCGAGCCCGGTCTCCGAACTCGAGACTTTTAGGTTAGCAGTCGTAAGCTCTACTACACGACCACGTCGTCCCCATAATTGGTAGCACCAAATAGCCTATTTATAATTTCAGTACATCAAATAATCTCTCACCAGACTTCACTGATCTAGGTGACCCGTACTGAGGGTCAAGGAATTTTTTAATATGTCATAGTTGAGAACAAACATAAACACATCAACACGACAACACGATTACCAAAAGGAACCTTCTATCTCGGCTAACACAGTAACGTCCCATGTTTAAAATCCCGCAGGTGACCGTACATTGATACAGAGAATGCCGTAATTATGGTGCTATTTTTTAAAGTTCCTGCATCAGATGCCATTTCTTGCTTGTAATGATCCCGTGTGGTTGGTTGGGGTTGGTATACAGATACGACAACTGTAGGGCATGTGTAGGTTGGCGGAGCTTGTGGATCGTCTGACAGGTCAGTATACGATCTCCTGTGGACTGTTCTGATGTGGCCAACGTCGTGAGGCTGACCATCTTGTCCAAACTTGAGACTAACCAACATGTTCCAAACTGACCATGAAGTGACCTACAGTTCCGAGTTAGCTGATGGTACCAGACTGGTCATCCTGGCAAACTTGAGGCTAACCATCCTGTCCAAACTGACCACAGTGACCTACAGTTCCGAGTTAGCTGATGGTACCAGACTGGTCATCCTGGCGAACTTGGTGCTGGTGCTGAGTGTGGACTGTCGCCTGGGGTCCGGGGTGGGCAGCTGACGGTGGACCAGACACAGAACATTCCGGAAGTTGGTCCTGAAGTTCTGGCTGAAGATGGAGTACAGGATTGGGTTGGCCGCGGAGTTCATGTAGGCGATAACGCTGACTAGAACCTGGGGGATACAAGGTAGGTTGTGGGAGGTTGGTGGTAGGTTGGTGGTAGGTTGTGGGAGGTTGGTGGTAGATTGTGGGAGGTTGGTGGTAGATTGTGGGAGGTTGGTGGTAGGTTGTGGTAGGTTGGTGGTAGGTTGTGGGAGGTTGGTGGTAGGTTGGTGGTAGGTTGTGGGAGGTTGGTGGTAGATTGTGGGAGGTTGGTGGTAGATTGTGGGAGGTTGGTGGTAGGTTGTGGTAGGTTGGTGGTAGGTTGTGGGAGGTTGGTGGTAGGTTGTGGGAGGTTGGTGGTAGGTTGTGGGAGGTTGGTGGTAGGTTGTGGGAGGTTGGTGGTAGGTTGTGGGAGGTTGGTGGTAGGTTGGTGGTAGGTTGTGGGAGGTTGGTGGTAGGTTGGTGGGAGGTTGGTGGTAGGTTGTGGGAGGTTGGTGGTAGGTTGTGGGAGGTTGGTGGTAGGTTGGTGGTAGGTTGTGGGAGGTTGGTGGTAGGTTGTGGGAGGTTGGTGGTAGGTTGGTGGTAGGTTGTGGGAGGTTGGTGGGAGGTTGGTGGTAGGTTGTGGGAGGTTGGTGGTAGGTTGTGGGAGGTTGGTGGTAGGTTGTGGGAGGTTGGTGGTAGGTTGTGGGAGGTTGGTGGTAGGTTGGTGGTAGGTTGTGGGAGGTTGGTGGTAGGTTGGTGGGAGGTTGGTGGGAGGTTGTGGGAGGTTGGTGGTAGGTTGTGGGAGGTTGGTGGTAGGTTGGTGGTAGGTTGTGGGAGGTTGGTGGGAGGTTGGTGGTAGGTTGGTTGGTGGTAGGTTGGTTGGTGGTAGGTTGTGGGAGGTTGGTGGTAGGTTGTGGGAGGTTGTGGGTAGGTTTTCGGAGGTTGGTGGTAGGTTGTGAGAGGTTGTGGTAGGTTGTGGTAGGTGGTGGGAGGTTGGTGGAAGGTTGTGGTAGGTTGTGGGAGGGTGGTAGTTTAGCGGAAGGTTGTGGTAGATTGTAGGAGGTTGGTGGTAGGTTGTGGGAGGTTGGTAGGAGGTTAATGGTAGGTTGTGGGAGGTTGATGGTAGGTTGTGGGAGGTTGGTAGGAGGTTGTGGGAGGTTGGTGGTAGGTTGTGGGAGGTTGGTGGTAGGTTGTGGGAGGTTGGTGGTAGGTTGTGGGAGGTTGGTGGTAGGTTGGTGGTAGGTTGTGGGAGGTTGGTGGTAGGTTGTGGGAGGTTGGTGGTAGGTTGGTTGGTGGTAGGTTGGTTGGTGGTAGGTTGGTTGGTGGTAGGTTGTGGGAGGTTGGTGGTAGGTTGTGGGAGGTTGGTAGGAGGTTGTGGGAGGTTGGTGGTAGGTTGTGGGAGGTTGGTGGTAGGTTGTGGGAGGTTGGTGGTAGGTTGGTGGTAGGTTGTGGGAGGTTGGTGGTAGGTTGTGGGAGGTTGGTGGTAGGTTGGTTGGTGGTAGGTTGGTTGGTGGTAGGTTGGTTGGTGGTAGGTTGTGGGAGGTTGGTGGTAGGTTGTGGGAGGTTGTGGGTAGGTTTTCGGAGGTTGGTGGTAGGTTGTGAGAGGTTGTGGTAGGTTGTGGTAGGTGGTGGGAGGTTGGTGGAAGGTTGTGGTAGGTTGTGGGAGGGTGGTAGTTTAGCGGAAGGTTGTGGTAGGTTGTAGGAGGTTGGTGGTAGGTTGTGGGAGGTTGGTATGAGGTTAATGGTAGGTTGCGGGAGGTTGATGGTAGGTTGTGGGAGGTTGGTAGGAGGTTGTGGGAGGTTGGTGGCAGGTTGTGGGAGGTTAATGCTATGTTGTGGGAGTTTGTTGCAGGTTGTGGGATGTTAATGCTAGGTTGTGGGAGGTTGTGGGAGATTGGTGGTAGGTTGTGGGAGGTTAATGCTAGGTTGTGGGAGGTTTATCGTAGGTTGTGGGAGGTTGGTATGAGGTTATGGGAGGTTGTGGCAGGTTGTGGGAGGTTAATGCTATGTTGTGGGAGTTTGTTGCAGGTTGTGGGATGTTAATGCTAGGTTGTGGGAGGTTGTGGGAGATTGGTGGTAGGTTGTGGGAGGTTAATGGTAGGTTGTGGGAGGTTGTGAGCTGTTGGTGGTAGGTTGTAATAGGTTGTGGGAGGTTGTGAGCTGTTGGTGGTAGGTTGTAATAGGTTGTGGGAGGTTCGTGGCAGGTTGTGGGAGGTTGTGGCAGGTTGTGGGATGTGAATGCTAGGTTGTGGGAGGTTGTTGGTAGGTTGTGGGAGGTTGTGGTAGGCTGTGGAAAGTTGGTGGTAGACTGCGGATGGCTGGTGGTAGGTTGTGGGAGGTTGTGGTAGGTTGTTGGAGGTTGTTGATAAAGTCTTAGGCTTGGGGATACAGTCGTACGCAGATAAGGTACTATGTTTGGGGAGGTTGGTAATACGGTCGTTCGTTTGGGAAGTTAGGTGATACAGTGGTAGGTTTGGGAAGTTAGGTGATACAGTGGTAGGTTTGGAGCAGTTTGTGACAGGTTATAGGTTTAGGGAGGTTGGTGATACGGTGGGAGATTTGGTGAGATTTGTGATACTGGTGTAGGTTTAATAGTTTAACGCCGGAAATTCAACTCACATTTAACGTCCACATATCATGGAAGTCGTTATGCTTGAATGAACGGTAGACGAGCAAGACGTGTTGAGGGGAGTAGCTCAGGAAATACACCACCACACTCATCATCAACATCTTCACAACACCTTTGCGCGCCAGCAGCGCATCGCTGGCACGTTCTCTGTGGTTGAGAGAAGGGTCATCATGTTAGTGGTGTGTCGTGTCTGTGGTGTCATGTCACTGGTATGTCATGTCTGTTGTGTCATGTCAGTCTGCCAGTGGTATGTCAGTCTGTCAGTGGTGTGTCATGTCAGTATGCGGTGTCACGTCAATTTGTCACTGTATGTCATGGCAGTCTATCAGTAATGTTTGTGTCATTTCAGGTAAACTATCTGTTAGCAAACTATACATTGCACTTAACGATTATATCCAAATCTACTTTTAGTCAAACCTCCTTTTCATAGAAGGTGCCTTTTTACTCTTTTGTACACTGTTCATTTGGTGCGCAATTCCTTTTTCAACAAGATTATATTCTATTTTTTAAAAAATTAATTATTTGAAAATGGATTTTTAAAAAAAAGTGTCTTTATTCCGACTTGCACTGGAGTTGCCATCCCCATTAGTGTTATCTAAGGTTATTCGAGAAAGTTTAAGGGAGATCACTCCCGTTTTAATTACTGTGAAAAATCATATAATAAATCATTAAATAGACTACGATACACCAGTCGGAAGCTATTACTGTCGCATAACGAGCTCAAACGGAAACATAACCACAGCCTAGATGAGCTGTGTGCTTGAAGGTGTTCACACATTGAGGAAGTGAGTCATTAAATCACAGGCAGGTGTCAATGTGAGTTAGTGCTACTCAGGTGCCATACATCACAGACATCTCACCTGGATGGGATGTGGGTGCACTAACCTGCCGTCACTAAGTGAACTGTCGGTGGGAGCTTGATTGATTGTGTCTCAACAATCATCCGCGTCTCATCTATCTTACACACCACTAATGTAATTCCCGTTTCACTCCCCCCAGATATTTAGTTTTAGTTTCGTTTTCTCTACAGCTAGAAAAGAAATCTAGCGCTCACAGCCGTTATTAAATTTATAAAAATCACACCCCCACCCTATCACTTATCTCTCATATCAGTTCACCGCATACCGATCCCCACCTTACTTCTATATCTACCTTTCAATTTCGTCCTTTCTACTAACCCCCGTCACTCCCCCCCCCCACCTCCAATGCATTACCTTCTATTTCACCCGTGCAAACTGTGTCAAAAAAGAGCTAGATTGTATTTACATTCCATAATGGAATACCTAAAAGTCTTTTAATTTGCATCGTTCCAACATCTTTACAGCAAATCAGGCTTTTACCATCTCACCCACCACCACCATCCCAGCCACCAACCCTGCCTCATCCCCTTCACCCACTCACCAACCCACCCACCCATCCCACCAACCACTGACCAACCCAACCATCCCCACCAACCACTCACCAACCACTCACCAACCCACCCATCCCCACCTTCCCTCACCATTCCACCCATCCCCCGCCAACCCACCCACCATCCCACCCAACAATTCACCGACCCACCAACCCACCCATCCCCCACCAAACCCACCCACCCCCACCAGCCCACCCATCCCCCACCAAACCCACCCACCCCCACCAGCCCACCCATCCCCCACCCACCAACTCACCCCCATCAGCCCACCCATCCCCCACCCGTCCCCCACCCACCAACTCACCCCCACCAGCCCACCCATCCCCCACCCACCAACTCACCCCCACCATCCCACCCATCCCCCACACACCATCTCACCTACGCAACTTGTCTGAAGCATTAAACAGCTGTGTTGAGACCTTGGCATACAACGTGATCTGTATAATGAGTGGCACCACATAGAAGATGACGAACTCGATATACTTGAACACAAGAAAGTAGTCAAACGGCTTTCTGGGGAACCTGATGTGGCATAATTTCACCTGCGGAGACCAGATATGAATTATTAAACCACTTTGACCAGCGGATGAGGTAACTACGGGGCGTAATTGCAATTTAGTTTAATGGATCGTGAGAGTGCCAAGTCGAATGGGTCTGACGTCAGAGAACATAAATAATCTTTCACAGTTTGACATTTAACCTTTTGAATATTTTAAAAGTGGGGTGTGGTGTGGTGGGGGTGACGTACATGTTGTTGTGAAATGATGTATTTGGTAAGTTTTGATGTAACAGTCTAAAGTCAAACGGTAGAGCGCTAGATTACATACTATAGGCCTTGAGTTCCAAACCTCTAGTTTGAAGTTTTGTCTATAGAAAAGGGCTCCATGTGTATGCAATTTGATCCGTCATTTCTTGGAAACTAACGGTGGCTAGGTATGGTTCTAAACGCGCGATATTTTCATCTTCATGTCAACCTGACTATGGGTCAAAAGTCTTTGTGTCCAATATCTTGTGTTAAGTGTCTTTTGTAAAATGTCTTATATCAAGTGTCTTGTATCAAGTATCTTGTATCAACTGTCTTTGTATCAATGGTCTGTGTGTCAAGTGTCTTATGTCACATGTTAACGTGTCTTTGTGTCAAGAGTCAAAGGTCAAGTATCTTGTGTCAACTGTCTTTTGTAAAGGGTCTTAAGTCAAATGTCGTTTCTTATGTCAAGTGTCACGCATCAAATGTCATGTGTAAAAATGTCTTGGTGTCAAGAATCTTTGGCAATTTGCCACCGTTTATATTTTTGCTTGTGTCTATATTAATTTGTCCCCATGTCTATATTAATTTGTCCCCATGTCTATATTAATTTGTCCCCATGTCTATATTAATTTGTCCCCGTGTCTATATTAATTTGTCCCCGTGTCTATATTAATTTGTCCCCGTGTCTATATTAATTTGTCCCCGTGTCTATATTAATTTGTCCCCGTGTCTATATTAATTTGTCCCCGTGTCTATATTAATTTGTCCCCGTGTCTATATTAATTTGTCCCCGTGTCTATATTAATTTGTCCCCGTGTCTATATTAATTTGTCCCCGTGTCTATATTAATTTGTCCCTGTGTCTATATTAATTTGTCCCCGTGTCTATATTAATTTGTCCCGTGTCTCAGGATTCGTGTCCCACGTTAAAAACTTCCAGCAAGTTCTAGGTCACCGTGACACGCATGCCTCCCCTGAGGATCTGGACAACAAATAGGACAAGGACGGCCCTGGGCATGAAAGTGTAATCATTGTGGCTTCTCTACGCCATGGCTTTTCTTCAGGGAGGGGAATGGTTTTTTGTCAATGACGTCATTTATATTTTTGTGTGACGTGTTCAAACAAACGTGGGGTAGGGCTCTATGTATTATTGCAGTAATACGAGGGGGGGGGGTATTTATTTCGACATGGCACGAATTTTTCCTGAAACTGAGAGGGATGGAGAGAGAGGTTTCCATAATTGAAGCCTTGTCGATTGCACACGAATTTTCATTGGAGGATCAGGTTGGTTTCTTACGTTACACCAATGCTAAACTTTAGATCACGCTTAAAACTTGTCCTGCTAGTTAACACACACTAAATTCTTATAGACCCGTGAAGGGAGCAATGTCTCGATAAATGTATTTTACTACTTGAAAAACACGCCCGGTTGGAGCTATGTATAACCCAATTGTCTGTTTGGTACTGTTACAGTTAAAATATGTCTAGTATTATAACAGGTAAAATCTGCCCGTTACACGCGACAGGTAAAAATTGGCCTGGTACTGGTACAGGTAAATGTGTCAATCAAATCTACTGATTGTTGAACTTGCTGTATAAAATCTTAAAAGACGCTTAAAATGTGTTATTTCGCTCACACATGTGAAAACCAGGGGCGGAACTACAGTGCCGCCAGACCCCGAAATGCGGGGGGGGGGGGGGGGGCACGCCATTTAGGGACCCACAGCCGAACATAATAATTTTTTTAAAGTTAAAAAAAAATTAACTTTCTTGCATTTTTGACTTGATGGTTGTTTTGCAAAATGATTACCGTAGCTGCGGTTGGATTATCTTTATTCTATAGACATCACCCCCACGCGCTTGTATATTCTTTTTCCCTTGATTTTAAACCACTGTGAAAGCCGAGTCCTCTTTCTCTTACAATTTAACTAAGCAAAGATAAGCAAACGTTCAAACCACTTCCATGACTTATTTCTCTTTTTAAATAGTCAAATAGGGGTGCTCATAAGCTCCTTTTAATAGACTTGTACTAAACAAATTAAAAAGCAATTACTACCTACTTCTCTTAATTATTATTTTTTTATAAAATATTTACTAAAGAATGACATTGTATAAAAAGAAAATGTATTTAAAATTAATAAAATAAATACCGAAAAACATAAAAATAATCATAACGCGAGACACCATTTCTTCTACAAAGCTTTCATGTTTTATATTCTTTTGGTCGACTGGAGGTTATGTGGTCTTGTAGCCTCATGGCACAGATAAAGTAAAGCTGATTTTCACAAAACACACTGAAGCACTTACACACATGACATGATGTTGTATTTTGTTTTAATAGAATTTAAAAAAAAAATCTAAACCCGAACAGGCCAGCAATGAGTAGCATATGTTCGTATTTTGTGTTTGTATATATGTATATATATATATATATATATATATATATATATGGGGGGGGGGGGCCCAAAAATGTTTTTTGCGGGGTGGCCCTTTTTTTCTAGTTCCGCCACTGGTGAAAACGTACACTTGTAACTGAACTGTAAGATAAGGTCTATGAGGATGGGGTGTATGAAGATGGGGTGTATGAAGATGGGGTGTATGAGGATAGGGTGTATGAGGATGGGGTGTATGAGGATGGGGTGTATGAGGAAGGGGTGCATGAGGATGGGGTGTATGTGGATGGGGTGTATGCGGATGGGGTGTATGAGGATGAGTGTATGGGGATGGGGTGTATGAAGATGGGGTGTATGAAGATGGGGTGTATGAGGATGGGGTGTATGAGGATGGGGTGTATGAGGATGGGGTGTATGAGGATGGGGTGTATGAGGATGGGGTGTATGAGGATGAGTGTATGGGGATGGGGTGTATGAAGATGGGGTCTATGAAGATGGGGTGTATGAGGATGGGGTGTATGAGGATGGGGTGTATGAGGAAGGGGTGCATGAGGATGGGGTGTATGAGGATGAGTGTATGAGGATGGGGTGTATGAGGATGAGTGTATGGGGATGGGGTGTATGAGGATGAGTGTATGGGGATGGGGTGTATGAGGATGAGTGTATGAGGATGGGGTGTATGGGGATGGGGTGTATGAGGATGGGGTGTATGAGGATGGGGTGTATGGGGATGGGGTGTATGAGGATGGGGTGTATGGGGATGGGGTGTATGTGGATGGGGTGTATGAGGATGGGGTGTATGGGGATGGGGTGTATGAGGATGAGTGTATGAGGATGGGGTGTATGAGGAAGGGGTGCATGAGGATGGGGTGTATGGGGATGGGGTGTATGAGGATGAGTGTATGAGGATGGGGTGTATGAGGAAGGGGTGCATGAGGATGGGGTGTATGAGGATGAGTGTATGAGGATGGGGTGTATGAGGATGGGGTGTATGAGGATGAGTGTATTGGGATGGGGTGTATGAGGATGGGGTGTATGAGGATGGGGTGTATGAGGATGGGGTGTATGAGGATGAGTGTATGAGGATGGGGTGTATGAGGATGAGTGTATGAGGATGGGGTGTATGAGGATGAGTGTATGAGGATGGGGTGTATGAGGATGAGTGTATGAGGATGGGGTGTATGAGGATGGGGTGTATGAGGATGGGGTGTATGAGGATGGGGTGTATGAGGATGGGGTGTATGTGGATGGGGTGTATGTGGATGGGGTGTATGAGGATGGGGTGTATGTTTTATGGGGTGTATGTGGATGGGGTGTATGAAGATGGGGTGTATGAAGATGGGGTGTATGAGGATGGGGTGTATGAGGAAGGGGTGCATGAGGATGGGGTGTATGTGGATGGGGTGTATGCGGATGGGGTGTATGTGGATGGGGTGTATGTGGATGGGGTGTATGAGGATGGGGTGTATGTTTTATGGGGTGTATGAAGATGGGGTGTATGAAGATGGGGTGTATGAAGATGGGGTGTATGAGGATGGGGTGTATGAGGAAGGGGTGCATGAGGATGGGGTGTATGTGGATGGGGTGTATGCGGATGGGGTGTATGTGGATGGGGTGTATGAGGATGGGGTGTATGAGGATGAGTGTATGGGGATGGGGTGTATGAGGATGGGGTGTATGAGGATGGGGTGTATGTTTTATGGGGTGTATGTGGATGGGGTGTATGTGGATGGGGTGTATGAGGATGAGTGTATGGGGATGTGGTGTATGTGGATGGGGTGTATGAGGATGGGGTGTATGTTTTATGGGGTGTATGTGGATGGGGTGTATGTGGATGGGGTGTATGAGGATGAGTGTATGGGGATGTGGTGTATGAGGATGGGGTGTATGAAGATGGGGTGTATGTGGATGGGGTGTATGAGGATAGGGTGTATGAAGATGGGGTGTATGAAGATGGGGTGTATGAGGATGGGGTGTATGTGGATGGGGTTATGAGGATGGGGTGTATGAGGATGAGTGTATTGGGATGGGGTGTATGAGGATGGGGTGTATGAGGATGGGGTGTATGAGGATGGGGTGTATGAGGATGAGTGTATGAGGATGGGGTGTATGAGGATGAGGTGTATGTGGATGGGGTGTATGAGGATGGGGTGTATGTGGATGGGGTTATGAGGATGGGGTGTATGAGGATGAGTGTATTGGGATGGGGTGTATGAGGATGGGGTGTATGAGGATGGGGTGTATGAGGATGGGGTGTATGAGGATGAGTGTATGAGGATGGGGTGTATGAGGATGGGGTGTATGAGGATGGGGTGTATGAGGATGAGGTGTATGTGGATGGGGTGTATGAGGATGGGGTGTATGTGGATGGGGTTTATGAGGATGGGGTGTATGAGGATGAGTGTATGGTGATGGGGTGTATGTGGATGGGGTGTATGAGGATGGGGTGTATGAGGATGGGGTGTATGAGGATGAGTGTATGGGGATGGGGTGTATGAGGATGGGGTGTATGTGGATGGGGTGTATGTGGATGGGGTGTATGAGGATGGGGTGTATGAGGATGGGGTGTATAAGGAAACTGAGGATGGTGTGTATGTGGATGTATGAGGATGAGTGTATGGGGATGGGGTGTATGTGGATGGGGTGTATGTGGATGGGGTGTATGAGGATGGGGTGTATGAGGATGGGGTGTATGAGGATGGGGTGTATAAGGAAACTGAGGATGGTGTGTATGTGGATGGGGTGTATGAGGATGAGTGTATGGTGATGGGGTGTATGTGGATGGGGTGTATGAGGATGGGGTGTATGAGGATGGGGTGTATGAGGATGGGGTGTATGTGGATGGGGTTATGAGGATGGGGTGTATGAGGATGAGTGTATGGGGATGGTGTGTATGAGGATGGGGTGTATGAGGATGAGTGTATGGTGATGGGGTGTATGTGGATGGGGTGTATGAGGATGGGGTGTATGAGGATGGGGTGTATGAGGATGGGGTGTATGAGGATGGGGTGTATGAGGATGGGGTGTATGTGGATGGGGTGTATGAGGATGGGGTATGTGGATGGGGTGCATGAGGATTGGGTGTATGAGGATGGGGTATGTGGATGGGGTGTATGAGTAAGGGGTTTATGAGGATGAGTGTATGGGGATGGGGTGTATGTGGATGGGGTGTATGAGGATGAGTGTATGGGGATGGGGTGTATGAGTAAGGGGTTTATGAGGATGAGTGTATGAAGATGGGGTGTATAAGGATGGGGTGTATGAGGATGGGGTGTATGAGGATGGGGTGTATGAGGATGGGGTGTATGTGGATGGGGATGGGGTGTATGTGGATGGGGTGTATGAGGATGAGTGTATTGGGATGGGGTGTATGAGGATGGGGTGTATGAAGATGGGGTGTATGTGGATGGGGTGTATGTGGATGGGGTGTATGAGGATGAGTGTATGGGGCTGGGGTGTATGTGGATGGGGTGTATGTGGATGTATGAGGATGAGTGTATGGGGATGGGGTGTATGTGGATGGGGTGTATGTGGATGGGGTGTATGAGGATGGGGTGTATGAGGATGGGGTGTATGAGGATGGGGTGTATAAGGAAACTGAGGATGGTGTGTATGTGGTGTATGAAGATGGGGTTTATGATGAAGGGGTGCATGAGCATGGGGTGTATGAGGTGTATGAGAATGGGGTGTATGAGAATGGGGTGTATGTGGATGGGGTGTATGAGTATGGGGTGTATGTGGATGGGGTGTATGAGGATGGGGTGTATGAGGATGGGGTGTTTGAGGATGGGGTGTATAAGGAAACTGAGGATGGTGTGTATGTGGTGTATGAAGATGGGGTTTATGATGAAGGGGTGCATGAGGATGGGGTGTATGAGGTGTATGAGAATGGGGTGTATGAGAATGGGGTGTATGAGGATGGGGTGTATGAGGATGGGGTGTATGTGGATGGGGTGTATGTTGATGGTGTGTATTTGATTGAGGTGTATGAGGATGACGAGTATAAACAAAATAAACTGCTAACCTTCGTTCCCCTGCTCCCCTCCTCCATCTCATTAAAGAGCAGCGTCGGCGTCCCCGCGGCCAGAGAGAGGGGCCAGATACACGCCACCACCACAGCCACACGGGCCCTGCTACACAGGATGTGGGCCTTGATGGGGTGGACGATACCGATATATCTGTGGAGACAAGATACTAGTAAAGTTAGTGGACAATACCGATGTATCTGTGGAGACAAGGGACTAGTGACGTTAGTGGACGATACCGATATATCTATGGAGGCAAGATACTAGTGACGTTAATGGACGATACCGATATAACTAAGGAGATAAGATAAAGCTAGTGGACGATACCGATCTACCTAGAGAGAGAAGAGACTAGTGAGGTTAGTGGACGATACCGATATAACTAAGGAGATAAGATAAAGCTAGTGGACGATGCCGATCTACCTAGAGATAGAGAGAAGAGACTAGTAAAGCTAATGGACGATACCAATCTACCTAGAGAGAGAGAAGAGACTAGTGAAGTTAGTGGACGATACCGATATAACTAAGGAGATAAGGTATAGCTAGTGGACGATAACAATGTAGCTTAGGAGATAAGGGCAGGTAACATTAGTGGGTGATACCGATGTACCTATGGAGGTAAGTTAAAGCTAGTAGACTATACGGATGCACCTATAGAGACGAGAAACAGACTGATGTATCTTAGTGGACGATATAAGCATGGCTAAAAAGGCTCTGTAGGTGCATATAGACGATGACGGTGTAAGTAAGGAGAAATGAAATCGTAGACTATGCCAATGTATTTAAGAAAAGACAATTTGTCACTGCCAACATGGGTCTCATTATTTTTAAAATGCACAGTAAAATAAAGAACTGGCTTGCAAATAAAAAAAATAATTAAACTCTCCGCTAATGAAGGGCCAGGAGTGATGAGAGTACTGACCTTTCAATACAAATGGATACGAGGGTCATGACGGAGGCATACAGCGAGACCACCAGGATGAAGCGGTTCGCCTTACACAGCAGAGACTCCAGGATCCAACCTCGGTTTAACATGAATTGGATGATCTCTGGAATCCCGAATATCATGATAATCTGGTGGATTATACAGGGATTAGTGGGAACATGAGTATCATGATAATCTGGTGGATAATACAGGGATTAGTGGGATCACAAGTAGCACGATAATCTGGTGAATTATACATAGATTAGTGGGATCATAAGTATCATGATAATCTGGTGAATTAGAGATTGGTTAATGAGAACAATTATGATAATCTGGTGGATAATACAGGGATTAATGGGATCACGAGTATCACGAGTATCATGATAATCTGGTGAATTATACAGGGATTAGGGGATCCCGAATATCATGATAATCTGGTGAATTATACAGGGATTAGGGGATCCCGAATATCATGATAATCTGGTGAATTATACAGGGATTAGGGGATTCCGAATATCATGATAATCTGGTGGATAATACAGGGATTAGTGGGATCACGAGTATCATGATAGTCTGGTGAATTAGAGTTGATGTTAATGGTTAATGGGATCCCGAATATCATGATAATCTGGTGAATAATACATAAATTACTGGGATCACGAGTATCATGATAGTCTGGTGAATTAAAGTTGATGTTAATGGTTAATGGGGTCCCGAATATCATGATAATCTGGTGAATAATACATAAATTACTGGGATCACGAGTATCATGATAGTCTGGTGAATTAAAGTTGATGTTAATGGTTAATGGGGTCCCGAATATCATGATAATATGTGAATAATACGTTGATTACTGTGATCATAAGTATCGCGATAATCTGGTGAGTTAGCAATAATCGTTAATGAGGGTCACTGATATGATAATATGGTGAATTAGAATCAATGGTTGATGTGACCCCGATTTTTTTTTTTGATAATCTGGCGAATTAGAGAATGGGTAAAGAGATCACAATTATCATGATAATCTGGTGAATAGGCGTTACTTGCTTAAATCCTTAATCAGGTGGATTAAGCAAAGCTGTACAACACAAATACTTCTGGTGAGATGTGGTAAATGTGAGATGAGGTATTGTGGAGATGAGATAATTGTGGAGATAGGTAATTGTGGAGATGAGCTAATTGTGGAGATGAGATAATTGTGGAGATGGGTAATTGTGGAGATGAGGTGTCGTGGAGATGACCTATTGTGGAGATGAGATATTGTGGAGATGGGTAATTGTGGAGATGAGGTATTCTGGAGATGAGGTATTCTGGAGATGAGGTAATTGTGTATCTTTGAAAATATTGTTTACTGAGCGACAAAAATTTTAGGGGCAGAACAAAAGAAAAGATCGTCTCGATATTTTTTGCTTTAATGCGAGACAGGCATAAAAAATAAAATTGATAGACGTACAAAAACATCAGAACAAAGCTAAGACAAATGTGTACAAATAAAATAAATTAGCCCTTTTGCTCATGCGAAAAAAACTTCTGGCAATACCTAAGTCTGAGACATCAGCACACTTTTGTTGGTTCTTCACCCGTTAGTTGGGCAGTTAAAGTAGAGTTCATCTGTTTCAATGACCTCGGCATATAAAGAATTACGTGATCAGTACTATACCCAGCCGCCTTAGTTTTCCTTAACGTTAGATTTTGGTAGACTTAGACAACATTGTACAGACTCGAGTCCAGGTTCCAAACTCGAGAATTTCAGGGAAGCATTCGTGCGCTCTACCAACCAACCAGATAACAGATGTAAAGTTAAACTTCCGGATGAAGTAGAGTTCATCTATTTCTGTGACCTCGGCAGATGAGTCTGTAAGATGCCCAACTGCCTTAACTTTCTCTAACGTAACTCGGGTAACTATCACAGCTGGGTGGGTTGGTGCGTTCGACAGCTTCAAATCCTGGATACGAACTTGAGGCTTTCGAGTTTGCAATCGATAATTCGACCACACGTATTTCCAGTATGTCATCTTAACTTGGATTATAGTAAACAATTTGTTGAGTTTTAGCCATTTGATAAAAACTGTTTCACATGAAAGTAAATCTCATTTGATAGATCTGTTTGTAAAGTCTCGTTTGTACAATAATGCCTCTTTATGTTACCCCTCAGTGATTATTGTATTAGAACTGAATTAGACATTATTACAAATTTAGATTAAATAGAAAAATACATAAACTTCATTCTTTTAATTTAACGGAAATCTCGCTAAAACTGTTTATCATGAAATGGTTTTATAAAAATAAAGCGAACTAGAAAGAAATATTTGTGAATTTAATTTTTTTTTTTACTTTTCAAATAATGAACAATTGCCTGATGACAAGAGCAAATGTTTTCTGAAGCAAAAGAACGGTCGTCTGAAATAGGAATTGTTTTTAATTTCCCGTGTAGCTTTTTCAACCACAAAAAGCTTGAGGTCGCCATGGCAACGCGAATAAACAGGAAAACAAAAATCTCAGCCGTGACTGGTGAGTGTTTCTTGTCACATGACACAATTGTCACGCGCAGATTTTTGTTTACACGTGTCCTGCTCCCACGGTCTTGCGGAGGTCAAGTGGACATTTGTTCCAGGTCGTTTCGTTCATGTGGACATTTCTTAAAGCGGACATTTTTAAGGTGACATTTTTCAAGAGAACATTCGTTCAAGTCGGCTAAATACGAATTTGAGAGAGACAGAGTGAGTGAGAGAGAGAGAGAGGGGGAGAGAGAGAGAGAGAGAGAGCTATTTTCTGAGAGAGGAAATATAGTTAAAGGGTGCGGAATACAGAGAAGTAAGGGTTAAGAGTGACAAGTACAGGGAAGTTAGGGTTAAAGGGGTGAGAGTACAGGGACGTTAGGGTTAAAGGGGTGATAGTACAGAAGTGGAGGTGGGGCTAAAGAAGGAAAGAGTACAGTGTAGAAAGGGTTAAAAAGTTGAGCATGGAGAGGAACGTCTGCTAGTATTTTGGTACTGGAAGTCATCAAACACAAGATGGGAACACAATCTGATTTACACGTGTCCATCTACATGAGCCTCAGGCCTAATGTAGTACCACCCTCACCCCTTCTCTCACCTAATGCTGTACCACCCCCACCCCCATCTCAGACCTAATGTAGTACCACCCCCACCCCCTTCTCACACCTAATGCTATACCACCCCACCCCTTCTCACACCTAATGCTATACCACCCCATCCCCTTCTCTCACCTAATGTCGTACATCACCCCACCCCATCTCTCGCCTAAAGCTATACCACCCCACCCCCGTCTCTCACCTAATGTAGTACCACCCCACCCTTGTCTCTCACCTAATGCTATACCGTGCCCCCCCCCCTCCTGTAACCTAGTGCCCCCACCCCACCCGTTCTTAACCTAATGCTACACCGTGTCCCCCTTTAACCTAATATAACAATGTTTTCCAAAACTAATTTGCCGCTGTCCTGAAACCGCCCTACTATCTGACGTGGTGGTTCTAACGTCTGGAAATATTTCAGCGCGTGGAGGCCTCTCCTGATATTCCAGACCTTGAGTGCTGGACACTGGTCTGTTTATAGGGCCGGTACTTTAATTACACTCGCTAGCCACTCACGCAAGACCAGTGAGCTCAGGAAAAACAATTAGGGTAAAAAGCTTTAGGGTTTCTTCAGGAACTCATTAGCGTGTTTTAACAAACTTCTTCGATATGCCGAGATCGAAGATTAAAAAAAAACAACAACTCAACGTTTTTTTAAATATTTCCAGAACTGAAAACCTCGTGTTTTAGAAGTAACTAGTAATAATTTATATGTTTTTGTTTATGCCTAGCTAGTTTTTAAAACAACTAAACATAAACAGTTAACCATTTTTAGGTTAATAAAATGTTGAACAGAGGGTTAAACAAAAATTTAAAAAAAGAAAAAAAGACATTAAAAAATGAAATAAAAAAATAAACGTTAACATTATTACCTATCATACGGGAGATAAAAAATAATGACTAACTTTGAACACGGACATGTACAGTTGTATTTTTATAATGTTTAAATGTTTCAAGTTCAGTAAAGTTTGTTTGGGTTTGGGTTAGCGTTCGGTTTGTTTGTGTTTCTATTTGTTTGTGTTTGTGATTTGATTTGCTTGTGTGTGGGTTTATGCATAGGTCTGTGAGAAATATTTTTGTTTGTTTATGTGGGGATTTGTTTGTGTGTGTGTGGTGGGGGGGGGGGGGGGTTGTTTGTGCATCTTCTATCTTTATTATCCTACTAAAAGTCAAGTTTGTTTACATGTTTGAATATTTATTTGTTTGTCCGATCGAAAATTGTGATATGTTCGACTCTATCTGGAGAGCTGTAAAATAGTATGTAGGTAGAGAATAATTTTTTAATGCAGACAGACTGTTAATCACAAATTTATTTAAAGACGTTAATTAATTTATTGATTTATTCATACGTACAGTAACCCATTTTTTAAAAAAAGATTTGAAAAGCCACTAGACTCGGCGGGACCGTGACGTCACAGGTTTTTGTTTACTTTTTAGTACAATAAAATGGCGGCGTCTATCGAAGAAAATTGTGTTCCCATTCACAAGTTTAACGCGTTCTAAATCTAATTTTCTGTCGGTCATAACTTTAACAATACGTCTGTTTGCTGTATTTATTACGTTCCAACACTTATATCAATTTTCAACTGTCTTTTTCATTTAGTTTTACAATAAATTTCTCTAGATCTAAAGATCAGCTGTCGAAGGAAAGTTATAAATCTAGAATCTAGCCTAGGGCCTAGATCTAGATCTAGGTCACTAGACTCAATGTAAATTCTAGATCTAGATTAATGTAAATTCTACATCTAGAATCTATTTCGGGCCTTAATTATTTTATATAAATCTTTGTTTAGCTTCAATGATCATCTAATTCGAGAATACATGGGATTTTTTTGTTTTCTACGTTCTATATCTAGATATAGTAGGATTACTCACTAACTTGGAGGCGTGGTCGGCTGCTAACAACAATATGGCGTCCGGACCGGACGCATGACTTCATACCATTTTTAGGCCATGTTTACCACGAGCAAAATGGCGGGTGTTCACATTATTTAAACATGGTATAGGTGGCCAGGGCTAGATATGCCAGAAAAGCATTTTAAAATTTGCTTTGGAGAATGAAGGCTAAATTTTAAAGTCAGTGTCATAAAAACTAATAGAACATTTTTTTTACGTTTTTAATTATTTTTTCTTAAGCCCTATATGTGAATGATAAGGTTGACTATCAGGACCTCGCGGGGCACAGGGCAGGTGAAGTAGGGTTCATCTGTTTCTTTGTCCTTAGCATATGAAGGGATAGTGTGGTCAGAGACATGCTCGGCTGGAATCGTTTTTTAAACGATAAAAACATGTTGTCTGAGACTTGGCGGGACACTGGGCAGGTGAAGTAGAGTTGAGTAGGTCACCTGTGACGTCAGTATATGAAGGGATAGTCCGAAATCGTTGTTTTCGGTGTTTTTAAAAGATAAAAAACATATTTTTGAATGTGGGGTCTGTTTTTTGTGACGATAAGTGACACTGCAGTAGCGTAGCGAGGAGGGGGGGGTGGGGGGGGGGGGGTGGGAGGGGAGGCGGGGGGGGGGAGGGGAGGCGGGGGGGGGGTGGAGGGGGGGCGGGGGGGGACATATGATGGGGCACCAAAAATGGTTTGGAAAAGTAAATTGAAAGGTTGAGGGGGGTTCAAATCGAAAGTTTGAGTGGGGGGGGGGGGTGCACATCAAAAGTTTGAGCTAAGCCTCTGAGTGACAGACGTGTTGTTTTTTGATGGATGACCCCCGAAACCCACAGTTATCCAACGGATGACGGGTATTCTAGTTTGTGATAAAATCTTGCAACTAAACGTATACCCAATTCTATTGAAGTGATTTCTATCAAAATTTGCTTATAAGTGTGCCTCACAGATTGGACTCACAGATTGGACTCACAGATCGTACTCACAGATCGTACTAAAAGATCGTACCCACATATCGTACCCACAAACTTACCAGATCAGCCAGTGCTAGGTTTGTGATGAGCAGGTTGGTACCCACAGATGGTACTCACAGATCGTACCCACAAACTTACCAGGTCAGCCAGTGCTAGGTTTGTGATGAGCAGGTTGGTACCCACAGATGGTACTCACAGATCGTACCCACAAACTTACCAGGTCAGCCAGTGCTAGGTTTGTGATGAGCAGGTTGGTAACCGATGACCTCATCTTCCGGTCACACACAATGGCGTAGATGACCAGGAAGTTGCCGACGATCCCCACAGCACCGATGATGAAAAAGATGACAGTGAAGATGACGATCTCCGTTAAACCAGCCACTCTATGTTCAGGTACAGCGTTGGTTGGGAACTCATCCTGGCTGAGAATTTTCGCCGTGGTCTCGTTGGAAAAGTTTAAAAATATTAAACTCAACGGATGAACCGTGTCGTTTATTTGACGCGTTCCGTCGCCCATGTTGTCTTAAAATATCCTCACTCGTGTCTTTTCTTCAAAGTCTGTTACACGATTACGAAAACCAAAGAACAGACATTTATGAATAGCTCATGTTGCAAGGAGGTAATTTTATTCATACGTTGTTTAGGGATGTAATGATAGGGAGGCGTGACAAGAAATGGAAGAGCCGTCTTGGAGCAGGGCTTGTGAAGTCCCAGGTCTCTCTAAGGTCAATCTGTATACGCTGACCCAGGAGTTAGTGCTGCTATAACTGTGAGACCACGTGACCAGAGATACAGCTGGGAGCTGATGCTGTGGAAGTAAAAAAATACTTGAGTGTACAATCCATGTCGTTATTATTGATTGAGTTATTGTATGACATTACAGCCACGGCTTGGTTTGGAAACTTGGCTAAAGGGCTCGAGTAACTTGAGTTGATAAAGCGAGTAAAATATTTTCTTGATTGTAGGAATAAAGAACTGTTTAGTGTTTTGGAAGTAACTAATCAAGTTATAAATTCAGTTTATTAAAACAGCATTTCTCTAACCATTTCAGGAAATAGGTATTGATTTTAAATAAATAGATTACTCGTTCAAGAAAGTGATGAATGAATGTTGGATGTATTAAGTTTATCAGCACCAACAAAGTGTTGAATGAAATCTGGGTGTATTAAGTTTATCAGTGGCATTCAATATTTTTCAAGCTTTATTTAACTGATTCCTTAGTGCTACGGCTGTCATGGATCAAAACTTGTGAGCGAAATTTCACCGACTTCTACTAAACGGATATCTTTTTAGAGCACAAAGAAGCTTGTTTTGATAAATCTTATTATTACATTTTCGCATTTTGCACAGGAAACGTTATATGTTTAAAACTTTTTTACAATAAAAAGTAAAGCATAAAAATATCCTAGCAAAAGAAAAATTGTAACCTTGAAAAATATTTAGTGCAAAATCTATTATTTTTTAATACATTTGATTATTTCTGCCTTACGTCTTAAAATATGACACTCCTTAAGTATTTTTATTTTAATTCTTTGTCCTAAAGTTTATGGCTTCCGATACACAGGCCCTAAAAACTAAATTCAACGTTTCTCCTACATATCTACAAAGATAAAAACTGAAACCCTTCCTAGAGTGCGCTGCATTACGAGGGAAAAATAAGACATCAAATACACAAAAACAACAACAAAACAACAACCATACTTTTACTTAATATAACATGTAGAGTAATATTTTAGCGATAGGCCTACATACAAACAACGAATATGTACAGTTTTAACAAAAGTAACACGTGAATGAACTCTAGTGAAACAAAAAGTAAAATACATTTCTTTTGTCACGATCCTTTTGTGAATCTGCACTGAGTACCCCGACCAGAATCGGGATATTATCCATATCCCATCCATCATTGCAGTAATCCCAAGTCTCGGCGATATCCTGAGTTAATAAAGAGATTATTCGAGAAAGGGATCGTTGTAATCCTTATGGTCGAATGAATCATACTGATGATACAGGTTCTCAAACTTTTCTTTGCCACGGAAAAATTTCGACAGTTCCAATCAATAATTTGGGTACCATTATGAATTTAAAATGTATCATACATTTGATATTTGTTTTAAATTTCTTGTACAATTAAACTTTACGTAAGATCTGCTAAGATCACAAATAAGTCTTCAGGGGTTTAAAGGCAACGAGTTGAGAATGTCTGACAGTCCCAGAAAATTGGACCAGTTTCTTGTAACCATTGAAGGCCAAGGTTTTCCCTGATAAATTAATGTTTTTGTTTGCTTTTATAAAATAGTATGGAATAGATTTCTTTAATTCCAAAGGAGGAGAGCTCTACTTCCGTGTCGCCTGCTGCTAGTAGCCTAGTAGTTCTAGAATTGAAAAAGCCTGGTATGACGTAGGTTCTATTGTGTACCGTTGCCAGGTAACGCGACCAGGAAGTTGTAATTTGTACTTTAGAATAGCGGCCATTTTGTCCAGTTAATTGTTAAATATCTCTCTAGTCCCAAACTGTATTTGAACATAGATCTAGCTCCTCGCTGCTTGCCCCATAGTTATAACTGCTAGATATTGTTAGTTCTAATCTAAATTTTATCCGATAGAAAATTTACCCATTAGGTTAGTTGTTGAGTTATACTAGTCCTATAGGCTGGGACTGCCTCAAAAATGAATTTTGTTTTTGGAATTAATTAACTTTAAATAAAAATTAGTCTGTGTTTCATTAACATACATAGGCTAATGTATGTTGTATTCTAATTTACGTTTTTTTGGAGTAATCCACCTACTCAAATAAAGAAAAATCGTTGTCGTTCCTACTAACAGGCTTGGTGAGTGTTATAAATCCCTATAAGAAAGCCATACAAATATTCTACTGTACAGGAGCTTTACAAGACAGTGGCCGGAATGCTGATTTGTTTTCCTTGTATTTTACTTAAGCTACGGTTAAAGACATTTTTTTTATACGGAAAGAAGATGATACCACAAACATTGATAAAACATTTTAAAGAAGGCAATTCAAATATATTAAAGCAGAATTAAAACGGAACATGTGTATATTTAGTGTGGTAGGGAGGGGGTGGAGGTAAAGTGTGAGTGGGGAGGTCTTGATGTTGTGTGGGCAGGGATAGTGAATGGGGTGGGGTGAGTGTTTATTTAAAGATTTGGGCGGGTGGATTGGATGGGAATATGATGTTAGTTGTTTGGAGTTGAGTTTAAGTAAGTTGGTGTTGAAAAAAGAGAGAGGGGGTGGGATGGGTGTTTTGTTAATATCTGTTGAAGTATACTAGACTTACTAAGAATTAATGATAGCAATGTTGATCGGCATATGCGTTTTGGGAACTTATATAAGTAGGACGGCAAGGGAGGGAGTTGGTGGTAGTTCTCAAGGACTTTGTAGTGAGATAGTTTGACTATGTAATAGACACAATACATAAAACTAAGTTTATATATACAGGTTTTTCTTTAGTCCTGCCCCACTGTAGCTATATTTAAATGCAAGTATTTGTTTTTTTTGTAAGCATTCATCTAACATCAAGGTCGTGCTTCACTGTAGCTAATCCACTGACTAAATTTAACTTTACCAAGCTATAAATAAATCTGTCAGTTCTAAGTCAGATCAGGCAGTTCTAGGTCAGACTAGTGCCACATCAGTGCTAAGCCACCGCCCCACCAGACCTGCCCAGCTGACCAATCAACAGACAATCAATCACGACCTTGTCATCACCGGAGACCACTAGCCATCTTCATCCTCCTGGCTTGTCAGACATCGGCCACACAAGTCGCACTCGTTGTCAAAGCCCAGACAGTCGGTTGGATCTATTGAGCTCTCGAGGCTTAGACGTACCCTCTACAAATAGAATGGAACAGCCCAGTCGTTTTGGATCTATTGAGCTCTCGAGACTTAGACGTACCCTCTACAAATAGAATGGAACAGCCCAGTATGTTGGATCTATTGAGGACTGGAGGTTTAGACGTACCCTCTACAAATAGAATGGAACAGCTCAGTATTCGGTTAAACTTCTTGAACTAAGCGTTTAGACGTGCCCTCTACACGTTAGCTTAAGCGTTAAAACTATTTAAGTTGAATTTGTCACATATTTTCGACAAACCGAAACATAATTTTAACCGAGTCAACTGGATGGGACAGAATTTTCAGTTGAAAAAAAACCTAACACAACAACATGCATAGAATACTTTTTTATTGCATTGAGATCTTTACAGTTATAATCTATCTTGTAAACAACAGTACAATATATAAGTGCTCAGTGCCTCTAACCGTTATATTCTGTCCGGTCAACAACACTACGATATAGAAGCGGCCAGTGCCTCTAACCGTTATATTCTATCCGGTCAACAACACTACGATATAGAAGCGGTCAGTGCCTCTAACAGTTATATTCTATCCGGTCAACAACACTACGATATAGAAGCGGTCAGTGCCTCTAACAGTTATATTCTGTCCAGTAAACAACAGTACGATATAGAAGCGGCCAGTGCCTTTGACTGCTATATTCTGTCCAGTAAACAACAGTACGATATAGAAGCGGTCAGTGCCTCTAACCGTTATATACTGTCCGGTAAACAACAGTACGATATAGAAGCGGTCAGTGCCCCTAACCATTATATTCTGTCCTGTACTTTGAGCTGTTTTCTTGACCTAAGGGATCAGGACAATTTATCAGTCCTGTACCTCTGTAAACATTGAATAAAAGTATTGGATGCTCCTGTTATATCACTTGGGGTAAATACTTGGTTGCTTCTTGTGGTAAACATTTGATCTGATATTTAACCCCTCCACCCCCGCTGATGGGGGTCAATCTATTCCTGGCCACCTCTTGCCCCACTCCCACGCAATTTACGCCGTGTAACCCCCCTTCCCCCACCCCCTACACAAATACCATCAACACATGAAGGTATCGGGTTGTCAACACTATGCTAAACAGCCTTTACTTTCCTAGTCTGGAGTTGGGTACTCATAAGAGCTGAGTGTACTCTGTCAAACGTCGTGTGAACTCTCGACCCTTGGGTAGACAATCGTTTTCCCCACCCCCGGTACCCAGTCTGATATTGAATACATTTTATAATGTGGCCCCACCGAGTTTATTTAATCTGATAGAAAAATACGCAAATAAAAATTCTACAAATTCTACATATTGAATATTCATTTACAGAACTCTCTTAGAATCTACATTCATTATGTTGCAGTAGAGTTCCCACTTGATCCAGTGAAGTGTTGACTTGAGATCCTAGAGGAGCAGCACAGATCTTGTAATGCTGATTTAAATAATACAGTTTTAAACATCTGTGTGTAAAGTTTACTTTGTATTTAGATTACATTTAATATGGAGACTGGATAATGTCACGTAAAACTGGAATCATGTTAAGATGATGAAGGGGTCACACCTTATTAGGTCCTAAATGCACTCATCATCATCATCTTTTCACGTTCGTGCCCAAGACACACGGGGCAGATGAAGTAGAGTTGAAATGCTGCAGAGACGTATACTAATACATGGATAGGTTAGTTTTTTATAAATAGCCAGGTATAAACCTAACAGAGATGTATTGCTTTCAGAGCCATCGACTCTCGCTTACAAAGTGTAGGGGGGGGGGCAGATTTCAGGTGTAGTCTATACAAGGTGACCTGATGACCTTCCCAATCTGTAGGGGGGGGGGGGGCAGATTTCAGGTGTAGTCTATACAAGGTGACCTGATGACCTTCCCAATCTGTAGGGGGGGGGGGCAGATTTCAGGTGTAGTCTATACAAGGTGACCTGATGACCTTCCCAATCTGTAGGGGGGGGG